GAGGTGTCTGATTTGTCCTGGAACCCCTCCCTGCACCCAAACCAGCCAGGCCAGGGACTAACAATGAGAGGGGACTCGGGGGAGTGAGAGATTCCAGAGAGCAGGGGGCCCACTTAGGGAATGCTTAAAATAATCTGTGGGAAAGAAAACCAGAGGACTTTTGAAAGCTATGTTTGGAGCAAGAAGCTCAGAGAGGGGTGGGTGTGCCGCTGGGGCAGATGGCATGGTGTTAGCTGAAGATGGGAAGCTGAGTTCCTCAGCCCCCAATCATGCCATCCTGCGTCTGCTGCCTGCTTGAGAAGCAGGAACCTGAAAGGGAGCCTCTTTCTTGGGGTGGGAGCCAGGCAGAGGAGGAGGCTTCAGGAATGCTGTCTGGGTCCAGGAAACAGTATCCTGGTGTCCTGCAAGCATTTCTGAGTCTCAGAGCAGATGCCTAGTGCCCCAGGGCATAGGGAAAGATCTGGACTCATGTGGGCACAAGCTTGCATTTCCAAAGAAGATAGACTTTGAAATCTGCAGATGGGTCAATTTAATGAGCTCCCTGGAAAATGCCTACTTCCAAAAATTGAGGTGAAATTCATATATCAAAGTGAGCAGCTCGGTGCCTTTTGGTGCATTCACCATGCTGTGCACCCACTGCCTTTACTAGTTCCAAAACATTTTCATCCCCCCAAAAGGAAACCTCATGCCTGCTAAGCAGTTGCTCCCCACTTTCCCTCCCCCAGGGAAATCTCTATGACTTACCCATTCTGAACATGTCACAAAAATGGAAGCATACAATATGTGACCTTTTGTCTGGCTTCTTTCACTTGGCATATTTTCGAGGTTCACCCATGTTGGAGTATGTATTAGTACTTAGTTCCTTTTTATGGATATTTGCAAATTGTTTATCCATTAATCCACTGAAGGACACTGAGGCTATTGTGTTATATGGCAATTCTATGTTTAACTTTTTAAAGAACTGCCAAACTGTTTCCCATTGTTGCTGAACCATTTTATATTCCCACCAACAATGCATAAAGGTTCCATCTCCTTTCATTATTAAACAGGTGATTGTTACCAGGTGCTAGTATGGGTAAAACAGGTCAGGATGATACCTGCCCCATTTCCCTATAAGCTATAGGCTTATAAAGCTGGCAGGCAGTCCTGGGAAGGCTGCTGGCTAGAGTATCGGGGGAGGGTATCTTTCTCTTTTTCACCATAGCATATAGATCAGATGGTGAAATCTAGGGCCTCAAAGCCAAGCTGGGTGTGGTTCTGCAGGTGTTGGGCTTGTGGTCCACCTGGGCTGCAGTGGCTCACAATATGTCCTCTCAAGGATGCAGACTGCCTTTATCTTCCTCCTCCTCCTCGCTGCTCTGGTCCCCCTCTCCTGGGCCTTCCACACCCCCTCACTCTCTCCCTTCCACCTCTCCTTTCTCTAGTCTCCCCTCCTCTGCTTCTGTCCACCTCTCGTTTTCTCTTCATGCCACTTCCGTCTACCTTCCTCTCTGCTCCCCTTCCACCTTAACATTCCTGCTCTAGCCTTCTCTCCCCCACTCCCCCACCCCTCCCCAAGGCAGCAGTTCACTCACCAAAGCAATTTTGAGAGAAGGGAAGGAGGTGAGGACCTGCATGCATGTTCATAGACTATATCCATTAGCCCTTCTCCCCACTTAGGCCCAGGAACGTCATTCCAAAGTGAGGTGGGGTGCTGGGAAGCCTGTCCCTCACCTTTATTCCATCCTCCTTCCAGGAGAGGAGACCCACAGCATCTCTAACATCCAGCGAGTGTGGTGGCACACAGCTGGGGTCCAAGAGACCCAGTTCTGGTCATCTCTGTCCCTCAGTATCAAAGGTCAAGAAAGGAGAAAGGAGTTGCCAGGGTGCTTATGAGGTAGAGACGGGCCTTTGTGGTGATTTGAGGAAAGGACAGGAGAGGAGTCTGTGCCTCCACGTTCTCTCGGATGCTCCCTGTGCGCCAGCCAAGCTGCATTAGCAGGCAAAGCCCTAAACTGGGAAAGCAGGACAGGCTGTGTCCCGGTGGCTCTGAGTGTGTTCCCTGACCAGCCTCACTAGACTTAGCAGGGCGAATCCCCATGCTCTACTCACACAAGGAATCTGAGGCTTCCGGGTTGGGGCCCTGTTTTAAAAAGCCCTCTGGGTGGTTCTGATTCTCACTCCAGTTTAAGAACCACTGTCCTGCCCTGAGGGGAAGCCCTGGTGAATGAGGGGACTCTGTGCTCCCAGACCGATGGGAGACATATGACCCTTGCTTGCCATCTCATAGGGAAGACAGCCCTGTGCTCAGAAAATTCCCAGTCAGCGGGGCACATCTAGGCTTCTCCCTGCAAGTCCCTATACTTGGGTTCCTCCCTGCTGGAAGCACCAGGAAGAGCTGGTGACAGTCAGGACCCCAGAGAAACGTTCCTCCCACATTCTCTCTCCATTCTTCAGAAAGTGGGTTTGATGTGCTAATGAGACATCAATTATTGAACATCATTAGCATTCATTACAATAACAAGCAGCAGAGGGGGGAATCACAAGGAAGGAGGGAGGGTCTTTCGAAATGTACTGCCATTTATGGGATGGGAGGAGGAATGGGAGAGCCAGGAATGCAAGAGGAGACATTCAGGGGCTCTGGGAGGCTCAGCTGTGGTCAGAGGGATGCAGGTGTGTAGCAGAGGGGGACCCTCCTCCTTAGCTGCCCCACCCTGACCAGCTTCTGCCCCAGATGCCATGTCACTTCTCCTGGTAACCCGCTCTAGAACAGGGTCAGACCCCCGTCCCCTCACTGCCTTGGTGGTGTGTGGATGGTCCAAAGGGAGCTCCTGAAATGCCTTGGCTAGACAATAGCCCCACTGGCAGGGGACATTCTCGAGGATCTGGGGTGGCGCACTCCAGGGTGTCTGAAGCAGTTTGGCTGTCCTGGCCATAATTTCCATGTCCCTTTTTTCCCTGTGCCTCCCCCAAGAGGCTCCACTCTGTCCTCCTAGCCCCCAGACCCCATCTCCCTCTTCCTGCCCTCTTCTGGGCTGCACCTTAATGAAAGAGAGGTGAGGCTGAGAATTCTCACCTCTAGGGCTCCCCCATAACCTCCCGCCTGCAGGCTCCCAGGGACAGGCCAGGAGGCTGGGTGGAACGTTTGGGAAGGGTAAGGTGTGTGGTTAAGATCTGCTGTTCCAATCCTTCAAACATGCCAGCTGCCCCCCACCCCCAGCAGAAAGCCATGCCCAAGATGTAGGGAGGAGGGCCAGAGGGAAGTTACCTGTGGAGGAGTGAGAGTTGGGGAGGGATGGCACCTGAGGCATTTCAGGTAGGCAGCTGGCACAGTGGTTGTGCCTGGGCACCATGCCAGCTTACAGGAGCAATTCTCATCTCTAGGCTGGAGGAATAATACCTGTGTTGCTCTAACCCTGATCAGTGGAGATGGCTTCCCCAGCCTCCCCCCTGCTCCCGGAGACCCTGCTTTTGAGATCTGATGGGAGCGGGAGGAGGCTCCTATCTGCTCTCAGGGGGTGGGCAGAGGATCAGGTGGGCTCAGTGAGGCATGAAGGCGACAGACCATCCCTGGCTCAACTTGGGGCTTTAAGGGTCTTTATTCCCGTTCAGGAGCTGTATCCCTTCTCTTTGCTTTACTCCATGGGACCCAGCTGTCCTGGGTTTGATGGGTATTGACTAAGTAGTTGAGGGACAGGTCAAATGAGCTCACAGCTATGCAGATGATCAAGAATCTTAAGGCTTCGTCTTTAAAAAAATGGCTGCACAAATAAAAAATATTATTTGAATCTGATTTAAGCACCCCACTATGGGGGGGGTGTCCCTCATGGTGCTGGAGGTTGCCATAGGTTGGGAAAAGATGGATGCATTGCCCTGTTAACACCTTTAAACTGTTACCAATCTTTGGGGGCTGATTCACAGAGTCTCTCCCCATCCAGGTCCCAGAGTGGCTTCCTGGCATCTTTCTGGCATCTAGTTTAACAGCAGAAAAATCTCTATGTAATGGAACAAGTATCTTTTCAACTGTCATCCAGGGGAATGCCCAGTTCCTTAATCTTGACATGACTGCAGGTCTTAACCGTCAGCCACATTCCTGAGCCCAGCTCTCTTGCAGCCACTATATGGTCATGACATGTGCCAGAGGTGGGTCCCTGCTTCTGGCAGCCCACAGGGTTAGGAGATGGTGGTGGTGACAGAAGAGAGGCTGGGAGCTGCGGAGTCAGGCAGAACTGAGTTTGAATTTAAGCTTGCTACTTTTAGATTGGGCAGGAGGCTAATCTTCTCTGAGACTCAACTCTGTCTCTGAAATGGTGCTGAAAACACCTTTTTCTGCAGGGTTGCTGGGTTAAATTCGAGAATATGGGTAAAGGCCCTGCTGATTCTCTTCTCTTTAGGTGGGTATGCAGTGGGGGATGGGAGAGAACTTGTGTCATGGAGGATACTGAGGGAGAGGCAAAGGGCACAGTCCTGTGCAGTTGTATGGGGGGCCTGAATGGAGGGATGGCAACGCAAATCCCCAGCCTCTGGACTCTGAGAGGCTTGGGATGCATCCATGCAGCAAAGGGGAAGCCACCCCTCCCCCCAACTCCTCCTCTACACAGGGCTTGCCACCTCCCATGCCCATCCTGGGCAGGCAGCCAGGCAGGGAGCTGGATGCGTGCCCACTGCACGCTCAGAGGCCAAAAGATGGGCACTGTCCAGTTGGCAGAGGAAGAGGCAGCTGGCTCAGGAGGGGAAAAGTCAGGGTGCTGACTGCTGGGGTCGTGTGCCCAGAGGTGTGTCCAACGCATGGCTTTTGGCTGCCCTCCTGAGCTGTCTGGCTGGATCCGGGAAGGGCCCCCTCCTCCTGCACTGGCCCTATCACCTAAATTACTGCAACTGGAGATTAATCTTTCAGGGGCATCTGAGTCTTGTCCCTAGCCAGGCATGTGGCTGGCTCAGGAGCAGGCCTGGGGGCGGGCAGAAAAGTGGGAGAGCCTAGATTAGGGCTGCAACTGGGTAGACCAGGAAGTGGGGAAACCGGTTTGTCATTCGGGCCACTTGGGGTGGGGTCTCCTCTCTTGCCTCTCTGCTTGCCTGCCACTCTGCCGACGGCCTATATGGAAGAGATGTACCGTGACCCTTTCTTGTCATCTTAACTGGTTTTGGGAATGCTGGGAGTAAATACAAGGGGCAGGGGACTCAGCTCACCTTCTCCTCCTCAAGAGATGCTTGGGAGAGAAGGGACGGGACAGAGAACCGGAGGGAGAGAGGAAGAAAGCAACCAGAACAGGAAGAGGGGTCGGAGTCGGTGCCAGCTGGAGTTGGAGAAGTTTGTGGAGCCATCAGGTAGGCCAAGGTGGGATTAAGGCGGGGGTGGGGCAGAGCCGGCTCTCTGCAGGTCGCGGGAAAGTGGCAATGGAATAATAGCCAAGCGAGGTGTGAGAAGGGGCAGGAGCTGCAGCGCCTCCTTTAGGGTCTTACTTGACGGGATGAGCAGACTCCCTTCACTCCGAGCTCGGGCCCCTGCAGTTCTAGCAGACGCCTGCAGGAGGGGCCGCAGCCAGAGCTGGGGGCAAGAAGACAGCCCAGCAGGGGGCGCCTGGGGAGTGGGTGCCCCCAGCAGAGCGGCTACCAAGGAGGAGGAGGGAGGGGAAGAGGGGGTCGGGGCAGAAGCAGAGGAGCGTCCAGACTCCCCCTGCATAGGGCCGCTGTGGCCTTCGGAGGTCACCTTGGCTGAAGGGGGGCCCTCCAGTCCTGGCGCCTTTTCTCCCTGTCCGGTTCCTCCCCTACTGCTTCTCCATCCCAAGCCGCGCGGCGGCTTGGAGACCTAGAAGTCCCCCACCCTTCCCTGCAGGACCTACCCCTAAGGCCGGTCCCGGGCCTGAGGTATTTGTCTCTGCCGGGGCGCGAATGGCTGCGGGGGGAGAAGCAGGTGGAGTGGGGAGGGCAGAGTGAGCGCGCCCCGCTCCCCCGTCCCGGCCGCGCGCCGAGGGAATCTAGCCGAGCCGCTAGGGGATCGAAGCGCGGCGCCCCTTCCCTCCCCGCTCCCCGCCGCCCCCGGCGGCCCTTTGTACTTTCCGGCCACACGCGCGCTCCCGCGCCGCGCGCGCTCCCGCCAGCAGTGACACACCCGCGCCAGCGCGCGCGCGCTCACGGTCACACACACACACACACACACACACACACACACTCGCTCTCGCACACTCGGTGACACGCCCGCGCGCGCGCGCGCTCTCACACGCCCGGCGGCCGGCGCCCTCCCAGCTGGTCCACCCCGGCGGGGTCCGCGCCCCCGGCCCGCCCGCCTGGCACCGCGCCCCGGGGCTGGGGCCGAACGACGAGCCCGCGAGGCGGCGAGAGGGCGAGCGCCAGGCAGGCCGGCCCGGGGCCCCCGCCCCCCGAGCCCCCGCCCGATGGGGAACGCTCCGTCCCAAGGCATGTCCCTGTCTCTCTCCTCCCTAATGTGCCTCCATGCTTAAGTGGAAGGTATTTCTGTTTTCTTTGTGTGTTTTCCCCTCGGCCGGGGGCGGGGGCGGCGGCCGGGCTGGGGAGGCGGCGGCCGGCGGGGCTAGGGATGCTCCGGGCGCAGGTGTGTGGGGGGCGGGGGACCGCGGCGCACCGGGCTAGGGAGGACGACCCGGGCGAAGGAGTGCTGGGACCAGAGCGGGTCAGGGCTCCGCAAAGCTGGGGACCGGGTGCGGAGGGCCTGGCGACGCCCGGGCGAGGGGCGCCGGGGGTTACAATTTAAAAGGGTAAGGGTGGAGGGAGGAGGGGGTGAGAAGAGGAAGGGGGTGGATGGTGAGGAAAATGGGGGAGGGGAGCGGTCCATTAGAGGTAGAGTTAGAAGATGAAGGGGGAGGTGAAGGGGACGGAGAGGTGGGGGGCGCATCAAAGGCTCCCTTTTCCCCAGGTCCCAGAATGGGGTGCACCCGCTTGGTGGCAGGAGCTTTGCGCCACTCAGGAAGGAAGGGGATGAGGGCATTCTGGGGTTGACTGTGTTGCCAGGATACAAGCCTGTATCCTCGCTCCCCCTTCACCTCGAGGCCCGAGCCCTGGAGACCTCAGAACCTAGGCAGCAGTTGCAGAAACTGGGGACCGGCTCCCCGCTCCACTACAGAGGGAGGGGCCAAAAGAGGGAAGGGCTGGGGGAGGGGCTATTTGATCTTAAGCCCTCCCCTTGCAGAGGCCACAGGGCAGGGAGGGCGCCCTCAGCTGGGGAGAGCATTTAGGGTGAGAGAGAAGATAGGGACCGTTGGCGGCTGAGGGACAGAAGGCGGGGCTGGGGAGGGGACGCGCAATGGCCCCCCCTCCCCTCCCACGCACCCCTCTGCTACGTCAGAAACTCCCGGGCCAGCTCCAAGTCCTGTCGGTGGGGGCAGCAGGATGCTGGTGAAAGCAGAGGGGGCCGGCCGGGTGCCTCCGCAGCTCGGCTGGCAGGGCTGGCAGGGCCCGGTGGGGTGTGTGCGGCTGCTAGTGCGAGGCCCCAACAGCCCGACCCCTCCCCATGCAGCCCTGGCAGTGCCTCCGGCGCTTTGCCCTGGCCTGGTGGGAGAGGACAGCCGAGGGCAGCTCCCGATCTGCCAGGGAGGAGGCTGGACCAAGGGACCCCGGGTGCCGCGGGGAGCCAGGTGAGCAGGAACTAGGATTGTGCAAGGAGATCCCAGACTGTCTTTCCCTTCCCCCAAATACTGTGGAACCAGAAGGTCCTGCAGCCCCCAGCTTTAAGGGATGTGGGTTCCCTGAGTGGAGGATTCCTGGCTGAAGCCTTTCAGGAGACTGTTGGAGCTACTGTTGTTTTGGGTGAATGCGAAACAGATGAGGGCAGGGAGTGGGAGGCAGCTGACCAGACTTGTGGGTCTGAGTGTTCCTTGGCCTGGGGTTTGGATATTCTGGTCTGGGTGACCTTGGGCCAACTGCTCTGATGTCTGCCTCTGTGCCTCAGTTTCTCTCATTCCCTTCCCTGCCCCTCTTGCTGCTCTTAAAGAATCGGTGATGCATTTGATACTGTCACTGTGAAAATGTGAGGCTCTGCCATCACTGGTGGCAGCTGGGATGGTGGTGGTTTCTGGCATGGTTGTGCAGGTGTATGTTTGTGGGGGACAGTTTTGGCTTATGCATGAGGGTTTTTGCTTGTTCTGGTAGGTGTTGGGACCACTGTGGGCAAGTGTCAGGGCCCAGCATTTACACAGAGGGCTCCAGGCAAGCTGAGAGTTGTTGGGGTAGAGACTTAGCTGGTGGCCCAGTGTAGAAAAGGGATGGGGGTGAAGGCTATTGGCATAAGGGGAGGGGGCCCCAAGAATAAGATCCCTGCCTCCATCCAGACTGCCTGGCACCCAGGCACCATTGGCAGTGAGTGCAAAGGCTTTGCCCTGGCTTCCTGCCACCCAGCCTTAGGGACAAGAGTGTCTTTGTCCAGTGCCCCCTCCCTCTCACTCCCAGCCCCGCTTCTTCCGCCCTTACCATGATGGCCAGTTCTCAGTGATGAGCCTCAGGGCTGGGATGGAGATGCAGGTCCCCCATGTGCTCTGAGGATCTGGAAGAAGCAACTGTGGTCCTCAGGCAGTGCTGAGTGGAGAGGGGGCTGGGAATGAGCTATCAGGTCACCTGCCCCCATCCTAGACCTTCTGCTTGCCTCCTTGCCTAATGCGGGGGTCTGGGGTCTTCATGGCCTGATTCCTGCTGGGCTGCAGGTTTCTTAAAGAGGAGCAGGGTATCCCAGGGTGGGTGCTGGGACATAGGGTCTCAGATGCTCTCTCTCCTTCTCTCTCTCTGGCCAAGGATCCACCCGGGAAAAATGGTTTAATTAGAACCATTGATTCCTTCTTTGGCTGCGGGCAAGGATCTCAACAGTGCCGTGCGGTCAGAGCTGGAGGATGGGGGTTGTATGGCTGCTGTCTGCCCAGTGTCAACATTAACTTTTGCTGACAAAACTCAAGCTTAGGAGGGAAGGGGCTGGGTCCTTTGAAGCACCAGGTCTGTTTTAGCCCTAGCTCCAGCTCAGGTTAGGTCTTGTGGAAAGAAGGGTTTGGGGGTTGAGGATTTCAAGTGAGTTAGCTGTGTTTTGAGGTTCGAGGGTCATCTTGAGTAGTGGGCCTGGGGCTTGGAAATGGAGGGGCAGCTGTGGTTGGGAGGGGTCCTGTGAAAGGGAGTCAGGAGCAATTGAAGGGGCCTGTGGGTGTGGGGCAGGCAGAGAGTTCAGGGGAAGGACCTAGGCTTTGTCATAAAAGCATCTCTTTCGAGGAATCCCAAGCACTCATCTCCTCCGAGCCCTGGCAAGGAGATCTGATTTCTTCCTTCATTTGTGTCCTCAAGGCTCAGAGAGGGACATAAACTATCCTCAGAGGCTCAGAGGGCCTGGGTCTGGCCTTTGAGTCTGGCTGCCTGACTCAGTGGCCCTGTCTAGGCACAGAGAGCTGAGGGTGAGGCTCCTGGCACCCTTGGATCTGGCCTTTGGGCTTGGTGGGATGTGGGGGACAGGTTGTGTCCTCCAAGCCCTGGCTGCCTGCCGTGGGAGGGCCGGTGCAGGTGCAAGCTTCAGTGAACCACTCAGATGCTCTTTGAAGAATCCCTTGTTGCCTTCCTAGGGCCCATTCGAGCAAAGATAATAAAAATCTGGCCGTCAGCGGGTTTGAGGGCTGCATTCGCTTCCTCTTCTTTCATTCCCAGTTCTGAAAAGCAGAGATGAAGGCTTTGGATTTGGCCAGGAAGCTGCGCTTGCCTGCCCTGAGGGAGGGAGGGAGGGAGCGAGTGAAGGACGCGGAGGGAGGCAGAGGAGGGAGGACTGATTTCCTGGCAGCTGGGGGTGGGGCTGGGGAGTAGGCAGAGGGGCAAGGGCATAGTCCCCAACCTCTGGCAGCCAGCCTTGGCCTCAGTGGGGCTCCTATGCCTGCTACCCAGCTTTGTTCTTCAGTTCCAGAGGCTGGGGGCCTTCCCCTCTCTACTCCACTGCTCCTACAGCCCCTCTATCTGCCCCAGTTTATTCTCTTGGTACCCTTTTTCTGGCCCTCAGTCTCTCCTTTTCTCTATCTACCCCTTTCCATATGTCCGTCTTCCTTTCTCCAGCATTAGTCCTGCTTTCTAGGACTGTCTGGAAGGTTGAGAAGCCAAGTTGGGGTTGGGGGGGGCAGCGGCAGCCTTGGAAGGGGCCCTCCTGGATTGACTATTATGGTCTGTCAGGTGCCAGAGTCATCAGAGTCCAGGCAGAAGGGGGCTGCTGAGCACTTAGAGATCTATGTGCGTGTGTGTGTGCATGTGTGTGTGTGTGAGAGGACGCCATCCTCCTCCCCTCAGCACAGTGGGCACCTTGCCCTGACATTGGGCTTCAGATGCTCCAGTTCTCCTGCTGCCTTCTACTGTTGCTTGATGCCGGAAACCAATGCCTCCAGCCCCCGGTCCCTCCACCCCTCTGGTTGCCCACTGTCCCAGACGTCACCGCTGTCCTTGTCCACTGTTCCCCTCACAGGCTCAGAGGTGGGAAGGAGGGTCTGAGGGGCATCTTGGCCCCATCTCCGTGCCCCTATAGGGCTGCCCGGAGCCTCATCCATCCTCTGTGCCCTTTGCCATCTCATAAGCCCACCCCACCCCCCGTAGGAAAGACAAGACTGTCTGGGAAGGAGCACTGGACCCAGTAAAGAAACTTCATTTTGATCCTTTCTCAATTCCCAGATGTCCGAGTGACCTTGAGCAAGTCCCTTCCCGGAGTGGGCCTCTTTCCTCACCTGTGAGATGAGGAGGTATGGGCTGGATCATCTTCAAGGTCTCTTCTGACATTCCTCCGATGCCTCTCTCTTCTGGGTGATTTGCATATGCTTTGCATATATTAATGGTGCCTGCTTGAAGGGGGAGGGTGCCACCCACAGGGACCAAAGTCCCACCCACCATTCCAACTCGCCTTGCCCATTGGCCCATGCCCTCACTGCTCAAATCTCCCAGGCTGGCGGAAGCTGAGGCCTGAGAGTTCCCTAGAGAAGGGAGTCTGGCCTCTGTGTGCCAGCCTAGCTGGAGGCAGGGTGGGGGAACAGCTCTAGTGGAGGGAGTCCCTTCCCTCATCAATCCTGCTCCAAAAGGTCTAAGCAGGAAAGCCAAGTGGTGCGTGGATTCACTCAAGTTGCCTGTGGCTACCATGAGGTGTGTGAAACCCAACTGTGGCTAGCTTGGGTCTCTTCCTCCTCCTTTCCTTGAGCCTGGGAACCCTCTGGATGCCAGGAACTTAGGTTTAAGAGTTCCTACTCTGGCTCAGCTCCCACACACAACCCAAGGCAAGTCCTGCCGTCTTGTGCCCTTGCCAACTTTTGCTCAGGCCGCTGGGCTCTGTGTATGTGTGGGTTGGAACTTGGACCTGAGAGATGGTCCCTGAGCAAGAACTAGATCATTGCCCCTCTGGGCCCTGCCTGGTCACCACAGCTCCCTGCAGGGGTCACAGATCATCACAGAGGGAGAACCTGCTGCCCTCAGTTCCACCCCTACTTCTATCAGCCCAGCCTGATCTCATGGGTGCTGCCCCGAGGGCTTCCTCCCCTGCCACCTAGCATGTGCTCTATGTCTGGCCCAGGCCGATGCCCTGGATCCCAGCCCCCAGTCCTGCCTCAGTTGCTTTCATCCCCATAATGCCCATCACATGGAGCAAGACTGGGGTAAAGGTTAGCAGCCTGGGGATGATAAAGTGGGGCCACTGACTAATGGTGAGAATTTCTTAAGACAGGAGCAAAAATGCTGTCCACCACCAAGAAGGACTAGGCTAGAGTAAATGCAGCAAGAGGGATCAAGGTTAGATTTGTCTTAGGAAGGGACTGTCCAGATACATTCCTGACCGTGGGATTATTGTCAAGATGAAACGAAATCATAGATGAAAATGTCCATCACAGTGCCTAACACATAATAAACACTCAATAAATGATGCAGGGGAGGCAACAGATGTCTCTGAATCCAGAGAAGACCCTCCCCTAACCCTGAGTGCTTGGATTCTGCAGGGGATGAGGAGTTAGAGGGACAGTTCTCAGAAGAGCTATTTCTCCCACACGCAGGCTGCTGCTCCCCCACCACATGCCTCATGCCCCATGCGTGCACCGGGACACCCTGCCCTCATCCGCCCTGCTGCAGGCAGGCAAACAAGGGTTTGAAGGCTGGGAAAGCTGCTCTTCTCCCCCTCCCCCTATCTTTGCACAGAACAGCTTGAGTGGAAACAGTTCTACACTGCAGTAGGAGGAATGGAGGTTAGATAAGAAGGAAACCTCCTGATGTATGAAGGGTGGCCACTCCAAGGGGGGGAGCTCTGGTGGTGCTTTTATATCTTTTTCAGCAATGATAGGAGTATATAAGCTCCAGAAGGCTAGTGTTGTACCCAGGGGCAGGGCACTGGTTGGCCTGACCTTCGAGATGATCTTTGGACCATCCTGAGAAGATCGATAGATCCAGTTTAACCTCTTCAGCTATGTGGTTGGCCAAGTGCAGGGGTACATTCTGAAGAGGGCTCCATAGCTGCCAGGGAAAAGAAGGGGACTGGAAAGTCAAGGGGGGAAGGAAGACTGATCTGAAAGAGGAGAGAACTGAAATGCTGTGTAAATAGCAAGCACTGAACTGGGGCCAGGTTGCCTGTCTCCCCTGCTGCTGTGTGACTTTGGGCAAGTTAGTTGCCCCCTCTGGTCTTCAAGGTCCTTGGTGTAAGAAGAGAGGATAGGATCAGAGAGTCTTTAAGTCCCTTCCAGATGTCATAGGTTCTACCTTCCTCCATTCCCCTGTGTGATCACCATAAGGCTGGGGTTGAGGTGGGGGGAGGGATGGGGAAGAATATTTCCCAACTCCATCTAAACCATTTAAATGGAGATTTGGCTCAAGAGAATTTTGGTATGCGTGCGCATGCACACACACACACACACCTACAGATGGTTCCTCTTGCTCCAAAGTCATACCTTGTCTAAGTCTGTCCTCCCAGCCTAGAGAATGGGTAAGGGAGTGACCAGAGGACTTAGCTACCCTCTGAATCACAAACTGTTTCCTCCCACCCCAGCAGAACTAGCTTTGCCCCACTCCATTCCAGCCAGGGACTATATCCAGTCTAGTGTTTTCTTCCACCGAGGCCCTTCCAGCTGGTGGCTCCTCTACCCCCACAACCTTTTCCTGGTTCCTGGGAGCTCCAGCCACCTAGTGCAGTTGCTTGCTTGTCCTAGTGTGGAGTAACATAAGACTGGGAAGGATCTTTACATGCCTGACTTCCTCACCTCTGCAAACATCCTCATCTGAGCACACTGGCTTCTTTTCCACCCCAACCAGAGAGTACGCCGGAAGCCCCAGACCTAGAGACCCCCACAGAGGGATCCTAGCTAGAGATGTTTGTGCAGAGCACAGGAGGTGGAAGGGGGTGTATGTTCTGCTGGCTCCCCCCACCCCCAGGGCATGTGATAATTGCAGACATAGCGGGGCATCTGTGGCGTCACCCCAGGCACCAGCATCTGCCTCATTGGGGAAGAATTAACGATCCCAGCTCACAGGCAAGGCATTCCACGGCTCAGTGAAGCTCTTGCAAACACATCCTGGCCTCTCTGCCTGCTCTCCTGGGCTGTGCCCTGACTACTCTGCCCCCAGGCAGTGGCCAGACTGGCTGGATGAGTCCCCATTCTTGTCCCAGTCACCTTTTATGTTGAAAGCTAAGGCTCCGAGAAAAAGTGAGAGCTGTGAGAACTGTCATTAATGCTCACTTTGCCAGCCCCCCAACTTTTAAGGCTCTTCCTAGCCTGGGTGCTCAGGGATTTCTGGATGTTAAAACAAGAAGGGGCTTTTGAGGGGATGCCTGGAGCCTCTTCCATGAAGCAGAAAAGGGGCCCCCTGGAAGGCCAGAAGTCACTTAAAGGTGAAGCTCAGGAAATCCTGGACCCGCTTCTCCTTAACCTGACAGCTCCCCTCCCACCCTTGGTCCTGGTCCACCTGCAGCCCAGGGTTAGAATAATCTGCCTGCCACTGCTAGGATGAGGCAGAAAGAGACTGAAATGAAACCTTTTTTTCTATTTATTACCCTTAAGAGATAGTTTATACTGGAGCATGGGATGGAAAGAGGCTAGATTTTAGGCAGAACTTCCCAGAAGGCACTGAATGGGAGCTAAAGAGTAGGGAAGATGGATGGGAGGCAGTTTAGCTGAGGGATCAAGAGCTCAGGTTAGACAGATCTCTGCTGGTATCCCAGCCCTGACGTTCACTTGCTGTGCGGTTTCTGGCAAGTCACTGAACCTCTCTGAAACTAATTTTCTTCATCTGTAAATTGGGACTGATAACAGTGATTTCCTCACAGGGTGGGTACCAGGATTAAATGAAGTAACTTAGGCAGAGTTCCTGGCCTGTTGTAAACCTTCAATAAATAGTAATTTGTCTTCATCATCCTCACTGTCCAAGGAAGGAGTGAATAGGGGGCTGCTCTCCTGGAGGAAGGGGCATACATGAGAACGCTTTAGTCTCTTCTAAAACCCAGATCCTCCCCTCTGCCTGTCTGGGGCCAGGCCCAGCTGCCATTTAAGGCTGGTGGTGACAAGTTTTCACTGCCCCCAACCCTGTGCCCTTCTGTCCTTCTGCCCCTTCCATGCCCCACTCTCAGTCCCTACTGCCCCATCCAGGAAGCCCTCAGGACCAGATACATCAGTGAGCATTCTTGATTTCTTCCTCCAGTCAATGTTCCAACATCTGGGTACAACAGCTGCTTCTCCCCAGGATGCCTGCGTCTTGGGTAATCGGAGGGAAAATTGGAACCATGAGATTGTCAGGGGCCACTGAGAGCGCTTGCAGCCAGACGTGATGTGCGTATGGATGGGTCTGAGCCAGCCAAGTAAGGACTGTGCCCAAGAGGGTGTCCAGGCTACAGTGGCTCCAGAGCAGGAAGGGTCTTACTGTGCATGCCCCAGGATGGAAGGCAGTGGGCAGGTATTGTGCCATAAGGGAGAGGGAGCCCATTTAGAAGGACTTCCCTGCAGGGCTAGAGCCAGGCAGCCATGATGGACAGCTGAGGGGCCCTGCCCTGGCAGTTTGGGGGTTGGATGGGTGCAAAGACAGGAGGGCAGGGGTGCCATGCACCCCCTCCCAACCCTTGCCACTGCCTCTGTCCCAGTGTGAGTGTGAGTGCTCTTGAGTGTGAAATGCCTCTGTGTCCTGTTACAGGCAGGGGAGGAGGGCCTTCCTCAGAGTTAGGGGGTGGATGGAGCAGCTCCCTGGGCTGGGAGAGGTTTGTCAGCAGAGCAATGATGGGAGGTCCCTCCAACTCTGAACCCACCAACCTTTCCGAATGGGGTGACCTTGACTGTGGGAGGCAGATAGACCCTCCAAGGTCTATCGTTTGGGATCTTGTGTGGGCACCCCACAAAGAGTCTGCCCCCTTTCTGGGAGGAGACTAAGGCCTGACTTGTTGGCTGTCTGTCCTGGGGATCTCATTCTGGGGACCCCATGTTTTCTGTGTCGTCCTGCTGTCTGTCCTCCTGTCTGTCTCCCACTGGTGTCTCTGCCCCCATAGCCCCTGCTCGTCCTCCAGCACACAATCTCTATACTGCCTGCCCCCCTGCCCCCAGTGACCCCAAAAGGGACACTTCCTAAGGCTCTGCCTAGCTCTGTCCATGCCGCACCCCCAAGGCCCCTGCCCCGGCCCATCCCACTTTGGGAGGCCCGCCCCAGCCCCTTCCTTTCTCCAAGTCCTCTCCTCCAGCTCTGGGCATTCATTCATTCACGACTTTCCTCCTTTCCTGTCCCTCACCCAGGGCTCCAGCGTGCAGCAGGAGGGAAGCCTCCAGGACTCTGTTCCCTCTGTTTAAAGTCTCCAGGTTAGTAAGCCAGGAGGGAGGCCTCCCCCTATGTCCCAATGCTCCTTAGCCAGGTGCCTCTCCCAGCTTAGATGGCCAGAAATGGGGGAGGGACTATCCCTTTTGCCAGGGGAGGGGGCAGCAGAGACCTGACTCTGGGGAGGGCGCCTTGCCTGGCAGAGAATGTGTCCATGTGTGCATGTGAGTTAGTGTGCGTGTGCATGTACGTGTGTGCGATGGCTGCAAAGCCTCCATGTAACTGGGCTGGGGAGGCGGGAGCAGGCTGGAGCCCTCTGCTGAGAGCACTCATGGTCTGGAGAGAGGGATCAGAGGCAAGGGGCCCTGCCCAAAGAAGCCCGTGTTCCAGGGATGGCCAGAGGGTGGGAGATGGGAGAAGACGGGACCACATCCAGCCTCACTACAACTTTGTGTGGTTGACAGACACTTGCAAACCTGTGCTCTCATTTCATTTATTCAGTCATTCATTCACTTGTTCAGTGAAGATTTATTGAACACTCCCGTGCCAGGTACTGCCTAACAGTGACCAAGACAGATGAGGTTTTTTCACTGCCACGTAGTGAGCAAACAGAGGTTAGGGGGTTGGCTGAGCCACCCCTGTGGGCCTGGGGCTGTGCTTGGCCAGCTGACTGGAGTACCGGCTGCCACCCCAGGGCTGTGACTCTGCCCACGATGGCCCATCCGCCCCTGCTCCCCCTGCTGGCAGCCACTCTGTACTTTAGTCTCTGTAGAGGGTCCCGTGGCTTGATGGTGTCCCTCCCATAGTGTGCCCCACCAAGCAAGCAGTGACCAAGGCCCTGGTGACCCTGGGGACTGTGGGCAGCACTTTTGGCGCAGCAGCTCCTTCAGAGGCCCTCAGGGAGCCCAGCCTGGGAGCCCCCGACCCCCACTCCGACTTGTGTGCCCTGCACCAGCAGCCTGGAGCACTGAACTTGATAGTCAGCCTGACCTGGGTTCAGATGCACTTTTAAGCTATTTCCTAGCTGTGTGGCCTTGGATAAGCCACATTCTGTCTCTGAGCCTCAGGGTTCTTGCCTGTAATACAAATGACAGTGTTGTTGAGGACAGAAAAAGCAGCAACTTGTCCAAAGCCGGATGGACCCTTGGCAGAGGCCACCTGATTGCTGGTTCCCTTCCTGTCCCCCCTGCCCTGGCCCGGCGTTGGGCAGGCTCTGCTCTAGGTACTGTCTGGATGCTGCCCCTGCCCATCCCCCATCAGGAGAGGGACTGCCAAGTCCCCATATTGGCTATTTGTAGGCTCCACGTCCTCCAGCCCATCTCCAGCTCCCCGAAGGATGTTTCAGCCCCAACCTGGGTGGGCAGCTGGGGGAGGCAGCCCTCCTTGCCACTGTGGCTGCCGCCTCCTGATGGCTTTTTAATAACTTTGCTCCGAGACAATCTGCAGAGCGCTCGTTTGTCTGCCTCTTAATTAAAATTACTGTTTTCCTAAAAGAGCAACAACGCTGTTCCCCTCCCTCCCCCATCCACGACTGCTGCCAGGAGAAGGCAGGAGTGACTTGAGACTATAGCCCTTCCCTTCCATCCCTGTCCTGGTCACACGGTACCCCCTCACCTCCACTTCCCCATACAAATATCAGAGAGGCTGAGGTTCAGTTGGAGGGCCAGGCTGGGGACAGGGAACCAGGGAGGGGTTACTGAATGCCCTCCTCTTTCACCCACCCTTTTCTGGGATGCTCCCAGAGGCGGGAGCTTCAATACCTCCTAAGACTTACTTTTTATACCTGTAAAGAGGGGGAGCAACCCCTGCCCTGCTTTACCAGCCAGAGGAAATAAGATGTGGGTGGGTTTTGGAAAAGTACTGTGAAGGATTGCAGAATGCCGGGGGTGCAGGTCAGGACAGAGGAGGCGTCCCTGGAGGTGAACACAGTGGGGTCAGCCTCTCACTCTTGACTCTGGTTTCAGTTAGAAAAGATCTCTGTCCCCTCTGTGGGCTCTGAGAGAGCAGGGGAGGGGAGGGCTGGCAAGGTGTACAGGGCTCGCTTAGTCGTTGCTGAATTTTGAAAAAAAAAGTCATATGGTAATAATGAAAATACTAAGGACCAATGTTATTGAATGTTTCCTCAATAATATATGAGCCATATGCTGGGCTAAGCTTTGTGCATGTGTTCGTTCATTTTATCCTCACAACCATCCCGTGAGCTCAATGCCGTTGTCTCTGTTTGATGGGGAAGTGACAGACTAGAAGGGTTAAGTGACATACCCAAGGTCACACAGCCTGCAGCCTCTTTTTGCTTTCCGCCTGAAGCCTTGCTTGGGTTTAGCCTCAATCCCTCGTGCTGTAGGTAGTGGCACACCTTTGCCTCCCTTTCTGCGCTCCCTCAAGCAGGGTTCTTCCGTGGTTCATGCCACTGAGAAGTGACTCTGAAGTTCATCTTCATTCCCTACCCCCAACACCATTCCTGGTTCCACCCCTGGGGAGGCTCAGGGGCAACCAGCCCTGGAGGGGGGGAGGGCAACTGGAGGTGAGTTACTGTTTTCACACCTTCCGTTCCAGCAGAGTTCCTCTCCACCTGGGGAAAAGACGGTGGGGACAGGAAACTGACTGTGGCTGTGACAGGATGTGCTGCTTGGCTGTGAGGCCAAGAGAGGTGGTCTTACATCCTAGCTCCACCAGTAAGGTCCCCCTGGGAACAGGCTCTGGAGGAGTGGGAGTGTTTGGGGAGGGGGAGTGGCCCACGCCAGGAAGGGCCACCTGAGATGTCCTTGTCTCCCTCAGCTCCCAGTTAGGCCTGGCCTGCCCCCTCTGTGAATCTTTGCTTCTGCGACTCCTCTGCCAGGAACACCCTCCCTTTGCCACCTCCCATTTCTGCCCCTCCTTGACCACCTGGGCCCGCTCCTCTGAACTCCCTTGGCACCGTCAAATCTCTCATGGCCATTGGTTCCGGACATAACCAAACCTACTAACCCACTTTTGCTCTTGGGGACAGCAAACGCAGTGCCGTCAGGGGCAGTAAATAAGTGAAGCAGTGATGAGGACAGTAGGGAATGGTGGGGCCTGTGGTGAGAGGAACGCATGTGCTCTTTAAAGGCATTAAAACTCAAAGGAAGCAAAGCAAGCAAAACAAAACACCACTAGGCAAACAAAATGCCTGTGTCCAGTGTGACCCCACCGTGACCCTTGCTAAACTGTGATTCATTTATCTTAGCATCCCTACATCACCAACACATAGTAGGTGTGTACTAATTGCTCGTTACATGACCATAGTTGAACATGCCAGGCACTGTTCTAGATACATTATGTATTTATTTCCTCCCATCTTCCCAAGTTGGGTACTATTTTCTCCATTCTGCCATTGGGGAAACTGACCTCCAGAGAAGTAAAATGATTTGCTTAAGGTCACATATATTATGGGAAGGGGCCAAGTCGAGGGTTCTGTCTTGGCTTGCTGTGTCCTTCCTGCTCCACTTGGTCATGGGCATGTGTATGTGTGACACATGACACATGCATTCAGTAGCTGCTCTGGGTAACAGGGAGTATTTAGTGGCTAGTGGCCACCTGGTTGACATGCACTGTACTCCCTGTGGGGAGGTAGGGTTGGGAGAGGTGAGGGCCCAGAGGCAGGGAGGGAGCAGATGCCCCTCACCCCAGCACATCCCTCCTCCCTCAGCTTCCGGTCCCATCCCAGCAGCCTGTGGATGGTGGCATGGTGACAGGTGCCGGGCTGCAGAGATGACAGCACTGCTGATTCCCCCATAATTACTGTCTGATGAGACGCCAGAATTAGCCACCGTGTGAGCATGGGATGCAGTATGGGGCAGGGTGTGGGGAAGCAGCTGGGGGTGAGGGAGCCTCTCCTACCAAGCCTGCAGGCCTCTGGCAGTAGGGCAGGGTAGGCACTGGGGAAGAGGAAGTAGGTTAGCAAGGAGGAAGAACTGTGTGGTTAATATACATCAGATATTATTGTGTAGGCTGTGGTTTTCCAGTCCTCAAAGCGGTCGGGTGTACCCCTGAGATGGCTGGCCTTTGCACAGGGTGCACGGGCCTCAGGCCACTGACCAGGAGACTGTGGGTACAGCAGGTTGCCCACTCAGACTTCTGAGCATACCCTTTGGTGGCTGGAGCTTGGATCTGCCTTGCTGGGGCTGTGAAGGGTACAGATGCTGGGAAGAGGCCAAGACCCAGGGCAGACTCCTTGAATCTCATTAGCAAGGCCAAGCACCAGAGGGCACATGGAAACACCCAGAAGGAGCAGGCAGGTTTAGTTGACCTTGCCAGGAGGGTTGCCCAGTCCAGGCAGGAGGAGTCAATTTGGCCCCTGAGGCCCAAGGTCAGGGGAGGCCTGAGAGTTAGGAGCAGAGGGCAAGGAAGATACACTCTGGTCCCAGAGCAGGGCTGGGTATGCCCTGGGCATTTGTTTCCCCTGCCACACCTGCTGGGAGCAAGAGAAGGACTGGCGAGGGCAGAAGCAGAGAGGGGTCATCTGGGCTGGGTGGAGCAGACCTCATCTGGATGATTGGAGCAGTTTTGAAGGCCACCAAGAGGGGTGGTGACAACATGGGGCTCACCCAACAGAGAGCAGGGCAGGTGGCTGGGGGCTGAAACCGGGCCACAGAAGGGAAGACCTGTGGTGCTGGGCTCTGGAGAGAAGATTGGGGTTCAGGAGCCTCCACCCTGCTCTGAAAGGAAGGCTGCAGACCTTGGCTCATCCTGAGGAAGGAAGAGCCCCACAAGATGACTGATGCCTTGGAGGTGACGAGTTCTCTGTTCCTGGAGGTGTCCAAGCCCTGGCTGGCTGGCAGTCCTGAAACAGGGAGGGCTTGAAATTCTCCTGTCTGGGCGGAGCCTGCGGCAGGGACTGTGAGGGCTCTGTATCCAGCTGAGGTGTGAGGAGGGCCTGGGGAAAGCCAGCTTCCTGGAGGTCCTTCAGGACTGCGGCGCCCCATCCCCCCCTGGGCTCCGGGCCTGTCCCCTCTGCATCTCAGCCCCGCCTGCGGGGAGTCCCTTTGGCTCTGCCCGTGTTGGGTCTCCCCAAAGAGGAGGGGGCTGAGGGTCTCTGTGCTTCGCTGGGGAGGAGGGCGGTTTGAGTGTTCCCTTCTCAGGGCCTTGGACAGACTAGGGGACCCAAGGGGCTCTTGCCCAATGGCTTGGATGAAGACTCAGGGGTGCCTTGGTAGCAGAATCCGCATGTTCCTCAGGGACAGCAGGGGAAAGAGGGGGGATCTGAGCTGAGAACCCCCACTGGTCCTCCACTTACCAACTCTGACCTTGGACAAGCCACACCTTTCTGAACCTCTGCTTTCTCACCTGTAAAATGGGAGAGAGCGACCCCACAAGGTGACTCTGAGAATTGAATGAGGAATAGACTGTCTCCAGCATGGGGATTATTCAGGAGGGGTATCGTTCATAGCTGGCCCACGCTTGCCACAGCATCAGAGAAGATTCGAGTTCAGGAGCCTGGGGCTGCGCTGAAACCTTGTCGCTCCAGATGGATGGGTGGGTTTACCTGAGAAAAGAAGGCTGGAGTCTTTGAGTCTTACAGGTGGAAGGGAAGAATGGTTATCGCTCCCCTGCCTTCCAGCCTGTGTCCCACCTTCTCAGACCCTGCTTTGGTGGGAGGGTTCAGGTTAGACAATGGGGAGAACTTCCAAAAAGATGCCCCTGGTGTCTGATCAGGCTCCCCAGGCCAGTCTGGACCCAGCGGTCAGGCAGGGAACTTCCAGAGTCACCTCCTGCATTCTCCCTCCTCCACCATCCACCAGGGTCTCTCCAGGTGCTAACCGTGTCATCCCTGGGGAGAGAAAATAATGGAAGGCAGATTGTTTGCTCCTTGTAGGCTTGCCGGCAGTAGGGCCATTAACCCATGCGGTGAGGGCTAAGCCTCGGAGCCCATCAGCCCTGTCCTTCCCGCTCCAGTAGCAGGTGGAAATAGGTCAAAGAACTACCACGTCTCGCCCTGGTGGAGGAGGCTGAGGACCTGCAGAGGCAGAACAAGAGCTGGGGTGCCCAGGTATGAGAGGAGCATCTCAGTCCTTGGCGATGCCTCATTGGCCACACGCCGGTCGGAGCAGAGTGGCCTTGGAGTCAACGGGCCCATCCCTCTCTTTCAAGACACTTTCAAGTAAACACTCCAGCAAGGAAACCCTGAATTTGGCAAAGGAGGAGTGGGGCCAAGGAAGGCGCTTCCCTTGAGAAGGCATAGCTGGACTCAGGATGGGCAAGTGGGGTCCCCACTGCCTTGCACCCCAAACTGGAGATGCGTTGACCTGGCCCTCAAGGAAGCCTCCAGACACACTGCAATCTGTGTTGGGGGTGGTCTTAAGTGTATATGATGTGTATTCATGGGTTCAGTGCACTGTCTGCCCAGAGGGCATCTAAGATGGCAGGGTGCTGAGTCAGGGTGGCATCAGTGGTGATCCCAGTTCAGGTTGGGCCCAGTGTAGATGCCTGTGGGGGGTGCTGGTGAGGCAGTTTGTGACTGGGTACATTTTGGTGAGCATGTGCTGGGCACATGGGAGTGAGTCATGGTGCACAGGTGTCACGGTAGAAGTGTGAGTGAGCTTAAGCATGTTCTGGAGTGACTAGCATGTGCTTGGAATCCAGAGGCACCGGGACCCTGATTATGGTGGTGGCTGAGGGAGCCACCTGGGTGCTGGCAGAGAAGAGGCCTCCTAGGGAGAGCCTGACCCGGTGTGGGATGGCTGAGGATGTGGGGCGGTGGGGGGAGGGCAGGCGTCTGGCAGGGCTGAGGCTCCTGCCCCACATCTGGGGGGCACTTGATGAATACTCGGTCCAGACACCTCCCTGGGGTGAGACAAGGTAACGGCTGGGGCTCCTACCCCTCACTTCCAACAGACTGTGGTCTCTCTCCAGGGAACAAGGTGCCCTCCCCGAGGCCTGCTTTCAGCCTGAGGCATTTAGGGGCATGGGAAGGTCCCTTTACCCACACCTGCTGCCCTGGCCATAGCACCCTGAGGCTTCGGTGGCCCTTGGGAGAGATGGAGCTCTGGCAGCCCCCTCAGAGTGGTGGCAGAGCTGGGAGGACAGGCGCCTGCCTCCCTCCCTCCCCACCCTCTTGCATTTGTTCCTTCCCTTCCTCCTGGCCTCTGTTACTCTCTGCTGCCTCTCCAAGGAGATGTAGAGCTGACAGGACACCTTTGCTGGGCGCGTGACTGTGGAGATGCCGTGCAGGAGTTAGCTTGTTAACGCGGTGCCATGTGGGCACATGCCAGGGCTGTTCCCAGCTTTTGCAGCAATGGCTTCAGACTGGGGGTGACATGATCCCCTCTGCATCTCTGCCCCCTCCCTTCCTGGAGAAGCCAATTAGCCAGATCTTCATCAGTAGCAAAGAATCAAAACCCTACTGTCCTGGGTCTGATAAAACTCTGACAGCAGAATGAAAGGAAATCAGGCGATGGGGCAGATCAGGAAGGAGCTGTCCCCACATCTAGGCCTTTGCCTTTGTGCAGTGCACAACCTGCATACCCATCTGCTCAATGTTAGTAGTGCTTCATTTTGTTTTTTTTTTTAAACAAATGAGAGGACTGAGTCTCAGAGAGGCTGCTGACCTACCTGCTCAGGGTCACACAACTAACTAGTCAGTGGCAGAGCTGGGTTTGGACAAAGCTTTCTCACTCCCAAATTCAGTGATTTTTGGTATGTTATAGCTTTGCCTGCTCGGAGGGTGGTGCAGAGAGAGGAGGGAGGGTTGTATATCTGAAATTCTGGCCAGGGGGCTGGTTTGTTGGCTCTTTTGCGAGGGGGGGAGGTCTTGTCGGAGGAGTGTGGTCAGGATCCCAGAAAGGACCCTGATTTCTGTGTGGTGAGCATCCCACTGGGCTGGGGTGGGCACCTGGGGTAGTGAGCAGGCAAGATCCACAGCGCTTCTCTCTTGGGCCCAGGGTGCCCTGGCGTGTTTTGCACATTGCTGCTGATTCCTCCCAAGGCCCTTGTTAGTCTATGCCCTCCTGGGGCCTGGGGCCTGGAGAGGGGCTCTCCTGGCAATCGCTTTCTGGGAAGTGGCATAGTGGAATGGAAATATCCTTGTCCCCAGGGCCGGGATGCCTGGGTTCCATTTCTGACTCTGCCCCCTGCTCTCTGGGCCTTGGTTTCCCTCCTGTGAAAGGCATTTGGCTAGAGGGAGAGCAGAGCATGGTTTTCAAGACTCAGGCAGGGATAAGCAGAACAGTCTTGAAACATCACACCTCCCTGCCTTAGAGATCAGAGACCAGGGGAGAGAGGCTTCACCGCGCCGGGGCTAGAGGGCTGCTGGGTGTGTGCTCTGAGGACTTGGAGGGTGGGGGAGAGGACGGCAGGGGCAAGGGAGCAAGGAGTCCACAGTCACGCAGGGCCTAGGGGAGCAGCTGGCGGAGATGGCACCGAGGCAAGCCTGGCATCTTTGACTGTCCCCAGCCCTCTACACCCACTCCTGAGGTGGCTTGTGGATTTCCTCAGCTCAAGCAGTTCTGTCCTGTAAGACCACCTCTGCCAGCAAGGAGGCCTCCAGTCTGAGGGAAAAGAGGAGGATCTTGCTCTAAGGGAGCTTCCAATCTATTGAGGTAAACAGAGGCCCTGCCCAGCACCTCTCAGAGAGGAGGCTCAGGCCCTGCCCTTAGGGAGTACCCAGGCTGAGGGGGTGATAAGGCTCTGTTCTAGGTGAGCCCCTAGTCTGATGGGGGGAGCATGGGCCCACCCCAGGGTTGCACCCGGTCTGCGGAGGGAGACAGAGGCTCTGCCCTGGGAATATACCCCATCTGAGGGAGGAGACAGGGGCCCTGGGATGTGCCCAGTCTGAAGGAAGAGGCCCTGCTCTCAGGGTGCCCCCAGTGTGAGCAAGTAGACAGAAGAGTCAGCCTGGGGATGGGTGAGAAGGAAGAGATGGCAGAGGAAGTATCTGGCTGGGGCAATGCTGCCTGACCCCCAGGGAGCCCAAACCCTCTCTTTCTCAAATTCTCTCTCCCTGGGGAAGGCCCCGGAAGCTCTACTGGGAGCAGCTGAGAGCCAGGCTCCTCCCAGCAGCTCCTTCCAGGCAGGTGAGCTCTCCCTCCCTCAGCCCTGATGAGGTCCCTTAATTAGATTCCAATTCGTTTACCAACTAAGTGGCCTTCGGTGGGTTTTAAATCTGCACCAATTGGTTTGTGTTTTTCTGCCTGCATGAAGTTGTGACTGGCAGTGCCTGGCACCCCCATCCTCTGCCTCCTGGCTCTTCCTTCTGGGCTCTGTGGCCCCTGCCCCACACCCCACCTGAATCTAGATGCCCAGCTTCCCAGAATGCAGGGGGAGCAGAGCTCCCTGGGAATGAGGGTGGAAGAGACCAGGGGTCACAGGCCACAGCTCTACTACCCACCATCACGCCCCATCCCTGGGGAAGGGAGTCCACACAGTGACTCATGACATCACTCAGCCTCCCTTGCTGCGTTTAATCATCCTGCCTGAGGCCCTTCTCCACTGCCTCTGTAGATCAGTGCTGAGGGTGGGGGAGGGAGCATCAAGTGTGCCACCAGCCCAGGGCCGCCCTGCCTCTGACACCCTCCTGCCTTGCCCAAGTCCCCTCACCACCGCAGTGCCCAGGGAGTGGTCCATCCTGGGGGGTGGGCTCCACCTGGCTTCTTCCCACTTCTCTGTCCCCCCTTTCACACCTCGGGGAAGGGATGCTGGCCTTCCCTAGGACCCACTGATGGCAGCTTGCCTGGTCTTGCCCCTGGCCCAGACAGGCTCTCCTGAGGTGGCCTGACAGTCGGGGTTGGTGGGGAATGGGGAAACGTGGGAGGCAGATGTGGGGGTTTCCGCCCCTCTCTGCCTGGAACTGGACATGGAACTCTGTCCTCACCCCTCAGGCCAGCTGCCTCCTCCCCTCCCATCACCCGTCCTCCCACTGCCCGCCCCCACCTCAGAGGCACTGGTTGAAGTGACAGGGAGACTCAACAGGGCGCTGGGCATTAGCAATTTGGGGGGATATTACACAGGAATGTTTACAGAAAGGCAATTGCCCAGAAAATGACTTTGGTTGCTGTGGTGTGGGGCGGGAAAGATGGTTTTAGAAAACAGACACAGATGGGCCTCTGCTCCAAGGACCCACAGATGGAAAGCAGGGCTGAGGGGCATGTGCACACAAGGAGCACAGAGCCAGGGGTCCCCAAAAATGGAGACATCAATTCCTTCACAGAGGGGAGGGCATTGCCTCACCTGATCCTGGTTCCTGGAGCCTCTGCCCAGCTTGATCTCTGGTCTCTGGCCTCTGACCTCCCAGCACCATGCGCTTTCTGATTGTAGCAGGCACCCAGCAAGATGGAATTGTCAGGCACAATTGATGGTGGCAGTCGCCTCGGGGCTCCTCCTGGGCGACTTGGGGGCCTCTTGCTTTGGCTGAAAATGGGAGGAGTGGAGGAGCCTCAAGCTGCATGTATTAAAGCATGTGTGGGTGTAGGGAGCAAGGCACTTCAGGGTCTGAACCAGGCCCCCCACCCTTCCAGCAATCTCCTGCACCCCTCCTCTTGCCCTGCCTGAGGACCTCACTGGGATCCAGCCCCAGGGACCTGCTCAGGCCCTGGTGGGGCCTGTGCTCAGGCCATGGTGGGGGCAACCCTGTGAAGCCTCTTAGGGTCCCAAGGGAGGGACCTTTCCCCGCTTCTCTGTCTTTGGGGAGAGGGAGATAGGGACTTGAACTCCAGGTCCTGAGCTCAGGTCCTCACAGCCAGGGGGCCCCAGAGAGACCTCTTTTTTCTGCAGCTTGTGGCTTCACTCTTCTGCCTACTTTCCCCCATTCCTCCTGCTCTTCCTTCTCCCTCCGCCTCCTCTTTCCCACATTCTCTTCTTCTGATGATGTCATGCGTGACTGTTGCTCAGTGCAGCCAGAGGACAGTAGACGATGACATTGGGGGTCAAGATACCAGACGGGGATGGGCTTGATGGCTTATGAGACGGTGTCACTAAAACGTGGAGACCTTAATGCTCATCATGAGTTACAGTGATGTCATGTAAAATAATGCAGTGGAGGATAAAAATAAAGCAGGCTCATAAATAAGTGTGGAAATTGGAATTGGTGGAACAAATAACAATGTCGCTTTCTTCCCAAGCAGCAGTACCTTTACCCTCAGCTGGCCACTGGGGGGCGCCCACCTCTTCCCGGTCACTCCAGCCTCAGGCAGTGTTCTTCCCTGTTGCCCAGGCTGGGAAGGTTGAGCTGAGGGTGACCAGAGCGCCCCTAGCCCCAGCCTTCATTTCCCCTCTTTCTGAGCTGGATTTCTCAGTACCCTGGATCTTCCCTGGAACTTGAATCTCTGACTCAAAAATCATGATTGGCCTTGCACACTGAGAGGCCTAGGAAAGACAGCCAATCCTCCAGCCCCAAATTACCTCCCTGGCTCCCTGAACCCCCTTCACTCAGGGGTTCAGTCCCAATGCTCCTCCCTCAGTGTACCCCAGCTCTGCTTCCCTCTCCAGGACCTCCCCATCCTCCCCTTCCCTCAGAGCTCCCTGCCTCTGCCACTCCACCTCAGAGTCCTGCGATTCCCATGTCCCTGCTCCAGCAGAACCAGCCCTGCTTACCCCCTCAAGGCCTCCCTGTCCCATCTGTCCCCTTACCCTCCCTCAAGACCCCTGCCCGGATGGATCCCCCACCACTCCTCTGTTGCTGAACAGGAAGCATCGATTTGCTCGGGGCCACAGTGCTCAGAACCTGCTGCTTGCTAGATTGGAATCGATCTTTGGGCTTTTCACTGGGCTGCTCAGTCTGGGGAGGGTCAGGGCCACCCTGAGGTCTTGGTGGTAGAGCAGATGCACGGGTAAGGGAAGGCTGTCCTGCTAGGGCTCAACAGCCCATGTGCCAGGAATGTCCTTAATTCAGAAGAATGTACCTTCCTCTCCATTGTCTTGTCAGCTTCTCACTCAGTGCCCAGGGGCAGGGTTCCAAGGTTAACACCCCCATTTTACAGATTAGTGCCTTCAAGCTCTGAGAGGAAAGAGACTTGTGGACTGAATGGATAACTAAGTGAATGGCCACGCTGGGTTCTCTCAGGGAAGGAGCTGACTAAACCCAGGGTATCTCTGGCATGGGTTTTTTTCCTCCCAATGCTCTGTCCTCAAGTGCTCAGGGTTGTTTCAAGGAGATAAAGTCATACCTGAGCCCTCAGAGCCCCCACAGGCCTCCTCCCAAGGGTAACAGGATGGCCCCCCTACCCAGAAGCCCAGGCCAGTCCTCCCAGTGCACTGGGGCTCTGCAGAAAAGAATGCAATATGCACAGAGCAGGAGCTAGGACACCTGGGTTATGCATGTGCCTCTCCTCTTTCCCAGAGCCTGGTTTCTGGCTTTGTTAAATAAAGCCAAGGATCTAGAATGTTCTTACAGAGATTCTAAGGCTTTTCAAATCAAAGCCCTTCCTTCCCTCCTCTCCACAGAGATAACAGGCTGTCTCTCCTGCCCCTTCCCCTCTCTCTGCCACCCCCCCCAGAGTCCAGCTCCTGTGTCACTCCAGCCCCTCCTTCCACAAATGCCTGGACACCTGAGCCCTGACCTCAAGGAGGCAGGGAGGAGTCAGTCCTTGCTCCACTCTGTTCAGACCTGTTCAGCAGGCCCCTTACCACTGCTGCCTGGCTGCCTGTGTGAGATTTATGGGACTGCAGTCATAAATAGGGCTGCGAGCACACGGCCACTGTCCGCAGCTAATTCTCCGCCCTCCCTGCTGCCTGCTCTGGTAGCCTGGACCCCTTCCTGCCAGCTCTGCATTGCCCCTGTAATCTACCTGGGAGATCTGGGGTGACCCCTGGACCTCCTCACGGTCCCTGACTGCCTCAGACAGGCACACTGTGTGCCCCATCCCAGACTCACTGCGCTCTCCCCCTAGAAGCCAGGGAAGGAAGTGGTGGGGGTGGGGATGAAAAGCTCTAGAGGGTCCAGGAGGGCAGATGAGAACTGGAGAAACCGTCCCAAGGTTCTATGAGTGTCCAGAGCCCTAGGAGGGCGGCATGAGCCTGGCTGTCTGGCACAAGGGGAGAGGCCCCTCTGGCTCAGGCACACTGGGCTGGACTCTAGACCCAGAGTTGCAACAGCAAGGCCATGGGCAGCATCCTCCCCTGCCTGGGCAAAGAGAGGGCTACAGAGTGCCCAGGGCCCTTGGCCATGGAGGGTCTCCTCCTGCTCCCAGTGAGGTTGCATACCTCCAGCTGGTGGTGAGGGTGAGTGGAAGAAGGAGGTTTAGGGTTACAGGGGGCAGTCCCCTGACTCTGCAGCTATTTCTCCAGTGCTGGAGCACCCCCATCCTGGCCCCTCTTTCCCCCAGACGATTATTCAGGTCACTCCCTTTCAGCCATTCACTGGCCACCCTGGGCTGCCACCAGCTCCTCAAGGGCAGTGGCTGGCTCCTGTGAAGATGGCATTCAGCCAGGGGCCATCTTCAAGAATTTTTTCCATATCAGGGAACCTGTGCACTGTTTTAATTCAGTATGTTTTTCATTTGAGCATAAATAAATTTACTTAAAAGGAAACCGTATCTCCCTAGCCATCCCGAGGAATGATCTCCATGAAATCAATGGTTGAACCTTCCAGTTGGGGTTTTTCCCATCCTTAAGAAAATAAAGGTGGGAACTCTGAAACTCTGAAACACTGTTCTTCCCAAGGTCATCTCTTGTTTATCTGGACTTCACTTTGGGGAGCACAACAGAGGGTGGTGACTGTGGAGAGAGGGAGCCGAGGGAGGGATGCAGGAGGAACTCCAGACCTAGCGCCAGGGTGTGGAAGCACCAGGTAAACAAGGAAGAGCACCCAGTCCCACGTGGTGCTGTCATTGTCCCATCAGTAAACAGTTGTCCTCTGGTGAGGAAATGGGGTGGGAAGGGATAAGGTGAGCCTAAAGGAAATTAGGGTCAGATCTGGCCTCCGCCACTCACTGTAGCTTTGGGCAGGTCTCTGACCTCAGTAGCCCCATCTCTGAAATGGGGCCACAGGAACACTCCCCAGAAGGGGTGTTGGGAGGCTTGAAGGCCGTGATGATGGCAGTCAGGCAGGCACTCAGAGGCTGTTCTCTTTGCTTGATTTTGGTGGGAGGTTCTGGGTTCTCTAAGGCTCTGTCCCCCAAGTCTACGTGCCCAAGCCATAGCTCAGGGAGGAGTGTGTGTGTTTGTGAGTGTGAGTGAGTGTGTGTGTGTGTGTGTGTGTGTGTGTGTGTGTGTGTGTGTGTGCATTCATGCGCTTGTTGGGTGAGGGGTGGTTTTTCCTGAAATGCAGCTGAATCTCTTCTTTCCTCTTGTGTTGGACGGGAAGTGACTGAGGCCTGGCAGCGAGCCTGATGAACTGGGGATGAGTGGAGAGGGGCTGATGAGGGGGGCCAGGCTGGATGGACCCTGGCTGGGTCCTGGTAGCCCCACCTTCTTCCCTTTTGCCTCAGTGGTCCCTGGCCCTGCACCTTGGCCAGCGCATGGGGGTGCATGTGTCTGCTGCGGGGCTAGACACCCCCAGCCTGAGACTACATTTGTGGGGTGATGCTTTGAGGCTGGTGGATTATGAGGCTGGGGGTGTGCCAGGGAGACTGTTTGTCTCCCAGTGGGGAGCAAGGAAGGCCAATCTGCTTTACTCCCAGGAATATGGCTGAGGTAAGCCCCAGCAATTCCTCCTAGCCCTGGCACGGGTGACACTGGAGCCACTGTCCCCTGCTGGGATGTGGGCAAGTCAACCTCAGGACTGGGCCTGGGGAGGCCAGGAGCTCAGGGCTGGGGCCATGTGGGGAAGGGATTCCGAAATCTGAGTGGGGACCTCAACCCCCGGCCTTCTCTTTCTTTTGCTTCTGTACTGTCCTTTGTCCGCTGTGTGTCCCTTCTAGGTCTTGAACTTGTGTGTGTGTGTGTGTGTGTGTGTGTGTGTGTGTTGGGAGAGGAGACTGAAAGAAGTGGGGGAAGGTCCCAGGAAGAGGGCTTGAGCTGTTCTTCTGTCTGCTTGCTTTCGTCTTTGAGTTTGTCCCCAATCCATCTCTCACTGTCCTTTCTGTGCCCAGCCTCTCGTTTATCCATCTGTCTGTCTCTGGGAGGGAGGGGAAAGGGGGCCTATGACTCAGACCCTGGACCACCAGCTCCTTAGGAAGCCCCGAGAATGATCTTTGCCCTTGTCCTCTACCTCAGCTCCACACTCTGGGGAGCCTAGCCCTGCCGCCTGACACCCCCACCAACTCCTCACCCTGGCCTTTAGGACTAGTATCCTGGACATGCTAGTCTGAGGGAGGAGGCCAGCTCCCCCACCCCCACCTCATCTCAGAGGATGTTCTTGATAGGGAGATGGTGCAGCCTCCTCTCCACATCTTTCAGAAGGCATCCAAAAGGAAACTCCCCTCCCTTCAGGTGGGATATGTGATTAGACAGTGTCCAGGACCCCTACTTCCAACCCCTTCTTGGCCTCAAAGGACAGAACCTCACGTGTAGTCATTATCCCTGCAAACTCACCGGAAGAAGGGCAAGAAGCTGGGCCCTGCCCTTGCTCCCCACCTTCGGACCTCCAGGCTCACTCTCCAGCCCCTGTGGGTGTGGGCAGCCCCTGCCTCACGCCGGGCGCCTCTTGCCCTCTCTTAGGCCGGCCCCTTCCTGCAACGCCCCCGGCGGGGGAAGGGCAGCCCCAGGAGGGACGCGCAGTGACTCCTCCGTGCCCCATCTCCCCTCTCGCAGATCCGGAGCGGAGCAGCCCCCCCATGCTGTCTGCGGACGATGCCGAGTATCCGCGAGAGTACCGGACCCTGGGGGGCGGGGGCGGCGGGGGCAGCGGGGGCCGGCGCTTCTCCAACGTGGGGCTGGTACACACGTCGGAGCGGCGGCACACGGTGATTGCCGCCCAGAGCCTGGAGGCGCTCAGCGGTCTCCAGAAGGCGGATGCCGACCGCAAGCGCGATGCCTTCATGGACCACCTGAAGAGCAAGTACCCCCAGCACGCCCTCGCTCTGCGGGGCCAGCAGGACAGGATGCGAGAGCAGGTGAGTGGGGGCCTGCTGCGGGCTGGGGCGGGAGAGGGTTTGACCCTTGCTCCCCTGCCCCCAGGCTCATTCGCTTCTGAGAGGCACAGGGGGCAGAGAGAGGGAGGTGGAGTTAGAGGGATGCCCTGATTGGCCTTTTCTGAAGCCTGAAGGAAGGGGGTGGGGGCTCAGCCTTTAGACCTCTGCCTGCAGTCTTGCAATTTGGAGCCCAAGATCGCGCAAAGAGAGACCGGACTCTTAACTTGGGCTGTTGGACTGGAAGTCTGTCTTGGAGGCCAAGGGAGTGGTAGGGAAGGGGAGGGGACAGCCTTGGGGACTGACTGTTCTGGGCCTGAGGGTCCATCTGGCAGTGGAGTTGAGACACTTGGGGTCAGCACCTTTGTGATATGGCCCTTTGGGAAAGACCTTGTAGGCTGGACCTGATGTGCCCCCAGTTCCTGCAAGAACAGAGCCCAGAATTCTGGGGCCTTTTACCTCTCTCTTGGTTCCTTCTCCCAAGACTCACTGTGTGACTTTGAGCTAGAGGCTGCCTCTCTCTGTGCTTTGGTTTCTCTCCTGCCATCAGTAAGGCTTAGAGAGGAGTCAGGGCCAAACTTCTCCCAGATTGTTGGGTTCTTAGACGCATCTCTCCATCCAGGTATGGCTTTCTTGTCTGTAGGAAAGTTCCTTCTTGGGATTAGCCTTCTACTTACAGTCCCACATTGGTGAGGTACTGTGACGGCTGCTGACACTCAGGTTTTGTCCTCTGGGAGAAAGGGATGAAGGGAGGGTGGTGCCTCCCATCAGGGCCTTTCAATCAAGCCTTGGGGTGTCAGGCCCTGCTTTCACACCTATCTTGCTCCGTTCCCCTTTCCAGGTACTGCTTGGTCTGGCTGGGAGAGGGAAAGAGTGTCCCTGCTCCTACCCTCACTGCAGGGAGCAAGGAAACACTGGCTTATTTCTGGTACCATGTCTGTTCCCTGATGTCACCTCCAGTTCTATCTGGCTTTGCCTTTCCCAACTCCAGAGTCCTCCTGGGAGCGGAGCTCCATCTGGGATAAGGGAGAGCTGCAGATGGAGGAGATACAGCCCTCACTCTCAGGGAGCCCCTCTCAGCGGGTTCCCTCCGTATGCTCTGGCTTGGGTGGGGGCAGGGTATATGTAACCTAGATGGGGTGAAAAAGATAGTTAATGTTAAGTATGGAGGCACAGTCTGTTGGGAGAGATTTAGAGGTGGGCAAACCTGGTTAGTGAAGGCTTCCAGGAGGAGGAGTTACCTCAACTAGTCTTAGAAGAATGAAAAGGGTCTGAATAGACATCGAGGAAGAGAACGTTGTTTCAGGAGGTGGGAAAATGGGAAGTAAGCATAGGCCTGAGTTGGCTGGGGACTGGCACAGAGGCACACCTGGCTGGCACTAAAGGCTCAGGATGGGGAGTACTGGGAGGTGTGGGGGCAGACTGGAAAAGTGGGGCCAGGTGGTGGTGGCTAGGAGGGCTGTGGTTGTTTTTGGGTGGAGAATAGGAGGGGACAAAAGTGGATTCGAGGCAGTGGGAGAGGAGGAAGAGGCGGACCAAGAGAGGACCAAGGGCAAGGGCCTAGAGGGCTGGGGGAAGACTGAGCAAGGCTTGTTTGCTGCCTGGACCTAGGAGGTCCTGTTGACAAGGAGTTGTCGGTGCCTTGGGGAGAGATAAGCGGGGTTGGGAGGGAAACATCGGGGTGGAGGACAGAAACATGGGAGATGATTTTGCAGACTGGGTGAGGCATCACAGGGATGTCGGTTAGGCACGGTGTGTGCAGCTCATGACTCTGAAGGGACCACAGGTTCAGAGGAGGGCTGAGTGTGACCAGGGCAGGATGGAAATGCCCTGGGGCCTAAGTGCATCCACAAGGCAGAATGGAATCTGAGAGGGGAGGGGGCTCACAATGGTGGGAAGAGGGCCAGTCGGTTACATCTGCATCATGAAGAAGAGGAGAAAGGCCCAGCAGGGGGGCCACCTGCATTTCAGACGTCAGGAGGGATGAGAGAGAAACAGCCACTGGGACTGGCCAGGATCCATGGTCCAGAGGGTATGGGGAGCTCACTTCTCATGGTGTGATGAGGTAATGTCCGTTCAAGGGCTGAGGAGGTTGGAGGTGGTGAGAGAACAGGACTCTTGGCCATAGACCTGTCTGGGGAGGTTTGGCCAAAAAACATGCAAAGCTGGGTTGGTGGCCTCAAGGGGCCCAGACCTATGAGAGAAGACATGGGTGTGTTTGAGGGCCTCAGCCATGTCTGATGTGTTTGCTGACAGAATAGGTTCTCAGTAAATACTTAGTAAACAAATCAAAGCACAGCCACTGACAAATTCATTCCTTTCTTCATTCACTCATTCATTCCATCCCTCACAGTGTGAGTGGGCAGGACCTACAGCCATTTCACTTGCCATGGAATGCTTGGTGCCTAAGCACAGTGCTGGCCCAGGAGATGTCTGGAACGAGTGAAGGTGAATGGGTTTGAGGATGCTGAGGGGGAAGAGGACCACGGGGAGAAGGTCCTGGAGGAATCAGGAGGAATGGGCTTCAAGCTCTAGGTATGGCCTGGGGGTGGGAGAAGAAAGCCTCTTCCTCTGGCGTGGCAGGGAAGAAAGAGGTGCTGTCGCCACAGAGGCACATGGGGGTGAGGACTCCTGCGGGTTGGTTCCTGTATCTGTGAGGTAGGAGGTGACCTCTTCGGTGAGGGGGGATGAAGAGCTAGAGGAAGGGAAGGTGAGGACCAGCTCCCTGGCAGGGTGTAAGGAGGCAGTCAAGGACTGAAGAAAAGGCTTCCAGAGTATCATGGAAAAGGCCCTCCTAGGGGCTCAGGGAGCCCCCAGTATGACAGGAGAGAAACATCCAGAAACAGACCACAGGCTCTATTTAGAGACCCAACCTCAGGAAGGGACTAACCAGTGTTGTAGGGTCCCTCTGCGGTGTGAGCTCTGTGCCAAAGCTTGTCTGAGGAACGCCCCTCCCTGCCCTGTCACAGTCCCCCAGCGGCTCCTGCCCGCTCCCCCTAATGGGGTGTCCCCCCCTTCGCACACACAGGTTGGCGGCTGGACCGTGGACCCCGTGTGCCTCCTCAGCTCCCTCTGCTCCCACCTCCATGGCGACTCCGCCCCCTCCGGGGCTGGCCAGCCGGCCCAGGTGAGTCACCCACCTCTACCACAGCCCCCAAGCCCATGGCGGAGTTTGGCTTCGGGGAGATTTTTTGAAGGGGGGATATCCAGGATTTTAATTTTGCATCCCTTTCTCTTATATAGGAGAGCCCCATTTTCAGGAAACTCCTATGCCTTTTACTCTCCCCCTAATTGCCTAATTCCTACCAGCACCTCCCCAAATGCTTTGAGGAAGGAAATTTTTAAGGAGGAATACTGTTTTAAAAGAAATTTTTGGATTCTTTTCTCCTTTAAACAGGAGTACCACCCCCACTCTCACCCCATTGGGTCTCAGGAATCCCTTATACCCTATATTGAGTCCCACCACCCACCTGAAGGCCTGTAGATCATCTCATTCCTCACCCTGTTCTTGCATCTTAGAGCAGACCCAACCTTCCCCGGATGTCTCACCATCAGCAAAACTGCTCATGATGCTTCTCTCCCACCCTTCTGGCTATTGTCAAGGCTTAGTTTCAAATTTTTGAGACTTTGGCATCTAGCCATTTGTTCTGAACTTGTCCCCTGATTCCTCATCAAGCCTCAGTTTCCCTAATAGGAGGGTGGATCTCAGCTTAGAGAGGGGCACACTCAGACTGGGCTTGGGCTGCATCTGAGGCCTGGGCATTGCCATGGGAGAAAAATAGGCATCCGAGGCCCAAATGGGGAGGGGAAGCCAGAGTCAGAGTTGCAGCTGGGAAGGGTGCTTGGCTGTAGGAGGCAGAGAAGGTACAGAGGCAGGGCATCCACTGGATTGCAGGGGTGCTAGGCACTTCCTCACACCCCCTGCTCCCCCTGGACAGGAACAGCAAGGCTTAACTTTTGGAAGGAGAATTAGGAGTACAAATATGACAGGCTAGGAAATGACAAGGATCCAGAGCACAGATGTTTTAGGCGAGTATAACTCAAGTCTATGAACAGATTGGCACACCTGACATCACTCATGGGGCATTCAGTTCACATCCTTTTCTGGCTCTCTGCCCCATCTTGTCTGCACTATGGGGAACAAAGATGTATTTGCTTCCAAGGCTGGATGGCAAGTGGGACAGACTTGTCCTGTGTGGCCAGGTACACGTAGAGGCAAAAATGGGGCTGGGACAGGGATGGTGATGGGGCAGATGATAGATGCTCTGTGCCTGGGACATAAAAAGGCCCTTGGCCCAGATGGAATGTCTTGGGACTAGTTATGGTTGGGATGATGGAGAGGATTGAGGCTAGACTTGGGGCGTTCCGCTGCCCCAGGTCATGGGATTTGGGGCCTATTCTACATCTGGAATTTGCTCTGATGGAGTAAAGGGGAGAGCTGGAAGGAACCCTCACTTCAGGGCTTTGTAATTACAGAGAAAAGTGGCTGTGCACAGACAGGATCTTATCATCACTTGATAACTCAGTGCTTATTACACTCCCATTCCCCTGGGCTGAGTCTGAGGCTCCTTTCTGTAAAGTGCAAGACCAGAGACATTCATCAAATGCTAGAGTCACACAGCAGAGTAGGATCAGAGGCCATCATGGAAAAAATTAGGCATCGCAGGCCTCCCAGACTTGACTGGGAGTTGAGCCATGGGAGAGCTGAGAGGGCAGTGGCACACCTCTGAGACCCTGGTGGGGAGAGGCTGTGAGGTCCCCGGAGGGGGGCAGGTGAGGACGCAGGACACGCTTCTCTCCGCCACACTAGGCTAGGCCTTGGGGAGTGAGGGCCTGAAGAAGACCCTGGGAGGGGATCAGAGGCTAGACTCCAAGCCTCAGCCCCTCCCCCGCTTCCACAAGCCTGTCTAACTTCCCTCCCCCCTGCAACCCGAGTCCCGGGCGGCGGGCCGGCGTATCGGGTGACCGCGGCGACGCAGCCACCAGCCTCCGCCGCTCCTCGCCGGGACTGCGCCGGCGGGGCCGCGCCGGGGGAGGGGGCTGGAGAGAGGATGAGCACGGCGGCGCGCCGCGCCGCGCCAGGTGGAGTCGCCGTTACCGGGGCGACCGGGGCCCGGGCCGGCTCGGCAGCGGCGGCGGCTCTCGCATTGCAGCAAAGGGCACCGGCGGCGGCGGCTGCGGAGGCGGCCGGGGGAGGGGAGAACCAGGGCGGGTGGGAGTAAGGGGCCTCCCTCCCTACCCCGCCCGACGCTGATCTGGGGGTCCAGCGCATACACCTGTGGCCGCAGGTAAGGGCGAGCGGTTGCGAGGGCCGGTCGCCACCTCGGGTTCTTCGGAGGCAGGGGCACGGAGATCCGGGGATCTTTTCTGCACCTCCGAGGGGCCATCCGGGAATAGGGGGCGTGCAGGCTGTAACGGTTCCTGATCCCTGAGCAACGCCCCCTCCCCTCCCCCACCGCGTTCGCATCCTTCCCCAGGGGCCGGGCCCCCACCCCAAAATGCGGCTGGCTTCTCCTCCCCCAGCCTTGGGAAGTCATGACCTTCCGGCGTGCACCCTGGCCCCCGGCGCGGCGCAGGTCCCGCAGCACTCCCTACACACACACACAAACGCACACGCACACGCACACTCATTCTGCATTGGGAAAGGGTAGAGCAGGTGAGGCTGTAGATGGGCACACCTGGGGAGAGGGCTGTGCATGTGCATCGCGGTGAGCGGCTGGCGCCGGCTGGGGCACAGTATGTAGCCCCAGCCCGGGAGCCGGGTGTTTACGTGGATGTGTGCTCACAGGAGTTGAGAGGTGGGTGTGTGCACCGGTGCACGCGGAGCCAGGGGATTAAGGAGCAGGGGTGCGACCCATGGGCTGTCCTCCCTCCCTGTTGGATGCGTCGTCGGGGGTGGAGGTCAAGGAAGGGTCACACATTCACCTATGCTGCAGGGAACGCCTGCTTAGAGCAGGGGAGAGACCTCAGCTGGCTGGGCCAAAGCTCCCAGGGCCTGCGTGGGGGAGAAAGGACCAGCTTCAGGGGAACGGAAGAATCCCACTAGGACGCCTAGGGTGGTGAAAGGAGGGAGTTACTCCTCAGCCTCCAGAGAGAAGAAACTGTTTCCTCTTCTCACCAGGGAGTTTGAGGACTCCCTGCCTTGCTTACTGGGGTCCCTGGGAAGCTCCCCCTCCTGCATTTCTGAAAGCTTTGTCCCTACAAAGGGATTGGCTTCCATCTTAACTTCTTAAAATACCTCTCATTTTGCAACTGATCCTGTAAGCTTCTTCCCTAGGAGTGGTGACCCCTGGCAGGGTTTCTCCCACCCCACCCTGTCTTTTCTTCACCTTCTCACTGTCTTCTGGGAAGGTGAGATCCCTCCCTGAGTATGGAAGAGGGAGGCAGTTTCACGCTGGTACTGGAGACTTTCGCTTGGGTGGAGAGCCAGACCTCTCTTGGGCCCTTCCTGCCTCTGCTCTCCTTCCAGGGGGTTTCTGGTGCTTCGAAATTCCGGAAGGCTGGGCAGTGCTGGGTATCAGGAGGTGGAGGAAGTGGTGCCAGACAGGAGTACTCATAGGCACCCCCCATTTTCCTGTGTGCTGGTCCTATTTTATAGGTATTCATCCCTGGGCAAATATTTGTTGAGAGCCTGTGTACAGCAGGCACTGTGTTGGGCAGGACAGGAGAAGAAGACAACTAGGAAAAGTGTGAGGAAGTAAAGGTTCTGGAAGTTGGATGGGGAGAGCCCCACCTTTGCAAACTGGAGAGGGGCCTTCTGTGTTCAACCACACAAGGCTGTCCCTGGGTTGAACACCCTGGAAAGAGACAGAAACAGGGATGGATGGTATCCCCAAGAACCTCTCCCCACCATGGTTTCCCCCATCCAAGGACACTGAGTTGCCAGGAGGCTCTGCCTCATTCCTGGTGGGGCCAAAATGAAAGGAGATGATTCTTCCCATTTTGCAGACAGCACAGAGGGGCAGGATCTGCTCAGTGGGCTCTCCAGGCCCCAGCCAAGAGTCCCAGGACTGATGTCAACTTCTTTCCAATTCATCGAGCACAAAGGCAGCAATTCTTCTATCTTTACCCTCTAGTGGGGCTTGGTTGGTTTTTCCTGTGTCACTGATGCCACTCAGTCCTCCCCTCTTGCCTCAGTTGGTGACTCCTCCTTCCAAGTCTAGCTGCCCCATGGATGTGCCCAGCCTAGGGACCATGAGGCAGGCCCGTGTAGAGCACATAGCCAATGTGGCTGTAGCCAGGCCCATACCTGTCTCCTCCCAGAGGCAAGAGGTGGGCCCCAGCTGTCAGCACATGCTAAATCCCCTGTGTTGACACTGGGGGCTGGGTGGGGGTGGGGCATTATCTGCCTCTTTTGAGTCAGAGGTTTGCCTATCTGACACATATGATGTCTGGGACATCATAGGCATGGGACCTCACTCAGGTGGTCAGAGGCACCATGATCTGGCTAGTAGGGGGAAGGGAGGATGAGACTTTCTATTTGTATGTGTGCACGGTAGGTGCACTGTTTGGTGGGTTTTTGCAGCTGGTGTGTGTGTGTATACATATATGTGAATGATATTCATATGTCCATGTGTTTCTTGACTGTGGGGGATGTTGGAGGGTGTGTGTGACTGGGTCAATGCCTCTGTGTTTCTGTGACTGGAGTGATGTTTGTGGGAGTGTGTGAGCAAGTTAGGGTCCTGTGGGGCGTGCTGGCTTGGGTATGCATGGGGGTGGTCGATGTATGAGTATCTCTGTCTCTGAGTTTCTGGTTGTTTCTGGGGTTGTTTCTGACCATAAAGTGCTGTGTCTCTTTGAGGGTGTGTTTGTGGCAATGTTCTTATTAGGGGATGTCTGAGAGTCTGTGTGAGGCTTGGCATGGGGCCTGCATATTATGGATGCTGTAGGTGGGCTGTGTGTACGCAGGTAATGGTGGTGGTATATGCGGGTCAGCAGCCTTCTCTGCAGATCCTTCCATTACCACTGGGCTGCAGACATGACTCTCATCATAAACCTTCCCATGCCCTCTGCCTGGCTCTGCCAGCCCCCAATGTGTCCTCTCCCTCTGCTACCCCTCCCCTTCTCAAGGCCACAGGCAGCTGTGGCTAGAGCCTGTTACTCCAGCCCCACTCCTCCCAACCCCTGATCACCCATGGGGGTGGCATGTGTCCATAGATTGTTCCAGGCACTGACTAGGGCAGAGACTTTGCTGTCCCCTGCCTGGCATGTGACTGTATTTTGTGTCTCATGGAGCCAGTGCTGGGGAGAGAGGTGGGGATTATGGCTCAGATGGGGATGGCCCTGGACAATGAACCTCTTCCTCTCAGCCCTAGCCAGGCATCACCCCCACTTCAAAGGTCTAACTCAAGGAAAGCTTCCTTCCCAGCATTGCCCCCTAACTTAGTCCCTATCCAACTCCTCTCTGCCATTAAATCATTCAGGTAGCACAGGACACCCCTGGGTGGTGTCCTTCCCCCACCAGGGACCCACTGTGCCCCTCTCCTTTGCCAGTAACTCTGAGGCCTGGGGAATCTTGTCTGCTGGTGCCAGGCACCCCAGGACCAGGCCATCTGCTGCCTCTGTCTTCCTCCTGAGGCTAGCATCGGTCAGCAGGGTACCCTCAGCTTTGCCAGGAACCAGTCCAGCCTCCAGGCCCCTCCTTCCTTGTCCTTAGCCATCTGGAAGGGCCTTCTGGTCTCCAGGGAAGACAGGGTGACCCCAGCTTATTATGAATGGAAAGGAAGCTGAGGCCCCCTACTCTAGGGGTGCAAGGAGCCCTCCTCTCTCATGCATCCAGCCACAGGATATTACCCATGCTCCCTCTCTCTTCAACTCTCCTCGCTGCCCAGGGCTCCCCAGCCATTGCCCAGTACTCTGAGGTGACTGGCATCTGTCTACTTTTCTCTAGAATCCAGAGCCATCCTGTTACATTGGGCCCTCCTGCCCTTGGCCCCCAGCCTCCTCTTCCACTCTCTGCCTCATCAACCTTCCTGGGGTCCAGTTCACTCAGATGCTTTCTGCTTGTCCACCAGTTAAGTCAAACTACTTTTGCTCAGCATTGAAGCCACTCACCTAGCCCTAGCCCCCTCTTTGTAGCCTAATCTGCTACTTTCCTGGGCCCTGCACTCCAGCCAAACAGGATCACCAATGATCCCCTCCACACACAGTCCACTTGCCTGCCCCTGGGCACTTGCCCATACTACCCCTCTCCTCAGCAAGCCTTTCATTCCAATCTCCAGCTGCTCATTTTTCTCTGAGACCCAGCTCAAATGCCACTTCTTCCGGGGAATTTTCCCTGGCCTGCCACAAGCAGATGCCATTTCTCTGAGACCCAAGCTCCAATTCATCTCTGTCTTTATCTCATGAGTTCCCTGCCTTTATCAGTCATCTGTGCTGTTCCCTACCTGTAACGCTGTGAGTTACTATGACTAGAAAGCGTGGCTTGGAAACATCTGGAGCTGTCCTCCCCTGTCCGCACCAGCAGGCCCAGAGCCCGCTCAGGACCATCCTGCATCTAAGTAGAGAATGGGATGCACCAGGTGTTGCTCTTTCCTGCTACTGGGAGGGTGGAGGGCCCATATCCCAAGGCTGAGTTCTGAGGGTCTCTAACCCCCATCTGCCCCTATTCTCCTCTCCCAGACCCCCACATAACCATCTCTTCTCTTATTTCCATCAGCAGCCAAACTACTGGAGTTTCAAGGTCAGTGTGTGGGCTTCGGCTTCCGTGACAACTGCATGTGCTTTCCTGCCTTGCCCCTCCCTGCACATGCTTCGTACAGGGCTGCGCGTCTGCACGGGACCTTCTGGCTTGGGTGGTGGGCTGTGGGGCTGCAGGCTGTGGCTGCTGCTTTGAGAGTTTGGGTTTGCGTCCCAGGGGCTCATGGATCTCTCATGGGAGTTTGGCCCTGCTGGGGATCTGGGCTGGGGCTACTCATGCTTCTCCAGGCTGCAAGGGGCATTTTGGAATGAGAGTCTGCCTGACATTTACCCCATTGTGGAGAGACTGCTGGCTCTGAGGCAGGAGCCTGGACCCTGTGATCTTGTGGAGGGCCCTCTTCTCTGAACTCAGATTTCATCTTCCAGGGAGGCCCTGTGCCTGGGATGGGTGCCTCATCCCTTTCTTACTGTCCACTATGGGGAGCTGGTCAGTGCCAGGCAAGAGACTCACAGCCCTGTGCCCTCAAACTTGCTGCCCAAGTGCAGGGCGCAGCTCAGGGACAGTTGCCTCCCTGCCTCTGCTGGAGAGTTTGGACTACCCACAGCTGGAGATGGGTCTGCCTCCTCTGGCATCATGCTGACGCCTGGGGGAGCACCCTCAGGGCCTCCTCCATCTTCTCTGACACCCAGGCCCAGAACTGAGCCAAGTTAGACTGCTGCTTATGTTCCAGAATCTCCGGGCCTTTAAGTTCCAGGATCATCATGGGGGTGGGAGGCATCCATCCCTGACTCCCCAAGTGTCATCTTGCTCCAAGCGTCATATTTGCATGCATTCTCCAGAGAGAAGTCCTTGACTCAGAGAATCATGGCATCAGACACACAACCTTTCTGGAAGAAGCAGTAGAGTATAGTAGTTCAGTGCGTGGGCTGGGGAGCCAGGTGGCCTGGTGGTGAATTTTAGGCTGCTACTAACTAGCTCCAGGACCTCGGCAAGTTACATAATCCCCTGGGCCTCAGTTTCTCCTTCGTGAAATGGAACAACAATATCTGCATCATTGTGGTAAAGACAGAAGACATGAGATACCGTGTGTCCTAAGCACAGCATCTGGCTCAGAGCGAGTCTTATGTAGTGACTTACCTCATTAGCTATTAGAATCACAGATGCTGACTTGATTCCCAAATCATAATCTCCTGGGAACTTGTCAAAACTCTTGAACCCTGGGCCCCAGCCCCCAGTAATTCCAATTCAGTGAATGTGGGGTCCTGGAAAGTGGTTTTGAAAGCTCCCAAGTGATTCTGCCCTAATCTGTGGACAGCATTTGGGAGCCTCAGATTCTAGGGTGACTCACCCCACTCAAGGCTCCCTCTGCCTGATCTCTGACCAGGAGTCATCGGCTCCCCCTTGGACCATCTCCAGTGACAGGTGTTCACTGCTTCCCACAGCAGTACCTCTCCTATCTTTGGGGACCTCTGCCTGAATGACAGTTTTGTTCTCCTGCTGTCTCTCTTTTAGTCAGGAAGCCCCTCTGGATGTCTCACTTTTTTTCTACCCTGTTGTTTCAACCTAGGGCTGGAAAGAAGTGCTAATAGGCATTCTCTCTTCTCAAGGGGGTTTGCTACAAAGGCTGTCAGGACGGAAAGGTGCCCACAGGGCGAGGATAGAGACAGAAACTGGCAAGGCAGGGAATGTGGGCATCTCTTCTTCCAGGGCCCCCTAGGCAGGGTCCTGCCTTTTAGCAGGATCTCTAGGATGCCCTTCATTCTGGCCCGTGTTCCATCTTCTTACGGCCTCACTTGTGTCCTCCAGGCACTGTGGCCACCCCCTACTCTTCATCCCTGCTAGCTGCCTCATTCTGCCTGAATTCTGTAGCCCCTCATCTATACGAGCCTGGCAACTGCTGGCCTTCCAGTTGTCTGGCAACCCCATGACCACAGATCAGACCTTGTTGCCTACACTGCCAAGGGGCTGAAGGTGAAAGAGAGGGCACAGGCTGGCACAGATGATCAGCCTAGAGCTGAGCTGGTCCAGTCTGGGCACAGGCATCCCCCAGGTGGGCCAGTTCCTATGCTGCCTCCCTCTTCCCCAGACTCATGCCCACCAACTGGTCAAGGCATTGTGCTTGAGGCTGGATGCCTCCTGAGGTCCCCAAGTCTGACCTTCCACATCCCCAAGCTCTTGAGGTCACTCTGGGGACAGCTAGGCACATGGCCCATCAGAGGAAGATGCTCTTTCTTTTCTAGAGTGCTAATCCAATTGGAACATTAAGTTGAGTTAATATGAAGATGGAAATTAATTAGGGGCTAATCAGGATTTGGGGAAGGAGGAAGCTGAGGAGAATAAAAGATTCATTTTTAGAGATGTTTTTACTGTGTTTTTGTTAAATTATAAAAGTGATATTTTATGATTGTGCAAAATTCACCCAGCAGAGAAATGTATAAAAAGAGAAAGCTCTGTCTCAACCCTGAGATAACCAGTGTTAATGGTTTTAAGTATTTGTTGTAAAAAATAGGCCCTTGATTTTATAGAAGAATATAATTGGGCAGCATATTTTTCTTGGTAATGTATGTATATACAATACATATATGTACATAATGTATATAACATGGAATGAAGTAGATCTGCTTCATTATCTTTCTCCCTTAATTAAGTTTCTGACAGCAACCAGGTTTGAGGGGAGGGATGGGGTCCTGAGTGACAGCACCAGGCTTTAGCCAAAAGTAGGGCTGTAAGGACAGTTGAAACCATGGTGACCTCTCTCCCAAGGTGAGAGTAATCAGCTGTCGCTGGGGCAGGGAACCATAGGTGATACCCTTTCCTAGTCCCAGCCAGATATCCCCCTCAGCTGTAACTTCAGGGCAAGGGGCTGCCATGCTGGTACTGGTGGAGGCCTTTCTGGGAGGCTAGCCAAGTCGGTTGGCTGTGGGCAGCATGTGCCTTGCAGGGAGGAGCTGAGGCCTGACCCAGAGGCCACAGGCTTGTGTGGATCATACCAGGCTTAGCATGTGCGTGCGCTGCATGTATGAGGCAGGTAGTCTGTTGGAAACTAGTCCAGCTGGCTTTGGGATGGTTCTACCAGTCATCGTAAGTCAAAAAGACATTTGTGCCCAGTTCTGGGAGGGCTCAGACCTCCCAGAGCTCGCATCAGGGGTCCTTAGCTTTTACTTTACTTTCTCCTGGGCCTTGCTTCCCACACCCACCCAACCCTCTGAACTCCACCAAGAATAAATTCGCCGCTCACAAACCCGCCACTTAATTAATGTCTGGAACTAATGCCCCAATTTGCTCCTCACCTCGGTGACAAATTTGTGTTGTTGTTGTTCTTCAGAAGCTTAAAATAGCAGGCGTGCCCATGGCTCCCGCTCAGATGGATTCTTGTCTGGTTCCCAGGGTGCCTGAGTCCTTTGCCCACTCCTTATCTGCGCGGTGTCCCAGGGAAGCCAAGGCTCCAAGAGGTTGGAGACGCTCCTGCAGCCACACAGCGAGTCTGCAATCCAGGAGACACTCCTGTGTGTGTGTCCCAGGCTGGCTGGGGCTCCCCAGGAATGCATGGGGGTAAATGGCAGAGCAAGGGGCTCATGCTTGATTCCTGTCTGCTCTCACCCTGCCCCTGCAGACCCGCAGCTCGCGCCACACTCAGGGAGCCCAGCCTGGGCTGGCAGATCAGGCAGCCAAACTGTCATACGCCTCAGCTGAGTCACTGGAGACCATGTCGGAGGCGGAGCTGCCCCTGGGTTTTAGTAGGATGAACCGCTTCCGACAGAGCCTGCCCCTCTCCCGCTCTGCCAGCCAGACCAAGCTGCGCTCACCAGGTACTTCACACCCCGTGCATCCTCCTCCTGGCCACTGGCTCCTCCCTCTGCTCTGCTTGCGCTGGAACCCTCTTTGTCCCCTTCACCACTCCATCTCTCCTCAACTGTTTCTCTAGGAAGCCTCTGGCTCCCTCTCCCACACCCTGATCCCCCACCTTCCAGTAATCTCTTCCCCTAGCTCCCCTTGTCTTAGCCCTCCTCCACCTCTTTCCCTCCCCTCTCCCTCAGTATTCCCTGCTCTATCCCTATCCTTTTTCTCTCCACGCCTCCTCTCTCCCTTGGGCCTCTCTCATACCCCGTTCAGCAGCCCCCCTTTCCTTCATCCCCTTCTTGCTCAACTGTCCCGCTCAGCAACGACTCCCTCTCAGTTGCTGTGCCGCCTGCTTCTGCCCCAATTCCATTTCCTCACCCAGGCTTCCAACTTGCCTGGGGTCGAGGAGGTGCCTGGAGGGACCGGCGGCATGAGTGCCTGGGTGCACCTGCACTCCGGGGCAGCGTCCGGCCTCAGACCCTGCCTCTGCAGGACCAGCGCGGCTCCCGAAGGCTCCCCTCCCTCCCCTGGCCGGCGGCGTGGTGGTGGTGGCACTGACCGCGAGGGCGGCGTCTCCTTCGCAGGGGTGCTGTTCCTGCAGTTCGGGGAGGAGACTCGGCGTGTGCACATCACGCACGAGGTCAGCAGCCTGGACACGCTGCACGCACTCATCGCTCACATGTTCCCGCAGAAGCTCACCATGGGCATGCTTAAGTCGCCCAACACCGCCATCCTCATCAAAGACGAGGCTCGCAACGTTTTCTACGAGCTGGAGGACGTCCGGTGGGCGTGGCCCCGGGGGGATGGGATGGGCTTCCCTTACTCCTCCAGAGAGGGGCTCTACTCACCTTGCTCCCCGGCCCCCTCAGGACCCAACGTCCCAGAGCCCTACCGCCCCGGCCCCTTGCTCGGTCCTTCCAGCCCCACCCCTGCCCCCTCTAAGTTATCCACGCCTGATAGTTCCCATTGGCTTGAGCTCAGCTGAAAATGGCGCGAGGTGGGCGGGGTGGAGGCAGCTGGGTGTGTGTGTTGGTAGCCAGACAGCCTGAGGCACGAGACCCACTGAGCGAGGCGCGAGGAAAGGGTTGGAGCTCCTGGCCCCTCTTGCCACCCCTCTTCCCTCGGCTTGGGATAGCTACCCTTCTCATCGCGGACCCCCCTGCACCTCCCTGTTCTCCCCAGGGACATCCAAGACCGCAGTATTATTAAGATCTATAGAAAGGAGCCACTCTACGCCGCCTTCCCTGGCTCACATCTCACCAACGGGGACCTCCGGGTATGGCTGGGGATGCCCAAGGCATTGGGGAGACTGGGAAAATGGGATTCCAGAGCACGGACTCTGGTCACTTGTCACCAGGGACCAGGCCCAATTTTAGAGAAGGGAACACAGAGGCTGAAGCAGAGGGCGGCCTCCACTAATTGTGGGTTCATGGATCCCTCCCTTCATCTGCCACTTTTCCCTCCTGTCTGTTCAGGATTTCTTGAACATACCTCTAGATATTCTTGGGGGCCTCTCTCAGGAGCCAGCCCTTCCCATTTTGCTTCCCCACCCCTCACCATAAGGTGGGTTGGGGTTGCCCCTCCATCCCTCTCCATCTGCCACTTCCTCCTCTATGCTGGGAAAGGGCCCACGATGCAGCAGGAGGGAGGGAAGGCAGAGAACCTTAGGGACTTCCCGAGCATTCGGGGGAACATGCTGGCTGCTCAAAGCAAGGGGCAAGAGGATCCGTCTGTGATCAGTACTGTGGGTTTTCGGGGCTGTCTTCTGCACAGAGAGAGATGGTGTATGCGTCGCGTGAGTCGTCCCCTACCCGGCGCCTCAACAACCTGTCGCCGGCCCCGCACCTGGCGTCCAGCTCGCCGCCACCGGGACTACCGTCCGGGCTGCCGTCGGGGCTGCCAACCGGGCTGCCGTCGGGTTCACCGTCGCGCTCGCGCCTCTCCTACGCCGGGGGCCGCCCTCCCTCCTACGCAGGGAGCCCGGTACATCACGCGGCTGAGCGGCTGGGAGGTGCTCCAGCCGCCCAGGGCGTCAGTCCCAGCCCCAGCGCCATCCTGGAGCGGCGCGACGTGAAGCCAGATGAGGACCTGGCGGGCAAGGCTGGCGGTATGGTGCTGGTGAAGGGTGAAGGTCTCTACGCCGACCCCTACGGGTTGCTACACGAGGGCCGCCTGAGCTTGGCTGCGGCCTCTGGCGACCCATTTGCCTACCCCGGCGCGGGCGGCCTCTACAAGCGCGGCTCAGTGCGCTCTCTCAGCACCTACTCCGCCGCCGCGCTGCAGTCCGACCTGGAGGACTCGTTGTACAAGGCGGCGGGTGGCGGCCCGCTCTACGGCGACGGCTACAGCTTCCGCCTGCCGCCCTCGTCGCCGCAGAAGCTGACCGACGTGGCGGCGCCTCCCGGAGGCCCCCAGCCGCCGCACAGCCCCTACTCGGGGCCGCCCAGTCGCGGCTCCCCGGTGCGCCAGTCCTTCCGCAAAGACTCGGGCTCCTCATCGGTCTTCGCAGAGAGCCCTGGGGGCAAGACCCGCAGCGCCGGGGGCTCCTCGACGGCCGGAGCTCCTCCTCCGGAGCTCTTCCCCGGGCCTGGGGACCGCCCGCTCGCTGGGTTTGGGACGCCTGTGCCAGCCAAGGACACGGAGACCAGGTGAGAGACGCTCGCGAGGCCTCAGAGCTGTGAGGTTTGGATGAGGAGAGCGGGCATGGCAGAACCCGTGGCAGGATTGTGTCCTGGACGCAGATGCCAGAGTCCTTTGTAGACCCGGAGTAGCCTTGAGGAGTCGCCAGGGTATCGTGGATGTGGCAGAGAAGGTACTGGTGAGGTGGAACTGCCATTTTCCTTCTAACTGCAAGACCTGAAAGGTGGACTAGAGGGTCCCAAACAAAGACTCTGGAGACCTGGGTTCGCACCCGTTCCCTGAGCGATTTCCCCACTAAAACTTGAAGCTGAACCAGCATTCTTTAGTGCCCTTTCTGCTCAGACACGGAATTTGCAGCCATGAGAGCTGTCCAGCACTGGGCCTGCTGAAGTCTACTGGGGAGGGGAATGGAGGCACATTCTGTTAGATAGCTTTGGAGCTGGGGAATTCTTGCCCATCATTCAGCTACCTCCTAGGGATGCAGGGCTGGAGAGGTAACAGGGCACTAACCTGTACCCCTGTGCCCTCAGGCAGTGCTGTTGAGAAGTGATTCACATTCACGCAGCTCTCTTGTGGCCTGTGGGCCAGGTGCTGTGCTGGGCACTGCCTGTGCCAAGTTGGACAAACCTAGTGCCTACTCTGTCTAGTGGGGGAGAAACATTAAAAACATTTGCACTTCCTTTGAGAGGGTGTACAGGTGGTGTGGGAGGAGGGACTTCTAGAGGCTGCTGGGAACTCTGGGATGGCTTCTGAGAGGAGGTGGGGAGGAGGGCATGTCAGGTAGGGGGAAGACATGTGCAGAGGCACAGAGAGGCCTGGGTGGAGCCCATTAGGAAGCCAGGGGTGAGAGATGAGGCTGGCAAGGGAGGGGGTGACTGTCAGTTGGAGAAGGGCCTGACTCATATTAGGTGGGGACTATGAGCTTGATCCTTAGGCATTGTGACCCTTTGAATTGTCTCTGTGCTAGCAGCTGGGGAAGGAATAGTATTTCCTCTAATTGTCGATCTTAAGGATGAGGGGCTGGGTAGGAGGAGGATCCCCTGCCCACAGAAGGGGTTGCTCAAAGCCATAATCACTCTGCAGGGAGCGCATGGAGGCCATGGAAAAGCAGATTGCCAGTCTCACAGGCCTGGTGCAGAGTGCCCTACTACGAGGCTCGGAGCCTGAGACCCCCAGGTGAGGCTCTTCTAACACCACTGCCAGGGCCTGTGGTTGGGGCCTGAGGGAGGGGAAGTGGGCAGCAGGAGCCCTGGGCTTAGCTCTGCCAATTTCTCATTGTATGACTCTGGGCATGTCCCTTCCCTTCCCTGGGACTCCTGAGATCGGGGTACCCCAAGGAGATTATGTTTAGGTCTCATCCAGCCTGGATGACCTGGGCCAGTCAGACCTCTGATGGCCATCTTTTCTCTGTGCCACAGTGAGAAGATTGAAGGCTCCAATGGAGCAGCCACCCCTTCAGCACGTGAGTGACCCTTCCCCCTCCCTGCAGGTCCTTGCTCTCTCTGAGCCTCAGCTTCCTAATCTGTCAAGTGGGGATTAAGCCACAGCTACATCACCGAGATTCAGTGGGTTAAGTAATCACTTTAGCCCAAGGTGTCCTCACGCTGGTGCCTTGCTCCCCACAATAGGGCTGACCATCAGTTGGGGTAGGGAGTCAGAGCCACATGTCTATCTGGCTACTGTGGGGGTCGGGAGTGGAGATGACCTTGCCCCTGCCTCTCCAAGGCTCACGATTTGTTCCCTTTCTTCCATCCTCATGGTCCCTCTCGGCAGCCTGTGGGTCAGGTGGCCGGAGCAGCGGGGCCACCCCAGTGTCCGTTCCTCCTCCACCATCAGCCAGCAGCACCCCTGCAGGGCAACCTACAGCCATCAGTCGTTTGCAGATGCAGCTGCACCTGCGTGGCCTGCAGAACAGCACCAGTGACCTGCGCGGCCAACTACAGCAATTGCGTAAACTCCAGGTACTGCCACCTGCGAGGACTTGCCCCGTGCCCCGCCCCACAGGACCCGCCCCTCAGGACCCACCCACTCCCGCAGTTCTGGGTCCCACAAGCCCTGCCCCATCCCCTTACTCGCCGCTGGGCCCCTCTCTGAACCACTTTTCCTCTTCCTTTCTTCGAGCTCTCGCTCCCCCTCAGAGACTCCCCTGAGGGAATCTCTGCTCCCTCACCAAGCCCCCACTCATCTTTGTCCCCCTCACTGAGCACTCCTTCGTCTTCCCAAAATCCTCCCTGCTCTCGTGGAGCCCTACTCCACCCCACTAGCCCCCTCCCCTTGTCAGAATCCCTCTGGGCAGTCCTAGTTCCTTCCTGCCCCGCTTTCCTTTGCCCCTCCTCTACCTCGGGCGGAAGCCCTTCCCCAGATCCCCTCAGGTCCCCCTTCCGGAACCCAGTCTTCCTGCCCCGCCTGGCAGATGGTCCCACCAGTCAGGAGCCTGGCTCGCTGTGCCCGCTCCTGGAGAGGGCGCCAGGCCCATCAGGTGAGAATAATGAACAGAGACAAGCTAGAGAGGGGACAGAGAGTTGCCATCTGGGCAACAGGCTAAGATCTCGGGCTCCTCCGCCATTGCCCCAACTCGGCCCTAGAACTGAGTTCCAGCGTTAAGTCAGTCTTCCCATCCCAGCCACGGAAACTCTCAAACTCCAGCGCTTGAGTCCTTCATGGAAGCCACAGCGATTCAGCCGCAAGGTCGGCAAGGCCATGGAGAGGGCCACCCCTTGCCTCCCAAATATTCCCATCCTCTTCTCCTGCCTCTATACTTGCTCAGCACGTAACTTTGTCCTCCGCCTTCCACCAGGCTACCATTCGCTCCTACTCCGGGCCACAGCCTTGCAGGCGCACCTTCTGCATGGCCCAGACTAGCACTTCTCCCTCCACGACGCCAGTGCCTTTCTCCTCCAGCCTCTCTTCTTTCCCAGAACTTAGCCCGCGGCCTCCACCTCCACCCCACCTCATCCTTTTGCTGTTGCTCACGGCCACAGCCAAGCAGCCGCACTTTCTGTGGAGGCCGCCCGGCATCGGGCTGTCCTCTGCCCGCCTCCTCCTGCCCCTTTCCCTGTTGCGCGCCCACATTCCTTCCACGCGGGTCCATCAGTCCATCTGCGACCCGCAGCTCCAGAACCTGGAGTCGTTGCGCGTGTTGCTGAAGGGCACGGAGGCGGAGCTGAGCATGCGCGTGTCGGAGGCGGCGCGGCGACAGGAGGACCCGCTGCAGCGGCAGCGCACCCTGGTGGAGGAGGAGCGGCTGCGCTACCTCAACGACGAGGAGCTCATTACCCAGCAGCTCAAGTGAGGGTCCAGCTGCGGAGGGAGGACTTGTGGGTGCGGCCTAAGTGTCCCACAACCTGGTTTTAGTGGGAGGCACAAGTGTGATTCACCTCCTTGTGAATCACAGCTGACGTTGGTCTGTTCCGAGTCCTTATTTCCTTCTCCGTGGCCTGATTTCTCTGTGACCCACAAACCTTTGGCCATCTGGCACAATTCCTGATTTCCTTTTTCTGGCTTGATGCCCGCTTTTGCTATGGTCTTGCCTCCTAATGCTTCACAGTCTGGCTTCCCCAGGGCCTGCAGCCTTACTCTTCTGTGGCCAGCTGCCCAATTTCACTCTGCCCTCTGCCTGTGTTCATTCCGGCCTGTGACCTGTACACACTGACTCTGGGATAGAGTATTCAGATGGAACATTCAGGTATTGCCAGCTTGGTCAGCTTAGTGACCAGCAACAGCTGCCACCACTCCAATCCCCTGATCTCTGAGGCCAGGGATAGCCAAGGCAAACTGTCTTCCCATCCTAGTGCTGCTGAAGCAGGGCTCTAGCTTTTACAGAAGGAATGAGGAATAGAAAACACTCTGCCTTCAAATGCTAAGACATGGAAGTGCTAACAGAAGACAGTTCTCTTATCCAAATTTAGCAAATAGGCTGTCTGGTCAAGATTTGGTTGTCTGGTACAGTTGAAGGGAGATGCTGCTTTTCACTGTTTATCCACTAAGTAAGACCCTGTCCCACTGCAGCCTTCCCTTGTCAGCCACTGGGGCCTGAGACAGAGGATTTTTTCTTTCCTATGGCCTCCCTTGGTGGCAGGGCACAAGGGGACCTGAAGTCCTTCTCTAGCACAGCAGCTATGTGATCAGGGCCATTTCTGCTCTTCTTTGCACTTTGGCTTCCTATCTGTGCTCAGTGTTAAGATTTTTCCAGAGAGAGTGTGGGATGTACTGGCCAGTGATTCAGGGAGCCAGGAGAGGCTACACAGAGAAGCCCAGCTTTCTCACCAAGTCATATGTGGTTGCACAACTTGCAAGGGGATCCTTGAGAAGGGACCCTTAGGCCCACACAGGCTGGTGGTACCTGTGCATTTCAGTAAGGCATAAGACAAAGATTCTCATGACCCCTAGTAGCTGATGAAATAAGGGGACATCTCCTTGGAACTAAGCTGGTAACAGCCACCGCATCACTCCAGGTGTGAAAGCTTAGTGGCAGGTCCAGTCAGATCTCCAAGTAGACTGATGGTGGCCACCATCCCTTATCCAGGGAATTCCATCTATCCAACTTTCCTATCCTCTCCTTACCCTTTTGCATTCAACATAGAAGAGCTGGGTTGAAATTTTCAAAAGGAACTTTATTGAGACATTAAAGGAAAATAAAAGGAAATAAAAAAGCACAGAGACAGAAGAGATGAAAGGACAGATATATGCTCTGTCAGATGAGTGTCTGGTCCTGAGCTTCCTGGGGGCCTTGCTTCTCCAGAAATACACAGACTGTCCTCCCCCTGCCCTATTATCAAACCCATTATTCAGGATGCTCACTTGAGAGAGCTTGGAGGCTGACATACTGTTTCTGGCAGGATTCTTCATCCACTTTGAAGGGGGCTCCAGACTTTTTTGGGTGGGGCCTGGACTGGGCTGCACACCAGCCATGCAGGGGTTCCAGCTTGGCTATGAGAGCCCTCCCTGTCCAGTTCCCATACCCGCCCAGGTATGAGATCAGCCAGGAGGCCCATCCTTACTCTCCTCTAGCTGCAGCCCCTGTACACTTGCTCTTGCTCTGCCGCTTCCTCTTGCCCTGGCACTTTGCTGGAAGTTAAGGCCAATTCTGGGCTTCATTCAGCTTGGCTTGCTCACTTTTCTGTCTAGCCAACCACTTGAGCTCTGTCTAGGCATTGCCCTTAGGGGAAGCCTCTGCTGACTGAGTCCTTCTGGCCTCTGAAGTCTAACTTGACCTAACCCAAGGCTGGCTTTCTAGGCAAGTGACCTGCATAGCCACAGGGCCTCATGATCATAAGGGCCCCATGCTCAATTTACTGCTCTGTTATTACTATCTTGAAATACTAAGTAATTTTTTAACTAGGAACAAAATCATTTTGCATTGGGCCCTGCTAATTATATAGCTGGTTCAATCCTGACCCTCCCCTCTCAACCCCTCCAGTACAAAACCTGGATCTGGAAAGCCTGATCACTTTCTGCCCTAGTGTCTAGAGTTGGGGTGGTTTGGGACTCATTTGAAGAACCTGCCCAAGTTAGAGGCCACAAAACTTTGGCAGATTCTATGATCAGAAAATCAAAGTGCTAATTGAGCCTAAGAGGAACCTAGTCCTCCTGCCTGAGAGTTGCAGTGTTGTCTCCTCCTGGAAGCCTACCTGAGTCTTCCTTTAAGTGGGAGTCTCTTACCCCTCAGAGGGATGTTTGGAAGTGACAGTTTTACAAAACTGGCACACCCTGAGCCAGGCAAGCATCACACGCAGCAGGGGAGAGTTGTTCTTTCCCATGTGGCAGGGAGAGGGCTGGGTGGGATGGTGACAGGCGTAGGCTGGTGCTAGTCCAGTGTGGAAGTGAGAGGCAGCAGAACCCAGTGGCTGAAGTCAGATTCTGCTTGGCTGCAAAATAGTTATGTGACCTTAGACAAGTTACTTAATCTCACAGAGTTCCACCCCCACCAAACCGTTTTTTTATGTTAAAGCCTATTGTATTAGCTAGGGTTGCTGCTACAACAAATTGTAAATGGTCCAAAACTAATAGATATTAGAAAGATATCTTTCTTTCTCATGGAACAGTATTGGGTGGGTTAGTGGAAAGACCATCCTTCATGCAGTCTCTCAGGGACCCAGAGGCCAATGGAGGTTTTGCCGTGTTCCATACGTGCCTTTTGAGATCACCCACAGGGTCACTATCTTTCAGCCAACAGGAAGGGGAAAAAACCATGGAGGAGTTTACATGGGAAATTTTTATGGGGCCAGGCCTGGAAGCAGTATCCCTTCCACTCACACTCTATTGCCTAGACCTCAGTCAGTGGTTACTTCTAACGGCAAAGGAGGCTGGGAAATGTAGTCTAGTGTCTGAGCAATTATTGGTCTATGTGTAAACTGGGGGTAATAATGATTCCCACTCACAGGACTTATTGTGAGGATTAAATAAGGCAAGTGAGAGGCTGAATGTGGCACCCAGCATACAGTCAATGCTTCATACAATACAAGATAGCTCTTTAAATGGAAGTGCTGAGTCACAGGATTTTTTCCTTGCTCCAGCATGGTCTGTCTTTTCATTTGCTAGTTGGATGAAAGATGTATAAAGCATGCTGATAAGACTGGCTGATGACACCGAGCTTTGAGGGGGAACAAATCTGTTGGATGGTAGAACTGAATTTCAAAAGTTGTTCCCACCTGGATCGTTGGCTGAACTTCAACAGATGGGATTTGACAGGAATGTACATAAAGTCCTGCATGTGGGTCAGGGCCGTCTGTGACTCAAGTACAGAACTGAGATGATCTACCTGGGCAGCAGTTCCTTCTTTCACTTATTCATTTATTCCACAATTATTTACTGAACCTCTGTTCTGCTCCAGGCACCATGCCAGGTGCTGGGAATCAGAGATGAAAGAATCTGGAAGACATGGTCCTGCCTGCCAGGAGTTACTCAGCTCAGCAAACAGGAGCTCCAGGGGTTTGGGAGGCAGGAAGCAGATCCCCAACCCTAAGTATAGAGAGTGGGAGAGAGGGTCCCAGAGATAGTAGGTAATGTCCAAGATCTCTCTGCTGGGATGACAGAGCTGAATTTGGAATCTGGATCTGACTCTAGAGTCAGATTTCAACTGCTACCCTGAAGCCTTTCTTGGTTGCACTGAAGAGTTTGGATTTTAGCCTCAGAACAATGGGATCCACTTAGGATTCAACATGGAGTGGTGACTTGGTCTGGTTTACATTTTAGAAAGATATGGGGTTTTAAATGATACAAGCTCAGCATAAACCAGCTGAAAATTGAAACCAGTTTTGTCCTCAAGGAAAGAGAATGATTATCTGGATCACTCGAGAAAAGGTGGATGGACATGGCAGTGCCACCCTGCAGGAGAAGAGACCCCTTAGGAACACACACAGCTGCCTGCAGTTTCTGCAAGGCAACCAAGTTCTCTGCTGCTTTCTTGGCAGAATGAGAGTCAGAGGATGCAAGTTACGAGGAGGGAGATTTAGGCTAATGTTGCTAATGATCAGAACTTCAAAGCGGGGGTAGGGTCTCAGGGCACCTATTAGGGAATTCTTCTGAGGCCTCATCGCTGAGGTTTAGCATTTCTGGTTTCATCTGGGCGTGATTTCACCTGGTGGATGGGTTTTAATTTTGATCTGATTGGTGGTCTGAAAGCAGCTGCCCAACTGCGGGGGGATGCGCTGGGGCCAGGGGAGCTGAGAGGGTCTCCCTGTGGCTGCAGTGACCTGGAAAAGTCAGTGGAGAAGATCCAGAGGGACGTTTCCCACAACCACCGGCTGGTGCCTGGGCCCGAGCTGGAGGAGAAGGCACTGGTGCTGAAGCAGCTTGGGGAGACACTGACTGAGCTCAAGGGTGAGCCCGGGGTCCAGCGAGTGTAGCCGTGGTCCAGGGTGGGGCCCCTGCTGCACCCCCACTCCTGCCCCCAGGCGCTACCTTCCCTGCTGCTCATCCTTCCAGTCCTCCGAGCCACATCCTCCCCAGCTCATTCCTTCTGGGCCTGCAGCTCACTTCCCAGGTCTGCAGAGCAAGATGCGGGTTGTGCTGCGTGTGGAGGTGGAGGCTGTGAAGTTCCTGAAGGAGGAGCCGCAGCGCCTGGACGGGCTACTCAAGCGCTGCCGTGGGGTCACAGACACGCTGGCCCAGATCCGAAGGTCATTCTATCTCTGACCTCTTATCTCTGACCTCCAATTTCCAGTAGAGTCACACACTGGGCCCAGATCGATAGATCAGTTTGACCCCTTATCCATACTCCCCAGAGGTCACTGATGTGCCGACTGGATCTGCACCTCAGCACTGACCCATGACCCCACTCACATTGTAGGCTTGGCAGTCTCTCATACTGATAGTCACTTCTCCCAGGCTCTCCCATCTGTCTTGCAGAATCCCAGAGCATGCCTCATGCCCCACCTTGCTCAGACCCAGCTTCTCTCCCAAGGAGCCACCACCCTGCTGGCCTCACAGCTGCTCCTAACTCTCCCAACCCCAGGCAAGTGGATGAGGGTGTGTGGCCACCCCCCAACAGCCTCCTGAACCAGTCCCCCAAGAAGGTGATGGCTGAGACTGACTTCAACAAGACCTTGGACTTTGAAATGCCACCCCCGAGCCCTCCACTGAACCTCCATGAACTGAGTGGGCCGGCTGAGGGAGCCCCGACTACCCCCAAGGGGATCAACCCCACCAAAGGCCTGGACACTCCTGGCAAGAGAAGCATGGACAAGGCTGTGTCTGTTGAGGTGCTGGGCCCTGGATGGGGGGCATGAGCTAGGCCCAAGGTTCTCACCACCATCCTGGGCTGGGAAGTGCTGATGCATGGGTACTTCTACCCTGGGGAGGGAAGCATATTGAGGTGATATTAATCCTGTTAGATTGAAAAGTATCTTGTGAAGCTAAAATAGTTAAGGCAGTGTGGTGTTAGCATCAGAATAGACTGTGTGGTCAGTGGAACAGAATGGAATGCCCCACAACAGGCCTGTGTATATTCAGAGAGTAGCGCATAATGAAGGTGGCATTGCAGACTCATGGGGAAGGCATGTAGTATACAAGGAGGAATCCATGGGTTCTCAGGGGCCAGGCCAAATGTGAGGCTTCCTTTTCTCTTCCTTGCACATGTGGCCGGGGGAGGGGCTCAGGCCCCAGAGGTCCAGCAGTAGGGCAGCTGTGGCAGTCCTGACTCTCACCCCTCCTCTCAAGGCTGCTGAGCGGGACTGGGAGGAGAAGCGGGCAGCCCTGACCCAGTACAGTGCCAAGGACATCAACCGGCTGCTGGAAGAGACACAGGCGGAGCTGCTGAAGGCCATCCCTGACCTGGACTGTGCGAGCAAGGCCCACTCGGGCCTGGCCCCCACCCCTGACCACAAGCCCCCCAAGGTCCCTCACGGCCAGAAGGCAGCCCCCCGGACAGAGCCCAGTGGGAGGAGGGGCTCAGGTATGGGGGCAGGTAGGGGCTGGTGAAGTGTCCAGGGGAGGGGAGCTTTATCTTCAGGAGCTCCCAGGTTGATGGGGAGACTTGGCATGAGGATCTTGGTGGTCAGGCTGCCAGAGAAGGCAGGTGCTGGGATGTCTAGCCAGGATGGGGTACAGCTGGCCTCCATCCGGGCTCTTCCCACTGCCCTGACTGCTGCTGAGAGATCCATGCAGGGAGGAAGAGCAAGTCCAGGCACAGTCATTGCCTGTACACATTCTGAGCGAACGCATGCCCTGGGCTAGGCTCTGCTGAGGTCGGGTACAGCTGATCTGCACGGACTTGGTACGTGTGTTCCCTGAGGCTGTGAACTCACAGTGGAGGCAGAAATCTGAACCAGAAATGGCAATGTTATTCATTCATTTATTCACTCCTGACACACATTTGTTAAGCCCCTACTGTATGGTCAGTGCTGGGGACAAGGAGATAAGACATTGCTTGCTTTCAAGTTTTAAATTTAGTGGAGAGTAATACTAACAATTTATGTCTTTTAAGCACTTACTATATGACAAGAACTGCTCCAGATACTTTTTATATATTAATCTTTATAATTTTGCAACAACCTCAGGAAACAGATATGGTAATTATTCCCATTTTACAGGTGAGGAAATGAAGGCTCCATCTAGTTAAGTAATCTCCCATACGTAGTGTGTAAACCAGAAATAGGAGCAGGTGCTAAACACAGGTGTAGAGGTGAGCTCCTTGCTGTGTGTTTTGTGTTGCTGAGCAGGGGTCCAGGCGAGAATGTAGCCTGCAGAGCGGAGGCTGAAAGACTGGCAGCAGGGAGGGGGCTGGATCAAAGGGCTTGGACATGGTTTGGGGTAATGGGGAACCACTGGGCGATGAAAGGCAGAGTATCAGGTTTGAGTGGCTCTTCTGTAGGTCACTCTGGAAATGGCTCCCACCCCCATAATTGGGGAAGGGAGAGCCTGGTGTGGGGAGTCAGGCTGTGGCAATAGTAACTGCTCTCTCTTGATGGAGAAAAGATGATCTGTACCAGAGGCCTGGACTGGGCTGCACACCAGCCATGCAGGGGTTCCAGCTTGGCTATGAGAGCCCTCCCTGTCCAGTTCCCATACCCGCCCAGGTATGAGATCAGCCAGGAGGCCCATCCTTACTCTCCTCTAGCTGCAGCCCCTGTACACTTGCTCTTGCTCTGCCGCTTCCTCTTGCCCTGGCACTTTGCTGGAAGTTAAGGCCAATTCTGGGCTTCATTCAGCTTGGCTTGCTCACTTTTCTGTCTAGCCAACCACTTGAGCTCTGTCTAGGCATTGCCCTTAGGGGAAGCCTCTGCTGACTGAGTCCTTCTGGCCTCTGAAGTCTAACTTGACCTAACCCAAGGCTGGCTTTCTAGGCAAGTGACCTGCATAGCCACAGGGCCTCATGATCATAAGGGCCCCATGCTCAATTTACTGCTCTGTTATTACTATCTTGAAATACTAAGTAATTTTTTAACTAGGAACAAAATCATTTTGCATTGGGCCCTGCTAATTATATAGCTGGTTCAATCCTGACCCTCCCCTCTCAACCCCTCCAGTACAAAACCTGGATCTGGAAAGCCTGATCACTTTCTGCCCTAGTGTCTAGAGTTGGGGTGGTTTGGGACTCATTTGAAGAACCTGCCCAAGTTAGAGGCCACAAAACTTTGGCAGATTCTATGATCAGAAAATCAAAGTGCTAATTGAGCCTAAGAGGAACCTAGTCCTCCTGCCTGAGAGTTGCAGTGTTGTCTCCTCCTGGAAGCCTACCTGAGTCTTCCTTTAAGTGGGAGTCTCTTACCCCTCAGAGGGATGTTTGGAAGTGACAGTTTTACAAAACTGGCACACCCTGAGCCAGGCAAGCATCACACGCAGCAGGGGAGAGTTGTTCTTTCCCATGTGGCAGGGAGAGGGCTGGGTGGGATGGTGACAGGCGTAGGCTGGTGCTAGTCCAGTGTGGAAGTGAGAGGCAGCAGAACCCAGTGGCTGAAGTCAGATTCTGCTTGGCTGCAAAATAGTTATGTGACCTTAGACAAGTTACTTAATCTCACAGAGTTCCACCCCCACCAAACCGTTTTTTTATGTTAAAGCCTATTGTATTAGCTAGGGTTGCTGCTACAACAAATTGTAAATGGTCCAAAACTAATAGATATTAGAAAGATATCTTTCTTTCTCATGGAACAGTATTGGGTGGGTTAGTGGAAAGACCATCCTTCATGCAGTCTCTCAGGGACCCAGAGGCCAATGGAGGTTTTGCCGTGTTCCATACGTGCCTTTTGAGATCACCCACAGGGTCACTATCTTTCAGCCAACAGGAAGGGGAAAAAACCATGGAGGAGTTTACATGGGAAATTTTTATGGGGCCAGGCCTGGAAGCAGTATCCCTTCCACTCACACTCTATTGCCTAGACCTCAGTCAGTGGTTACTTCTAACGGCAAAGGAGGCTGGGAAATGTAGTCTAGTGTCTGAGCAATTATTGGTCTATGTGTAAACTGGGGGTAATAATGATTCCCACTCACAGGACTTATTGTGAGGATTAAATAAGGCAAGTGAGAGGCTGAATGTGGCACCCAGCATACAGTCAATGCTTCATACAATACAAGATAGCTCTTTAAATGGAAGTGCTGAGTCACAGGATTTTTTCCTTGCTCCAGCATGGTCTGTCTTTTCATTTGCTAGTTGGATGAAAGATGTATAAAGCATGCTGATAAGACTGGCTGATGACACCGAGCTTTGAGGGGGAACAAATCTGTTGGATGGTAGAACTGAATTTCAAAAGTTGTTCCCACCTGGATCGTTGGCTGAACTTCAACAGATGGGATTTGACAGGAATGTACATAAAGTCCTGCATGTGGGTCAGGGCCGTCTGTGACTCAAGTACAGAACTGAGATGATCTACCTGGGCAGCAGTTCCTTCTTTCACTTATTCATTTATTCCACAATTATTTACTGAACCTCTGTTCTGCTCCAGGCACCATGCCAGGTGCTGGGAATCAGAGATGAAAGAATCTGGAAGACATGGTCCTGCCTGCCAGGAGTTACTCAGCTCAGCAAACAGGAGCTCCAGGGGTTTGGGAGGCAGGAAGCAGATCCCCAACCCTAAGTATAGAGAGTGGGAGAGAGGGTCCCAGAGATAGTAGGTAATGTCCAAGATCTCTCTGCTGGGATGACAGAGCTGAATTTGGAATCTGGATCTGACTCTAGAGTCAGATTTCAACTGCTACCCTGAAGCCTTTCTTGGTTGCACTGAAGAGTTTGGATTTTAGCCTCAGAACAATGGGATCCACTTAGGATTCAACATGGAGTGGTGACTTGGTCTGGTTTACATTTTAGAAAGATATGGGGTTTTAAATGATACAAGCTCAGCATAAACCAGCTGAAAATTGAAACCAGTTTTGTCCTCAAGGAAAGAGAATGATTATCTGGATCACTCGAGAAAAGGTGGATGGACATGGCAGTGCCACCCTGCAGGAGAAGAGACCCCTTAGGAACACACACAGCTGCCTGCAGTTTCTGCAAGGCAACCAAGTTCTCTGCTGCTTTCTTGGCAGAATGAGAGTCAGAGGATGCAAGTTACGAGGAGGGAGATTTAGGCTAATGTTGCTAATGATCAGAACTTCAAAGCGGGGGTAGGGTCTCAGGGCACCTATTAGGGAATTCTTCTGAGGCCTCATCGCTGAGGTTTAGCATTTCTGGTTTCATCTGGGCGTGATTTCACCTGGTGGATGGGTTTTAATTTTGATCTGATTGGTGGTCTGAAAGCAGCTGCCCAACTGCGGGGGGATGCGCTGGGGCCAGGGGAGCTGAGAGGGTCTCCCTGTGGCTGCAGTGACCTGGAAAAGTCAGTGGAGAAGATCCAGAGGGACGTTTCCCACAACCACCGGCTGGTGCCTGGGCCCGAGCTGGAGGAGAAGGCACTGGTGCTGAAGCAGCTTGGGGAGACACTGACTGAGCTCAAGGGTGAGCCCGGGGTCCAGCGAGTGTAGCCGTGGTCCAGGGTGGGGCCCCTGCTGCACCCCCACTCCTGCCCCCAGGCGCTACCTTCCCTGCTGCTCATCCTTCCAGTCCTCCGAGCCACATCCTCCCCAGCTCATTCCTTCTGGGCCTGCAGCTCACTTCCCAGGTCTGCAGAGCAAGATGCGGGTTGTGCTGCGTGTGGAGGTGGAGGCTGTGAAGTTCCTGAAGGAGGAGCCGCAGCGCCTGGACGGGCTACTCAAGCGCTGCCGTGGGGTCACAGACACGCTGGCCCAGATCCGAAGGTCATTCTATCTCTGACCTCTTATCTCTGACCTCCAATTTCCAGTAGAGTCACACACTGGGCCCAGATCGATAGATCAGTTTGACCCCTTATCCATACTCCCCAGAGGTCACTGATGTGCCGACTGGATCTGCACCTCAGCACTGACCCATGACCCCACTCACATTGTAGGCTTGGCAGTCTCTCATACTGATAGTCACTTCTCCCAGGCTCTCCCATCTGTCTTGCAGAATCCCAGAGCATGCCTCATGCCCCACCTTGCTCAGACCCAGCTTCTCTCCCAAGGAGCCACCACCCTGCTGGCCTCACAGCTGCTCCTAACTCTCCCAACCCCAGGCAAGTGGATGAGGGTGTGTGGCCACCCCCCAACAGCCTCCTGAACCAGTCCCCCAAGAAGGTGATGGCTGAGACTGACTTCAACAAGACCTTGGACTTTGAAATGCCACCCCCGAGCCCTCCACTGAACCTCCATGAACTGAGTGGGCCGGCTGAGGGAGCCCCGACTACCCCCAAGGGGATCAACCCCACCAAAGGCCTGGACACTCCTGGCAAGAGAAGCATGGACAAGGCTGTGTCTGTTGAGGTGCTGGGCCCTGGATGGGGGGCATGAGCTAGGCCCAAGGTTCTCACCACCATCCTGGGCTGGGAAGTGCTGATGCATGGGTACTTCTACCCTGGGGAGGGAAGCATATTGAGGTGATATTAATCCTGTTAGATTGAAAAGTATCTTGTGAAGCTAAAATAGTTAAGGCAGTGTGGTGTTAGCATCAGAATAGACTGTGTGGTCAGTGGAACAGAATGGAATGCCCCACAACAGGCCTGTGTATATTCAGAGAGTAGCGCATAATGAAGGTGGCATTGCAGACTCATGGGGAAGGCATGTAGTATACAAGGAGGAATCCATGGGTTCTCAGGGGCCAGGCCAAATGTGAGGCTTCCTTTTCTCTTCCTTGCACATGTGGCCGGGGGAGGGGCTCAGGCCCCAGAGGTCCAGCAGTAGGGCAGCTGTGGCAGTCCTGACTCTCACCCCTCCTCTCAAGGCTGCTGAGCGGGACTGGGAGGAGAAGCGGGCAGCCCTGACCCAGTACAGTGCCAAGGACATCAACCGGCTGCTGGAAGAGACACAGGCGGAGCTGCTGAAGGCCATCCCTGACCTGGACTGTGCGAGCAAGGCCCACTCGGGCCTGGCCCCCACCCCTGACCACAAGCCCCCCAAGGTCCCTCACGGCCAGAAGGCAGCCCCCCGGACAGAGCCCAGTGGGAGGAGGGGCTCAGGTATGGGGGCAGGTAGGGGCTGGTGAAGTGTCCAGGGGAGGGGAGCTTTATCTTCAGGAGCTCCCAGGTTGATGGGGAGACTTGGCATGAGGATCTTGGTGGTCAGGCTGCCAGAGAAGGCAGGTGCTGGGATGTCTAGCCAGGATGGGGTACAGCTGGCCTCCATCCGGGCTCTTCCCACTGCCCTGACTGCTGCTGAGAGATCCATGCAGGGAGGAAGAGCAAGTCCAGGCACAGTCATTGCCTGTACACATTCTGAGCGAACGCATGCCCTGGGCTAGGCTCTGCTGAGGTCGGGTACAGCTGATCTGCACGGACTTGGTACGTGTGTTCCCTGAGGCTGTGAACTCACAGTGGAGGCAGAAATCTGAACCAGAAATGGCAATGTTATTCATTCATTTATTCACTCCTGACACACATTTGTTAAGCCCCTACTGTATGGTCAGTGCTGGGGACAAGGAGATAAGACATTGCTTGCTTTCAAGTTTTAAATTTAGTGGAGAGTAATACTAACAATTTATGTCTTTTAAGCACTTACTATATGACAAGAACTGCTCCAGATACTTTTTATATATTAATCTTTATAATTTTGCAACAACCTCAGGAAACAGATATGGTAATTATTCCCATTTTACAGGTGAGGAAATGAAGGCTCCATCTAGTTAAGTAATCTCCCATACGTAGTGTGTAAACCAGAAATAGGAGCAGGTGCTAAACACAGGTGTAGAGGTGAGCTCCTTGCTGTGTGTTTTGTGTTGCTGAGCAGGGGTCCAGGCGAGAATGTAGCCTGCAGAGCGGAGGCTGAAAGACTGGCAGCAGGGAGGGGGCTGGATCAAAGGGCTTGGACATGGTTTGGGGTAATGGGGAACCACTGGGCGATGAAAGGCAGAGTATCAGGTTTGAGTGGCTCTTCTGTAGGTCACTCTGGAAATGGCTCCCACCCCCATAATTGGGGAAGGGAGAGCCTGGTGTGGGGAGTCAGGCTGTGGCAATAGTAACTGCTCTCTCTTGATGGAGAAAAGATGATCTGTACCAGGGCTGAGGGCCAGCAGGGAAAGAGGTGGATTAGAGCCACGCTTCTCAAACTTGAACGTGCATGTGAAATCACCTAGAGGATCTGTCAAAACGAGGATTCTGATTCAGGAGCTCTGGGTGGGACCTGAGCTTCTGCATTTCTGACAAGCTCCCAGGTGCTGCCAGTCTGCAGACTGAAGACCGCACTTTGAGTAGCAGAGGCTGAGAATGCTGTAAGGGGAGGAGCAATGGGGTTGGCACTGAACTGTCTGGGGAGGTCAGAGAGGAGGAGGAGGAGGACAGCCTTTGTCCTTTCCCCTGAGCTTTCCTCCCCCTCCTCTCTGGAGGAAGAAGCCAGGTGTATCCCCTTGGAGTCAGATGTGGCTCACAGACTCCAGTGCTCTGGGTCGCCTGACCCCAGCCTCCTGGCTGCCTGCAGATGAGCTGACCGTGCCCCGGTACCGCACAGAGAAGCCATCCAAGTCACCCCCGCCACCCCCTCCACGCCGGAGCTTCCCGTCCTCCCACGGCCTGACCACCACGCGCACTGGGGAGGTTGTGGTCACCAGCAAGAAGGACTCAGCCTTCATCAAGGTACCACCCCTTGAGCCAGGGGGCCAAGGGGTTGGGCTGGGGGATGCCCAACATGACCTCTGGAGGCTCTCTGGGGTGGTCCCCTCTCTCAGAGGAAGTGGACAGAAAGAGAGAGGCTGGTCAGTGGTGACTCTCCGTCCAGCTTGGGCTCCCGCCATGGGAAGGGGCCATCCTGGCAGGGGACAGAAGAAGTAGCAGATAAGCAGCTGGGTCAGGAGATGGTCTGGAGTTGGTGGGGCCTAGGAGGTGAGCTGGTGCTGGATTGGGGCAGAGCCTGCTCTTGATGGGGGCTGGGCCTTGCAGAAGGCTGAGTCCGAGGAGCTGGAGGTGCAGAAGCCCCAAGTGAAGCTGCGCCGGACAGTGTCCGAGGTGGCCCGCCCAGCCTCCACGCCACCCATCATGGCCTCTGCCATCAAGGATGAGGACGATGAGGACCGCATCATTGCAGAGCTGGAGGTGGGTCAGGGGTACACCTGGCCCCCGAGTCATCCATCAGGCCCAGTCCCTTTCCCTGCCAAGCCAATCCAGGGTGAGGTGACTGGACTAGGTCAGGTGCATGGACTCTTGGGCTCCCTGCTGAGTGCTGGTCTGTTCAGGACCCCATCCTTCTTGCTTCGATTTCTTCTCCACTGTGAAATGGGGGAGAGGGGTCTTAAGTTCCTCCTTGCATGTTTGAGTTTTTTAATTGTACTCTCTTGAGACCCCCAGCTGCTCCAAGACCCCCTGTGTTCTGAGACCCCCTCATCCCCAAATATTCTGAGAACAGAGTGCTTGAATACCTTCATACCAAGTGCCGTGAGACCCTCCCAGTGGGATAGTCACCCAAACTCAGGTGTTCTCAGCTCCCTTCTGCAAACGGCTGGGGTCCCTGGGTTACCAGGGCCTCTGGAAGAAGAGAAAAAGTAGAGGGCAGAGCATCTGCTGACCATGTTGAGGGGCCAAGGAGTGAGTTTGGGATTCCAGTGCCAGTCCAGGCCACTTCCCTGGGCCGTGGGCCAGCGCCTCCCACCCCAGCCCCTTCCTCCAAACCTGCCCCCACCTTCTGCTCCCCAGGTGTTTGAAAGAAGCTCAGTGTCTTCCCTACCCCCCACGCCCCGCCGCCAGCTGATCCCCACCTTGCTGTCCCCCCAGGATCTGGGGTCCCCTGTGGGCTCAGCCCCGGGCCCTACGTGGAAGGTAATGGGCTGCCCCCCACCTCTCACGGCTCTCTCTCTGCCTGTGCCTTCACAGCTTCAGCTCCTCACCGCTCACGCTAACCTGCTAAAGCGTCAGTCACATCCCCAAGTCCCGCCACTGCCATAGCCTCAGCCCCTCCCCTGCCCCAAGGATGAGCACGCAGCCCTTCCTTCCCTCTCAGAGACTCCAGCAGCCTGGTGTCTGGTGGTCCCTTGGGTCTGTTTTCTTACAGGCTTGATTCCAGTCTGGTCCACGGTGGCCTGGGTATATTTTTCCTGTCTGCAACCAGAGTTTAGGTCTGGCCTGAAACCTGGGTTTTGTCTTTGTCCAAGATTGGAGTTTGGACCTTGCTCACTCCATGACTTTAGGTCCAACTCAGAATCTAATTTTGTCCTGAACCCTTGCCTAGTGCCTGCCCGCATCGCCCTTCTCCTCTGCTGCCTATGCCAGGCAGGGGCTCCATTTCTCCAACTGGAACCTATGCCTTGCTCTGGGGGCAGGACACCACAGGAGCAAGCTCGTTTGCAGGGAGTTTGGCCCCATCCGATCAGGAAGTTTGAAACAGAAGAAACCTACACCGTTCCTTGGCTGCTGGTTCTGCCTGTCAGCGGTGGGGAATTCTTCCTTCTAACTTCAGTCTTTGCTGCTGTCCTGCTGTACTTGTTTCTTCTTTATTCTTTCTTGGGAATTGGGGGATGAACTTGCTATGTGTACCCCCAGGGACTGTGCTTGGGGAGGGAAACCTGCTGGGGTTGGGGGGGCTGGGAACCTCTCCCTCTGCCAGTCAGGTTGGGGCAGGAGGGCCTTGCTCCCAAGCGCATCCATGCTCATCTGCCTCATGTGGTTCTCCTTGGCCCACAGAGGGCTCCTTGCTGGCTGCCTGCTGATTTCTGGCCTGGCCTGTGGCTTGGTGGTGTCTTGGCTCCCTGGCCAGGGAGAATAGACTGGCATCAGTTGAGTGGACAGTGCTGTCTGCTGGGGAGAGGAGGGGTACAGAACAGTCTGAGGAGCTGTCTGGGGATGAGCAGTGTGGAAGGAGTACCCCAGGTTGGCTGTGGCCTTGGCATCTTGGCCCACTGCACCCAGTCCCTGCCCCTTTCTGGCCTGAAGGGGTCCTCTGCTGGCCTTTTGAGCTAGTTGGCCCTCTGCATCCTGAGGCACCATCGGGCAGTGGAGCCGGGCAGGCATGGGTTGCCTCTCTGCCTTCCCAGTCTGCACCCCCCCACCTCCAGGTAAGCAGGTGGCAGGGGTGGGTGGGTTGCCTTGGGAGGGGGGCTTGGGGTCCCTACTGCCCCCCACACATCTCCCCATGGCTCCTTTTAGTGGAAAGAGCACTGAACTTGGAGTCAGACTGTCTGGTTTCAAATCCTGGCTCTGCCACTAACTAGCTGTGGGTAATGACCTTGGGCAAATCATGTGACCCTCCCCCTCCCCCACTCTCAATTTCTTTGTAAAGTAGGGACAGAGAGTAGTGGCCATTTCATGGGTTACAGTAAAGATTAAAGATGTGTGATATGCCTGGTCCAAGACTGCTCAGAATTAGACCAGAATTCTCTCAAGCTAGGGGTAGTGATTGGAGGCCTCTGTGCTCCCACTGAAGCCAGAGCTGGGGTACCCACACAGAAGCATACACTGTAGTTTGCCAAGCATGTGTGTAGCACAGGGACTTGGCCAAGCCCCTCCCCTTCTGTCTGTGAAGCCCTGGGAGAAAGCTCTGAAAGCAGCAAGTGAGGGGACCAGGAGTCTCCGGCCTGAGATGAGGATGACAGTCATACCCGCAGAGGCCAGCGCCTGGCCTCCACCCACACAGGACTGCCAGTCCCATGTATTCAGTTTAATTCAGTGAGTAGCTAATATAAGTATTTATTGAACACTTACAATGTGCCAGGCACTATTCTAAGCACATTGCCCCATGAGCTCTCTAGTTCTCCTCTAAGCTCACTAAGCTCATGTTATTGTTATCTCATTGCACAGACATACTCATGAGGCCTGTTCTTGAGAGTTTAACATGGGCAATGAGAAGCGTATCTGTGCTTCCAGGTAAACTGGCATCTCTGCCAGAAAGTGGGAGACTACAGGGTGTGGTGCGAAGAGGCCTGAGTTCTAGTCCCAGCTTTGCCTCTAACTTGCTGGGTAAACCCTACCTCAGTCTCCCCATCTATGAAAGGAAGGGGCTGGGCTCCCTATGTCTAGCGCCTGCCCCAGCTTGGGGTGTTCTGGTGGGTAGGGGTCACACTCTTGCTCACCTTTCTTCTCCCCCCAGGCTGCTCCAGGCCCTAAAGCCTTCTGCATCCCTCGGATCATCTTGACGGAGTGTGCCCCTAACCGTCCCTCCTCACCAGAAGACAGGCTTGAAGAACTGACTCCCACCCCAAGACCCCGGACCCTGGCTGGCAGCAAGAGGGGATGGGATGGCCCACAGGCCCTGCCAGGCATAGTGGCCAAGGCTTCCCAGCCCAGGAGCAGCTGGGTGCCTGAGAAGCAAGGGGCAGTTCTGAAGAGACTGGAGATAGGGGGTTGCAGCCCAGAGGAGGGAGGAGCTGGGGTCCCTGGTCCTCAGGGACCAGCCCTGGACGGGACTCAGAAGCCCTCCACTGCTGAGACTCACGCGGGGAAGACCCCCAAGGACTCTGAACAAGGTGCCCACCCCTGCGGGAGGGAGTGCAATGGCCAGCCTGCTGTTGGCCAGGGCTGTACAATGAGAGGTGCTACCACTCAACGGATGGACAGCCTGGAAGAGATGCTCCGGGAGCTGGAAGCCACATTGAGCCAGATGGGCACAGCCCTCACTGCGGGGCCCCCTGGTGGCCCCCCATTTCCATCCCCTGGTCCCCAGGTGGTTGCCTCCACCCTGTCCTCTCCTCCTGCCTTCATGCTCCCATCTCTCATCTTCAGAGCCCTCTCCTCCCACCGGCCTTCCCTCAGCTCCTGCCACTCTCCTGGGAGCCTGGCACCAGGCAGCATTTGCAGGCAGAGCCCCAGGGAGGCTGGGAAGCTGGCCTACCCAGGGATCAGCCCAACCAGACCTCGCAGGGACCAGCGCCCTCACCTCTGCTCTGTATCTGTAAACCAGCAAATAAAGTTCTCTCTCCCTTCTCCATCCCCACGCTCCCCGCGCCCTGTCCTGTCTGACTGTCTGTCTCTCATTTTTCTGCCTGCGCCTCTGGATTCATTCTGAGCAGGCTCAGTACCTGGGATGGTTCAGAGGGCTCCAGACATCCAGGGAGAGCTCACCTCCATCTTCCCCTTTGGAGGAAGACATGGGCCTGGGGCTACCCACCCTACTGTCTGTCATTTTAAAGCCTCTCACCCCTTCCCCAAATCTCAGTCACTCTCCTGGACCCACTCCTTTGACCAGAGCTGGGGCGGCTCTCCCAGGAGGGCACCAGCTGCCCCTAGGCTACTCAAGGAAACCACCAAAGAGTTCCTACTTGGGAACTATTGTTGGGAACATGGCTGGGGGCCCTGTCCCCTCCCTTGCAGGGAGATCTTAAACCTGGCCGCAGAGAGGGGTCCTGAGTCCTGGGCAGGGATGTGGAGCTGAGCGGGGTCTCTAGGTCTCAAATGGCCCGCTGAGGAGGTCCCGGCCCCAGAGGCCCCACCCAGTGCCTAGGGGTCCTGTGTGATTCGACTTCCAGTGCCAACCCTATTCTTCTTCCTGCAGAGCGGCGTGCCGCCCATGAAGGTGGTGACCCCGGGGGCCTCCCGGCTGAAGGCGACCCAGGGCCAGGCAGGCAGCCCCGACAAAGGCAAGCATGGCAAGCAGAGGGCCGAGTACATGAGGATCCAGGCGCAGCAGCAGGTAGGCAGGGCATGCGCGGGGAGAGTTTTGAGGCGACAGGACTTGGCCCATCCAACCCCACCCCCGACCCTATGGGGGCACCCTGCCTGGTCACCTCCACGGCCTCTGCGCCCTCTCCTCCATTCTCTCTTCAGCCCACTCTGCCTCCCCTTCAGCCTCGCCATGGGGCTTGGCATGTCTCCTGGCCTCTGGATGGACTCTTGTCACTGTGCTGTCCCCCACTCACCGCAGCAGAGGCGGCATACCCCCAGCCCCCACCCTGAGCCTCCGACACCTTCTGTGTATTTCTCTGCCTGACTGTGCCCAGCTTCAGCCTCAGACTCTTTGCTCCTTGCACCACATACTCTCCTCTTGGGCACCAGGTGCCATCCGGCCCTGCCCAGGTCTCTGCTCTGAGCTCATGCCCGCCCTGGCTGCTTTCCCTTTAGGAAATGTCATCCACCCCCAGGGGTCCAGCCATGCCTGGGGGTCTCCGTGCCTCTTCCCTCCCTCCTACAAAAACATACTTGTTCTCTTTCCACACAGCTGCCTCTGGTCTGGCCATCTCTCTCTCTCTCTCTCTCTCTCTCTCTCTCTCTCTCTCTCTCATGTTCACTTTTCTAGTAGCTTTTCTTCAAAAAAACCATCTTTTCTCTAAAACACTGATATATGTTCCTTGTGAAAAATTTAAAAAGTAGTATTATAAAGAGGCAGGGAAAATATCATATGCCTCGCTACCTAAACGCATGCCCTTCCGTGGCCTCCCTGTGACTGCTGTCATCTCTAACCTGTTTGCCCACACCTGCAAGGTGGGGAGGGATATTTGTAAAGTGCAGATTTGATTATATTGTTCCCCAGCTTAAAACCCATGTCCACTACTGGGTAAGAAAACCCAAAGTTCCTTCATGTGCTGCCCAGGGTGCTTCATAACCAGCCTTGGCTCCCTCTGCCCACTTCTCCCAGACCCTCCAACCCCATACCCTTGTTTGCCCCAGCTACCCTAGGTCACCTGGCCATCTGTCCTCTGCAAGGACTCAGTCATACCAACTCAGTCGGTGACCTTGGTCAAAGTCCTCTGCCTTCTGCAGGCTCTTTCCTCATCTGTACAATGGGGACAAAAACTAGCAGCTGGGTTCTGAGGTCACAATCCTGAGTGTGGGAAAGAGCTCTGAAAACCACTAAGTGCCCCCTAGGGGAAGGAGTCACCATCATCCTTGACTGCACTGTGCATGTGTCAGGTCAAGGGCTGGGCAGAGGGAGGCCTCTCCCTCATCATGTGGTTCTAACACGTGGAGCTCAAAGCTGCCTTTAACGATGACGGGGGAGAACAGGAACACAGAGGGACCAGAGACACAGAAATGGGGAAAAGTTCTGAGATGGGGATGCAACAGGGCCTGCGACTTCAGAGAAATCAGAGGAAATGATTGAGAAAAAGCCCTTGGATACTGTGCTCCAGATCAGAGGTGGGTAAGAGCCAGATTCCCAGGGTACAAGTATCAAGGGCTTGGTGCAGATGTGAAACCAGGCATGCTTTGCCTTCTTTTCTGTTAGAGCTAAGAAACCTTGAACACCTATGTACTCCTCAGATGGCTCCAATGAGGAGACTTTAGTGAAGAAACCACCCCAGAGGGTACAGAGAAGAAAGATGCTGAGGCACCCAGGGGCTCAAGAGCGCAGTAAGCTGCAGCCTTCTTGAGGAGAGCCGCAAGGGCCATGGGGTGTAAGGAGTCCAGTAAGAGCTGGATGGCAGGAGTGGGAGTTACGAGGGGGTGCAGCTGCTGCCTGCAACAGGGCGCCAAGAGGGGAGGGAAAAGGGAAGAAACTTTACCCCCTCTCTCGTGCTACCTTGCCATAATAACCCCATTGCCAAGCCCAGCCAGGAGCCAGTGAGCAAAGGAATGGTGGGGGTCAGTCAACCAGGGCACAGAGCAGGGAAGAAATTGGATCTGGGGCTGGGTGGGTGGACAGGCAAATAGGAACTAGCCAGCACACCATTTATGTATCTTATTTAATCCTTATAACAACTTCGTATCTTAAAATATATGTGCTTAATCCACGTGTCACTGCTACATCTCTGCAGCGCCTAGACCAGTGTCCAGCATACATAGGCCCTCTGTCAGGATTTGCTGAGCAGGTGCACGAATGGATGAATTTGCCACTGACCAGACCCAGTCCAGATGGAAATAGACAAAACAGACTTGCAATGTTAAAATAATAATGATATAGTAATAGCTGCTATTAATAGCTTCAGGAAAGTAGATTTTGGGGGTTGTTGTGGCCAGTCCCCTGGGAGGAAAGATGCCCCAGAGAGGACTTGACAGAACAAATGCTCACAGAGCAACTATAAGAGGAAGAAGGGGTGGGGCTGTCACATAAGTGGGCAAATGCTGCCTCAGGCTGATGTTTAATGGCCTTACTCAGTCTGTGAGCAGGGGACAGGGGTGGGGGACACGGCCTGGGTGAGGACGCGTCACCTGAGTGAATACAGGGGTCAAGGTGCCACACAAGCCAGGAGACAAATGTTCTAAATGCCAAAGCTCAGAATAGACAGAGGCTCTTAACAAATGCTGCAGGGAAGGAGCATAGAAAGCTTTTAACTAGGGAGCCGGGCTGAGAACAAAGAACGCAGGAGAGAAAGAGCTGCCGGCTGGTGGTGAGAAGTGAAGAGACCCCAGGGCTAACACGGACATGGTCCCCACCCACCTGGCTCTGGGAGAAAGAGCTTTCAGTGGGAAAGGGTGGGAGGGAGGGGAGGACTAGAGCCCTAGGTGACAGTAAGAGAGCCCTTAGTTGCCTTTAAATGAGTCTGCCTCCGGGCCCAGGGCCTGGGAGCCCAGGAGCAGGGCTTTGCTCCTCTAAGGGAAAGATGCTGGTGGAGGGTGGGGGTTCTTCAGAGAAGTGCGCCCCAGGGAGGACAAACTCAGTCCTCAGTTGCCACAGCAAGTCCCTCTGCTTAGAGCCAGCCTCCTGCTGAGGTCGGAAGGGTCCCTGGCTGGGCTGCTGGCCAGTTGGGCCTGAGAGCCCCCCTGCTCCTAGTGATGCACCCCTGTGGCTGCTAATGTTTCATTTCTTCTTCCCCCCCTCCTTGCCCTCTCCCCACTCCCTGTCCCTGGCTGCCCGACCTGGGCGCGGTCTCCCTTGTGCCTCTCTGGTCTCTCTCTTCCACCCTCTCTCTTTCCTATCAGTAACCGTGGGCCACCCTCCCACCCCGGTTGCCAGGCCTTCTGGTCCAACCCTTTCTGTCCCTGTCATGGCCCCCTCCTCCCCTGTCTCAGGGGACCAGTCTCTCCTGAAGCCCCTCTGGTGTCTTTTGCAGTTCCTCTTCTCTTGGATTTGTGGAGGTTTTTCATTTTTTACACCTTCAGCCAGGGGCGGCATGAAGGCTCTCCCTTCCTCTCTCTGACCCCTGACCCCTGTTTGTGTTCCAGGCCGCTAAACCAGCTAAAGACATAAGCGGGTCGCATGAGACCTCGAGCCCAGTCTCAGAAAAGCCCTCGGCTTCCAGAACCTCCATCCCCGTATTGACTTCCTTTGGGGCAAGGAATTCCTCCATCTCCTTCTAGAAGCCCCGAGGCACCGCGCCCAGCCTGCCCGCCTCCATTCCCCTGGCATCACGCTCCCTCTGCTTCGGCCCTTCATCCCCCCACACCGCCACCCAGTCTCCGGACCCTCCCCAGGGTTTGCCGTGGGTGTGGTCCTCCTCAGCTCTCTGTGGTGTTTTTGGTTTTTTAATGATTCACTTTTAATTATCTTTTTTTTTTTTTTTTTAAAAAAAGCAAAACAGTAAAACAAAACCAAAACACACCACCTTCCCTTGGTTTCCTACTCCTAAACGGCCCCCTTGCGGTCACGGCTCCTCCCTCTTCTCCCCCACCCTCCCTCCCAGCCCATCCTGAAGCACCCACACCCCACCTTCCCTTCTGCCTGCCCCCAAACTTCCCAAGAACACGCCAAACAAACTCTGAGCCACGGAGCCTTGGAGCGGCGAGGCAGCCCCTCTCCCCGTCCTCGGAAATCATCTTGGAGGAAAACCTGGACGTTGGACCAACTCCAATATCAGGCTGAAAAATGGGGCACAGGGAGATGCTGGCCCTGGGGGCACCCCAGCTGTCCAGCAACGGGACGTGACAGTGCTGCTGCCCCTCTGCTCTCTGCCACTGGAGCCCTGGTGGGCCTGGAGTCCAGATGGATGGGCTGGAAGGGAGGCCAGAGTTTGAGGGGCCTCAGGGCGGGCATGAGATGCGCATCTGTGTCCTTGGAGAGGAGGCAGCTTCCTCGGACTCCCCTCCTGCGGTGAGGAGCTGCCCCGCCTGTGCTGCGAGCCGAGGAAGGGCCCTGTTGGACTGTTGGCTGTGGACAGTGTGGTGATCAGACAGCCTGATGCTGGGGACACTGCCTTGGGAGAGGGCAGCCCCGAGGAGGGGTATTTGGTACTTTTTTAATTTCCTGATTTAGCACTTTAAGTGATATTAACTTATTTAATAGGGGGTGGAGTGGGCTAGAATGAAGGGCCTAGAAAATTAGATTTTCAGTCCTGGAGGGTGGGAAGGGTCTGGTTGTGACAGAAATGGGGGAAAAAGAGAGGAGGCTGATGGGGACAGTGAGGAGAGCTGTGACCTCACGGGTGAGCGACTTAACCTTCAACTATCCTCTAAGATTCGAGAATTTTAAGGGAAGGAGTGAGATGTGAGTTGTAAGTGGGGAGCTGGTGACCCCTGGTGAGATCTTGAGGGTCCCTGAGGGCTGAGCAGCCAGCCAGCCCCCAGCTGTGGACACCTGCCTTGCAGAGGCTGTCAGCAGTGAGGCTTTTGGTCAGGTCCTGAGATGGGGAGGGAGAGACCAATTTTGGTTCTCAGCCCCGGCCCCAGAGGGCACAGTGAGGGGCCAGCAGGGAGACTGGTGGGTGGCAGAGGAGGAGGATGGAGTGGGGGTCCCCTGGGAGCCTATTCCTGTATGGAGCACAAAGTGGGGTGAGCACATGTGGGCGGGGGCTTGGGACTAGTCTCCTTGAGTAAGCACAGAAAGAAAGAGTCACTGAAGGGGCAGAAGCTTCTAGACCGAGGGGCCTAAAGGGAAGGTCGGTGCTCTGGGAGACCAGGGGAGCTGTTGAGGGTTGGGGAGAGAGGGGAAATTAGGTTGTGTTTCTCCATTTCTTTATTTTTTGTTTTGTTTTGCTTTTTGTTGGTTCATCCTTGTTTTCTAGCTTTGGATCTTTTTTGTACAAAGGCAAGTAAGCCTTTTTGAAAAATAACAAAAGAAGAGGAAAAATAATCCTTCCTGAAAAAAAAACCTTGGAAAAGAGAAAAAAAAAAGACCTCATAAATGATGCAATTACTTTTAATTGCAGGCAACTCTTTACATTTAAGTGAAGTGTCTTAACATTTTATATTGTTTTAAAAATATATTTACATATTATATATATAATATACGTAATATAAATATATATAAATATTTAAAAAAGAAAAAAAAAAGAAAACCACGGCACTCTCTCCCTGGCCACTGTTTTGGCGGGGGAGGGGGCTGGAGGGTGGGCACATCGCCTGGCTTCTGTGGTGCAGTGAAACGGTCTGGTTTGATTTGGCTGTACAGAGACCCCCTGACTTGGGAGGGGAGGGGGGAGTGGTGCCCCTTCCTCCCTCCACCCCATTACTCTTTGCTTGCTACTTTTCGCTTGCCCCCACCTCCCACCCTCAGCTCTGTGACCTGAATGTGTGCCCCACCGTCATCGTCCTGAGTTGAATGTACCTTTGTGGGGGGAGGAGGATGGTGGGGGAGGTGTCCACCACAAGGGGGACAGATGGAGGAGCCCTGTACCCTGCCCCACCCGCTCACCTGGAGCCCAGTGGGATCAGCATCTTTCTTTCACTTTGGTTCCTGCTCATTTACGGGCTGAGAGGCATTTGCGTGGAGGGAGGCATGTGCGTGCACAGGTGTGACCACCACACAAGCGAGCAGGGAGGCATGAGCACGTAGGTGCATGGAATCTGCTTGGGAACCTGTGCGTAGGTGTGGAGGAGCTTTGCGTGTGAGAAGGCGTGTAGTGTGTGTGTGCAGACATGAGCTACGAGAGACTGTATGTGTGGGCCACACGTGTGTACAGAGGTGTCTGTGGAGGCGCCTGTGAGTTGTATGTGCTGGTGTATGCGTGCATACCTGTGTGCGGACCTGGGCGCATGGGATGCCTGTCCCATCGTCCCTGCACCACTCGCTCCAGCTCCCCTCCCAAGCACCCATCCTCGTGGTCCTCTCAAAGCCCGAAGCACGTCACTGCCCCCCCAGCTGCATGCGCCTCGCTGCTCTGTCCATCAGTGTGTGCTTGACCAAGAGAAAACTAAGACACCTGGAGGGACTCCTGTACTAGTCCCCCCAGCCCCTGCCCACTATGCTGTTTTACTCGCATGGGGGGTTTCTCTCCCACCCCTTCCACAATATGCTGTTTCCCCAGGAGCCTCAGGCCTGAGGCTCTGCAAGGGGTCCCAGGTGGGCCCCCCCAGGTGACCTCTGGCTCCACACCCTGCCCCATCCACCCTGTAGGGCCCGTGTTGGTGTAGCAGTGATGGCTTCTGTGGATATTCTGTGACCTCTGTCAGTGTAACTTGACAATTTCTAAATGGAAAGGGTTGCTGTGTTTTCTCTGTCTCTTTTTTAATGTCCTTTTTCTTCTCCCCACTTCCCTACTCTCTCTCCTTTTCAGTTTTTCTAGCCGAGTGTTTGGGGCTTAAATAAAACTTGTTTCTTTTTCCTCTCCTGGATCTCCTTCCTATATAGGCTGCTGTCTCATTATTTCTCATCTTCACCCTGGAAGGGGATGGGATGGATGGGGTGGAGGCTGGGGAGTCCTTGGCAGCCAGCTGCCCCACAGCTTAGCACACAGGGCAGGAAGGAAGGGGAGCAGAAACCTGGGCCCTGGGAGGTCTGCTTGTCCTCAAGGGTCCGTGAGAATCACCACCATCTGTGACACTGGAGAGGAACACCATTAACTCTCACGCGACGCCAGCTCTGGGCTAGGCACTTTACCACTCAGGTAGCTACTTGCATTACTGTCACCTGCGACACCTCCGGAGTTGTTCTGTGGCTTGCCCAGAGTCACACTACTAGTGAGATGCAGAGCCAGGGTTTGAATCCAGCTTTGCCTGATCCCACACCCAGCGCTTTCCTCTGAAAACCAAGTAGGGTCTGATTACCTCCAGCAGTCCCCAGGGTTGAGCCTCAGTCACCTGCCCTTTGGGTGGGATGTCACCTCATGGTATTTGCCCATCCTTTCAAGAGCAACAGCTTTCAAACTTTGTTGTTTTTTTTTTAACTGTAATTCACAGTAAGAAGTATAGTTTATATCTCAATGATTTAGATATGTATACACACACACAATTAGTGAAACAGTGCTTACTATATACAGTGTGCTCTGGTATTTCCTGCTAAATTCTAAACATTTTGGTCACAACCCACTGGGTTAGGTTAAATGGATTAAAACTCACAGTTTGAAGAATACTTGTCTGAAGATGTAATTTCAGCCTCAATTGTGTTGTATTTCTGCTTTCTCCTCCTCAAAGACCTACTGGCTCCACTTACCCCATGGCTTCCTCTGAAACTGGAAGACCATTGAAAGATTTACCCTGGATTCTGGTTGGGTGGGGGCCCTGGACCCCTGACCCTGTGGGCAGCAAGCTGCCTGAACTCTTGCAGGTTACCAAATCAGAGTCCAGCCTGCCCCACACTGAGTGGGCCAGATGGCCTGATTGGGTTTTTCAGGTTTTCCTGGAGTTCTGAATGCTGTGCCGCTGTTGTAGCACGTTCTAAGGGTCCTCGAGGCTGCCCTCCTAGGCATCCTCCTTTTTGGCTGAGGTCGGGGTGTTATTGGGTCTCCTCTACTTCCTCCCCAACCCCATCCCTTCTATTCCACAACATGGTAACAGTGTCCTGGAGCCACTGGACAGGCCTCTCTGGAGTCCCAGTCCCACTTCCTTCTCCTAAAGATCAAAAGCCTCTTTGGAGACAGGGGTTGAGGATCTGCTCACTGTCTGCAGGGCATGGCCACCCACCTGCCAGGCAGCCCTTCAGATTCTCAGCCAGACTTCATCCCTTATGTCCTTTATTAAATGTTAGCAGAATTGGCCTTCTCTCTTGCATCCTGTTCCCCAAAAAGCTGGGAGAGTAGCCAAAGAACCCCTCATCTCCCAGAATTACCCCATTCATTTGGTGGTTCAAGATCAAGTAACAAATGAGACCATCGACCACATGCCAGGAATTCTGCCAGGTGCCTCTGTCATCCTTCCAGTGCCTGGTGAGTATCTGCCCCTCACCAGGCACTGCTGGTCCACTCCCTGGGATTGTGGCTCAGCACCCAAAGTGCAGCCACCTAGACACAGGAGCACATGTCCCCGAGCAGGATCATGATGGCAGTGAGTGTGCCACAGGGGAGCAGGCCTGCCGCACCTGTGGCAGTGAGTAATGGGGACCACCTCAGAGAGGTGAGCAGGCCCTGAGAGCACATTTGAGTGGAGACCTTAAAAGGGATGAGTGGCTACGTGGGAGCCAGTGGCTGAGTGTCCCAGGCAGAAGGCCCTGAGGTGGGATGTAATCTGTGGGTTCCGGGAAATGAATGAAATCCAAACAGAGGGAACTGAGGAAGGGGGGTGTGGGAAGGTTGGAGTGGTGGGCGGAGGCCCTGCTCCAGGAGGTCTTGTGGAATGTGGTAAGAAAATAAATTTATTCTCGGAGCCATGGAAGTCAACTGGAGGGTATTAGGTAAGAAAGTATCCATGGACACTTTCAGAAGTTACCTCTGACTGGGGTAAGGAGAAGAGAGAGGGCAGGGTGGGCGTGCGGGGCCATTAAGTCAGGGCAGGTGCGGATGCCGGCTGCCTGGACTCACTCGGCGCCCACAGTCCCATGGCTGAAGCAAGGGAAGCTGAGTCTCAGAGGCTTTGTAGCTATGACATGATGGAGCCAGGATTGAAATTCAGGACTTAGCCCTCCCAATAGCCATGTTTTGTAATGCTTTGTAATACTCATCACTACTATTTATTAAGTGCTCATGTAATCCTCATGATGTGGGCTGTAGGTACCACTGCGTCCATTTTACTGATGGGGAAGACTGACAGAGCAAAGCAAGGATTTGACCAGCATCAGGCTGGCCCCAGAGTCGGATCCTGGTTGATGGGAGAAAAGGAACTGCGTTACAAACCCAAAGCTGGGGAGGCCTTGTCTTCTCCCCCTCACTGCACATCTCTGGGTCCTCTGGGCATTTTCTGCCTCTTTGATCTGAGTGGGTTGAGCGATCCTGGAGCTCACAGGGCTACTGAGTACAGTCCACAGTGCCGGGGCCTTGGGCTCATGGCCACCATGCCCATTAGCTGTTAACAGGCTCCCTTGACACTCACTGATGGTGACCAGCTGCCACTACTCTTAACACCATTTGGCAGGAAGCTCCATCCCTTACCCCTGATCCCCACCCCAGAAATTTCACTCAATATCTCCAGATTCTCTGGTTTAGCTCAGGCCACTGTCACAGTCCTTCTACATGCCCATGTCAGAATGGCAGGGGAGAAATCCCTGTTCCTCTTAGTTCAACCCAAATAGATTTGGGGTTTTCCCAAAGAAATGTTTCTTATGAAATATATGGCTATCTTTATGCCAGTACCATACTGTCTTGATTGGTAATAAATTTGAAACAGGGAACTTTCAACTTCTTTTCCTTTGTCAAGATTGTTTTGGCATTTCCATAGGAATTTTAGGGTCAGCTTGTCAATTTCTGCCAAAAAGACAAAAAGATGGGATTTTAATAGAGATTACGTTGAATTTGTAGATCAACTGAAGACCTGCCATCTTAACAACATTGTCTTTTAAAACATGAAATATCGTTCCATTTATTTAGATCTTTAACTTCTTTTAACAATGTTTTGTAGTTATGTTGGTACAAGTTTTGTGCTTCTTTTATTAAATTTATTCGTAGTATTTTGTTATTTTTGATACAATCATGAATAGGATTGTTTTCTTAATTTCATTTTTATACTGTTCTTTGCTCATAGAAATAAAATTGGAGGGTGTTAAAGATTTTCTTTCTTTATTGAGGTATAATTGACACATAACACTATTAGTTTCAAGTATATGACATAATGATTTGATATTTGTATGTATTGCAAATAATCACCACAGTAAGTCTAGTTAACATCTGTCACCAGTCATAATTACAGAATTTTTTTCTTGTGATGAGAACTTTTAAGATTTTGTTAGCAATTTTCAAACATGCAACACAGTTATTAACTATAGTTGCCATTCTGAACATTGCATCCCCATGACTTATTCAATTTATAATTGGAAATTTGTATCTTTGACCACCTTTACCAACTTTGCCCACCCCTAATCTCCCTCCATCCCCCACCTCTGATAACCACCAATCTGTTCTCTGTATCTATGAGCTTGTTTTTTTTAATTCCACCTATCAGTGAGATCATAAGGTATCTGTCTATCTGACTTATTTCTTTTAGCATAATGCCCCCAAGGTCCATCCATATTGTTATAAATGTTGAGATTTCATTCTTTTTTTATAGCTAAGTAGTATTCCACTGTATTTTTTACCACCTTTTCCTTTATCCATTCATCTACCAAAGGACATTTAGGTTGTTTCCATATCTTGCCTGTTGTAAATGATGCAGCAATGAACATGGGCGTGCAGAGACCTCTTCAAGTTAGTGTTTTTGTTTTCTTTGGGTAAACACCCAGAAGTAGAAGTTTTGGATCATAAGGTAGTTCTATACTTAATTTTTGAGGACTGTCATACTGCTTCTACAGTGGCTGCACTAATTTACATTCCCACCAAGGTTTAAAAAAAAAAAACTAGATCTTCCAAAATTATTTCTTATTATTCAATTTCTAATGCAGTCTGTATTTATGAGTATCTTTTTATTTAAGGTTTTTTATTGAGATTGAATTCATATAACAAGTAATTAACCCTTTTAAAGTGTACAGTTCAGTGGTATTTAATATATTCACATCAGCTCTCTCTAGTTTCAAAGTGAGCATACATTTTCATCACCTCATAAACACATCCCATACATTAAGCAGACACTCCCTATCTCCATACCACTTCCTTCCCTGGTAACCTCTAATCTGTCCCTGTGGGTTTGCCCACTCGACACAGATATTATACAAAGAGAACCAGACAATATGTGCCCCTTTGTGTCTCGTTTCTCTTACCTAGCATAATGTTTTCAAGGATCATCCCAGTTGTAAAATTTACCAGCATTTTGCTCCTTTTTATGGCTGAATAATCCTGTATTCCATTGTATGTATATACTGTACAATAATTTGTTTATTAATTTATCCATTAATGGATATTGGAGCTGTTTTCACCCTTTGCCTACTATGAATAATGCTGCTGTAAACAGTCATGTACAAGTTTTCTGTGTGGACATATGTTTTCATTTCTCCTGGGGCTATACCTAGGAGTGAACCTATTGGGTCACATGGTAACTCTATGTTTAACTTTTTGAGGGGCCGCCGAACTGTTTTCCACAGCTGTCTGTCTGATTCAACATCCTCACCAGCAGTGTACCAGGGCTCCTATTTTTCCATATCCTCATTAACGCTTGTCATCTTCTCCTCTCGATTTAAACCATCCTAGTGGGTGTAAAATGGTATCTCACTGTGGTTGTGAATTAATGAAAACAGGGAAAATTAATTAAATATGAAATTTTTAAATGAATTTCTTAATCCTTTTTTCTTCATCAGTCTAGCTAAATATTTGTCAATTTTGTCGATCTTTTCCAAGAACCAAGTTGTAGTTTTATTGATTTTATCCTTTTTTTTTCTATTTTCTATCTCATTTATCTCTATTGTTATCTTTATTATTTCCCTCCTTGGCTTAATTTGGGTTTAGTTTGCTTTCCTTTTTCTGGTTTCTTAAGGTGAAAATTTAGGTTACGGATCTGAAATCTTTCTTCTTTTCCAATACAGACATTTACAGCTACAGATTTTCCTCTAAGCACTGTTTTTGCTGTAGTCCATAGCTTTGATATGTTGTGGTTTTGCTTTGCTTCATCTTAAAGTATTTCTAAATTCCTCTAAATTTCTTCTTTAGCCCATTGGTGATTAAGGAGTGTGCTTTTGTATTTCTGCATATTTGTGAACTTCCCAACATTTCTTCAGTTGTTAATTTCATTGTGGTTGGGGAGTAAACTTTGTATGATTTCAATCCTTTTAGGTTTATCAAGCCCTCTTCTATGGACTCATATATGGCCTATCCTGGAGAATATTCCACATGTACCTGAGAAAAATGTGTATTTTGCCCTTGTTGGATGGAGTCCTCTTTAGATATCTCTTAGGTCCAGTTGGTCCAGTGCTATTCAAATGTATTCCTGATCTTTTGGCCAGTTGTCCAGTCTGTTATTGAAGGCGGGATTGAAGGCTCCAACTGTTATTTTGAATTGTCTACTTTCAATTCCGTTAGTTTTATTCTTTGAAGCGTACATATTTGTGATCATTTTACCTTAATAGATTGGTCCTTAGATCATAAAGTGTTGTTCTTGTTTCCAGTAACAATTTTTGTCTTTAAAGTCTGTTCTGTCTCACACTTGATAGGTCCTCTGGTTCCGTCAGTAACTCTGCCTGGCATCTTTTTCTTTCCTTTCACCTTCAACCTTTTTGTGTCTTTGAATCTACAGTAAATTTCTTGTGAACATCATGTAGATGGATTCTCATGTTTTAAAATCAATTCTGCCAATTTCTGCCTTTTGACTGGGGTGTTTGCTCCATTTACACTCCATGTGGTTACCGACAAGGTAGGATTTATGTCTGCCATTTTGCTATTTTTTCCATATGTCTTCTTACGTTTTTTTATTCCTTTACTCCTTGATTCCTGCCTTCTTTTGTGTAAGATAGATATTTTCTAATGTATCTTTTAAATTCCCTGTTTCACTTAGACTACTTTTTTAGTTATTTTCTTAGTTAGTCACCCTGGAGATTACACTTAGCATCTTCACTTAATACACTTCAGATTAATACTAACTTAATTTTTAACAGCGTACGAAAACTTTGCAGGATAGCTCCATTCCCTCCCCGCTCCTTTGTACTATTGTTGTCATACAAGTTTTACCTTTGTGTGTTTATAAACCTGCCTGCGGTTTTCTGATTACTGCAGTTGCCTTTTGAGGACAGAGTTAAATACAACATAGAAAAGAATTACAAATAAAAATGTTCATACTGTCTTTCATAGTATCTACGTAGCTACCGCATGGTGTTCTTTATTCCTTTGTGTAGATTCAAGTCACCATCTAGTGTGGTCTCGTTCTGGCTTGCAGGCTTTCCTTTAGTGTTCCTGATAGGGCAGGTCTGCTAAGGACAAATTCTGTTTTTCTTTACTGGAGAGATCTTCATTTTTCCTTTGTTTTTGAAGGGAAGCACGGGATTTTAATTCATTCTCTTCCAAGCCTACTATAGCCTGGAGAAGTTGCCCAATAGGCAGATAACCCTGTCTGTATGTCCTTCCTCTGGGCTTAGATTTATCCTGCAGTCAGCACTGGGCAGAGAGTGGCAAGGAGGGAGGTGATGACCAGGGCAGAAGATCTCTGACCCAGGGAGGCTGTCCACCCAGTTAACTTGCAAAGATCCTTCCTAAATAGGAGGCTGGAATGTTAGTCTTCATCTATACTTAACCAGCTGTGTGACCTTGAACAGGTAATGTCACCTCTCTGTGCCTTAGTTTCCTCATATATAAAATGGAGATAACCATGATGTGGAGCTCAAAAGTGTTGGAGGACCGACTTGGGCATGTAAAGCCCTTGGGGCTGGTGTGAGCCCACAACACCAGCTCTTGGCTATTTTGCCAAATAGAACAACCTGTGGGGCAGGGGTGGAGCACGGAGGGAGGGAGGATTCAGTCAGTGACTGCGCTCTTCCCAGCTCCAGGCTCTTTAACGAATGTCACTGGCTTTTTCTACAGATGGCTACTAGGCTCATCAGAGACAGTCTGGATGCCAACAAGGACAACTACTGAGCCAGGACACAGAAGGAAGCCATCCCATGTTGTAAGCTTACACATGTGTCTAAGCCAATGGGCAAAACCCATACTGTCCCCTTGGATATTGCCTGGGCCTGGAGTGATTGTGATGGCAGTTGGCCAGGATGGGCCCCAGCAGTGACCTGGGCCTTCCCCGAACCTCCTGTCTGTGGGGCAGCACCCTCTGGACCCCTCCGAAGGTGCAGGCCAGCCAGAGAAGGAAGGTGCCTGTGTGCCTCCCTGGCCTTGGCAGGAGTATGGAGAGCGCCTGCAGCACAGAGGGTCAAGCACCCTTCTCCTCTCTTCTGTGCTCCTGCCATTGTTCCTCCCAGCCCCAGGACACCTAAACCTACCGCATAGAGGTTTGCCTGCCTCCACTCTGCCACCACCTGCCTCATCCCCCTTTGTCCTCCTTCCATGGCCAGATACCTCTCCCCATCCCAACCCTATTCTGTCTTCTAGCTGCTTCTCCCCCCAAAACAAGCACGACAGCTGACATGTGCCTTAAGGAAGGTCATTTATTTCCAAGATATAGTTCCAAGACTATACTTTAAAGACAGGACTTTTCAGAAGCAGGAAATCTTAGTTGTCGCCTAAAGAGGTGTGTCAAGGACACAGTGGAAGGAGACATGCGGACATGGGACAGTAGACCTATCCAACACTGTTAACAACACTTTTTTAAATGAGCAAAACATCTTTAAAAATCCTTATAAATTCTTTATAATATGTTACACATTTAGAGACAATATTTACAATAAAAGGATGCAGGAGGGAGGACAGAGAAATCTACTTTGCAGCAAATCTTTGCATAAAACAAGAGGACTGATAGACTTGGCTTCAGAACCCTACCTGGGCTTGCCTGGAATAAGTGAGGGCATGTGGGGGAGGCCTGGTGATCTGAGGTCTATTTACAACGTGTGGTGAGAAGAGGGGTCTGAGGAGAAGAGGGGGCTGGGTCCCACCCATCCTGGAGGAACAGCCCAGCTCAGACCCCATAAATCAGTGTGTGTGTGTGTGTGTGTGTGTGTGTGAGAGAGAGAGAGAGAGAGAGAGAGAGAGAGAGACCAGGGATGCTTTACTTTGCCCCCTCCTAAGGGGAAGAAGGTGGGGGTCTGTGTGCCTGAGCTGTGGAAGAAGCAGGCACAGCTGGAAGAATAAAAAGAGGGACAAGGGAGGCCTAGGAGGGGGAGCCCTGCACCCTTCCAAAACTGGCTGGGGAATGGGCAGCTCCCCATGGTTAATGCAGTCCCCTAGGTGGGGTGATTTAGAATTTGGTAAAAGGTTGGCGGGGGAGAAGCCCTGGTCAGTGTCTTATTCTTGCCTCTATGGAGTGGCCCCAACCCCCTTCTCTGGCTCTGCAAGCAACAGGGGCAGGACCCCTGGGTGTACCAAAGGCAGGGAGCCCTGGGAGTGGTGGGGGAAGGGACGAAGGGGACAGGAGTGGAGGAGCTGCTGCAGGTAACACCTTTGGACAGTGACTACACACACACACACACACACAACCCCCTTCCCCCCATGGGCACCACCGCCCTACATCTCCTCTCCCCAGACAGACATACACAACCTCCCCCCACACCTTAGCTAGGAGCTAAGGGGAGGCGGGTGGGCACAGGAAAGGAGCGAAAAGCCAGCATCACCCGGTGTCTTTTCTTTAGCCTCAGACTTGGGGGTTCCCTATCCACACACCATGGCAGACAAGGATCCCTAAGTGCAGACACAGGAAGGCCAGAAGGGCACACACGGTCACTCATCAGGGGAGAGACCCCCAGCAGCCCTGCACGGGGCTCCAGCAGCCTACACCCTCTCCTCTCCCTCTGTTTCTGGAGCCTCCCTCCCTCCCTCCCCTTCACACTGCCAGTTGCCCAGCCCCGGCCTTCTCCTCTACCCACCCCCCTACCAATTCCAGCATCCCAATCAGATACAGCCTGGAGGGCCTGATGCACCCCGGCGCGACACAGGAGGGGGCGCAAGCCAGAGGAGACGCCCGTTTGCGTGGGGGCGGAGGGGGGCCATCAGGCGGGGTGGGGCGGGGCTGGTCACAGACACTGATGGAGGCGGGAGGCGGCGGCGTGGCGCGGGGGCTGGCTCTGCAGGGCCCCGGGGTCCCTGGGCGCGGGCGGCAGCGAGGCCGCGGACGACGGGGCCCGCGCCTTGGTGGACTCCAGGCTGCTGAGCCCCGAGTCCTTGTTGTCACTGTGCGCCCGAGGACCCGCGGGCTCCGGGGGGCCCCCTCCGCCCAGCTCTTTCCACTCGTTGAAATTGAGGTCGGTCAGCGGGCTCTGCACCACCACCGTGTGGCGGCGCCAGCTGCTCCGGCGTCGCCGCGTCTCGGGCGATAGCGGCCGCCGCAGGCGCACGGCGAGCATGTCGTCGGCCGTGCCGCGGAGGCGCAGCCGCAGCGCCTCGAGGCGCGAGGGCCGCGAGCCGAGCGCCGCCGCCGCCGCCGGGGCCGCCGCGGGGCGCAGTGACTCCTGGCTGCTGGACGAGGCCGAGCCCGGCAGCTCGGCGGCCCCCCAGCCCGCGCCCGCGCCCTCGCCGTCGGGGCGGCCCCGGGACAGGCGGCGCCGCGCCAGCGTGTCGCAGGGCATGAGGCGGTGCGAGCTGAAGGAGGGCCGGCGCGCCGCGCGCCCCCCGGGCCCCGCGCCGCCCTCCGTGTCCGTCTCCACGTGGCTCAGCTCGCTGCGCTCGTCGTCCGCTTCGTCCCCCGCGCCCGCCCGCCGGCCCCCGGCGCCTGAGCACTCGCTGCGGTCCATGGTGGACAGGGTGGAGTAGCCCGAGACGATGGAGCGCGTGTCCGCGGCCGGCCGCTCCTCCGGCGCCGCCGGGGGGCTGAGGCGCCCGGGGGGCTCGGGGGCAGCGGCGCCCGGCGGCTGCCCCTCCGGCTGGTCCTGGCCCCCCGGCGTCGCCGAACCCGCCTCGGGCTTGTGCGCCTCCTGCTCCGAGTCGTCGTCGGTGCTGCTGCCCAGCCCCCGCGCCTCCCGCCGCTTCTTCCGCTTGCGGTTGACCGCGGAGATGAAGGAGATCGCCAGCATCTCCCGGGCGTACGGCTCCTTCTTGGGGGCCCACGAGCCCTGGGCAGGAGACAGGTCAGTGTGCAGGAGGCGCCCAGACTTGCACCAGCGCTGCGCTTTCCCCCAAGTTCCCACCCACACCTCACACACCACAGCACCTACTCTCAGCAGGTCCAAGCCCAGGCCAGCACCCCCACAGGCTCATAAATCGTTTCTCCTGGACGGCTGTCCAAGCTAGAGGCTACCCCCGAGGGCCCTCTTCCATCCTGAAGCCTCCTCGGCAACTCTTCCGGTCTTAATTCAGACTCAGCTCTTTCCTGAGGGGCTGGTCTCTCGCCTGGGCCTCAACTACCATTCCATTCTCTATGTCCAGCATTAGAGAAATTCATTCAGACATAGCTCTGGTAATGACAGTCTCCCAACAGAGAATATAACACTTGACAGTTGGAAACCATTTCACAGAAGTATCCCAGGTTATAATCGCCAGAACCTGGCAGGGACCTTTCTCTGATCACAGCCCCTTTCCCCTGCCCCTCCACTTACTCTAGCCTGGGAAACCTGCCTCTCCAGGGCAACAAGCCCAAGACCACTTGCCCTTCCCACCGCACCTACAACATGCAGTTCAGCCATCCCACCAGCGCCCCACCTGGCAAGCCCCCAGCCCAGGATCAATCCAGTGGCCAGCTGTGCTGCTAACCCTACGGAGCTAAGGGATCACTGCTAACGTAACACAACCACTAGTTTGGATGGAAACCACTCCCAAACTATTTCCAACTGGAGTTGAGCAACTTCCTGCCGCCATGCTCACTGCTAAGCCCAGTGGGTGTTTTTTTGGTCCTGGCCTGCCCATCACTGCCTCCACCAGCCTGCTTTTAATCCTCCCTTTCTTCTGTCTCCTGGGGGGCTCTTTTCCCCACCTTCCCGCTTACAAAACCGTGTTTCCAGGGTTCTGTCTCAGCCCCTACCCTCTCTCTCTCTCATGTTCCCTGGGAACATCCCTGCTCCCAAGGCCTCCCCATCCAACACCCAACTATCTCTTGAACTCCAGAACTCTTCTTCCAGCTGTAAATTCCTCTCTACCAAGACATCTGCAGGTCTGAAACTCACTACCTGGAAGCACGTCATGCTCCGACCCCTGCCCCAAACTGCCTGCATTCCTGTCTCCCCACCTGACCATGATTCTCTAACTCTCGCCTCCTCCCTCCCCATCCTCCTGAATGACTCCCAAAGGCAGCCCCCATCGCCCTCCGTTCAGGCCCTTGCTCTACCTTTTCTGGGCCTGTCCACCCCCTCCTAGTAGGACTCCCTGCCTCCACCCAGGCCTCATCCCAATCCCTTCTCCTCCAGAGCAATCAATCCTTCAAAGGCAAGGCAGGACTCTGCAGGATCCTGCCCCTGCCAGGACAAAGCACAGACACAGGGCCCTGCCCAGCCTGCTCCCAGCTTTCCCAGCATGCAGCCTTCCCTGCCCTGACCCCAGCCACAATGCAGCCTTCACACTGGCAACGCTGATCTACGAGCCCTTCGCACCATAGGACTTACACTTAAACCTTGGCAGCGCTTAGTGCCCGGCCTCATGTGCTGGATGAGCTGTCACTCCTCCTATTTGTCCCAGCTCAAACATGGCATCCTCTGCACAGCACCCTCCCAGCTCTCCCTTTGGCTGAGCTGGGAGATCCCTTCTCTGTCCCCACAGCCCTTTGAAAATTCATCTATGCTAGCTCTTCTCACATCAGAATAACTTTGTTACCATATCATCTATATCAAATGGAGTTCCACTAGAGCAAGGTCTGTGGCTTATCTGTGCTTGCATCCATGACTCCTAGCATGGTGCCTGGCACATGATAGGTGCTTAATAAATGGTATGTGAATGAACAAATGGGTGAATGGAGCCCCCTCAACATAGGAAGCCTTTTAGAAGCAGATGCTGGGACTGGATCCCCTGCTGGGCTGGAATGACCCTTTTCACAGGCTGCCTCCTGTTTTGGCCACAGTGCAATAATGCCTGGAGATTCAGAGAGGCCTCATGTGGCTCCCGCATCCTACATACTTTTTCTCACATCAGTTAGTTCTGAGAAAGTCAGAGGTGTTAGGAATTCAGGATTTACAGGCATGTGGCTCCTGGGCCATGGCTGCCCACACTGCACTAATCCAGAAGGCACCCCCTGGAGCTGTGCAAAATAGCAGCACTTCTGTGATCAACCTGAGGCACAAAGTGGCCAGTGCCACCTTCTTTACTGGCCAGTGCTCTCTGAGAGACTTGAGAGGCCCCTGGGATCATCTGATCAAACTACCCTCTCATCCTGGCTAGTTACAGAAACAGTGAGGTCAGAATGGACACTTCCAGGAATATAGTGGTCAGCAGATTCACATAAAGGTCAAGAGGTCAGTCCAGGAGAGGCTACAGGAAACCAGGAGGCTAGCAGGAGCAATGGTGCAAGCGACATGGGCTAGATTCAGGTTGCTCTATGTGCTCCCTGCCATGGCAATCTTTTGATGGCATGAGCTCCCCGCCACCAGAGGTATGCAGGCAGGGGCTCTGCAGAGAGGCTGCAGGGGTCTCTGCACCAGACCAGAGCAGCCTTCCTTCCTTCTGTCCAGGACCTTCATCTGACACACAGTGAGCACCTGCTCAGTGTCAGGCACATTGGGCTCACAGGGACCTGGCTGGTTGCCTGGAGACCCAGACAGAAATGAGCCCAGTTCAGCCAGCCAAGGCTTAGCTCATTTCACCCACTCTATGCACAGAACTGTGTCTCCCCTAAATCCATATGTTGAAGCCCCCACCCCCCTATATGATAGTATTTGGTGATGTATTAGGACTTAGAAGAGAACATGAGGGTGGAGCTCCTATTGTGCCATTAGTGCTCTCGAATGAAGAGCCGCCAGAGAGCTCTCTCGCGCTCTCACGCTGCTGTATGTGGACGCAGTGAGAAGGCAGTCACTGCAGGCCAGGAAGAGGGCTCCTGCCAGAAAGTGGCCATGCTCACACCTTGATCTTGGACTATCAGCCTCCAGCACTGTGAGAAAATAGACTTCTGTGGGTTAAGCCACCCCCCTGTCCATGGTATTTTGTTATGGCAGCCCACGGTAACTAAGACACGGCGACCATCCCCTGCCGTCAAGCTCTAATCTAACAGCTGCACAGGGTCCACCTGGGGCAGGCACCACTGCCTGCTGGGCTCTGCCTCAGAGGGCAGGCTCTGGAGTGCGCACACTGCTAGCTGGCTGTGAGAGCTGCTTGCAGCTTTGGGTTCATTGATTTCTTTTATTACTTCCTCCTTTCTGCTTGCTTTGGGCTCTCCAAAGACCTTAAAGAATACTTACTGTATCAGACATATTTGTTAACCCCATTTATGGAGATAAGTATTATCCATCATTTACAGATGGGGAAGCTGAGGATCAGAAAGAGCTTAAAGTAACTTGCCAGTGTCCCAGAGTGACTAAGCGGTGAGGCCAGGACTCAGATGCAAGACTGTCTGTGCTTCTTGCCTCTGGGAACACTTCTCAGCCCCCCAACTCCCAAGCCATATCCATCTACTACAAGTGTCTTCTCAGCCATCAACTTTCCTCAGGGTCCAGCCATAATGCTCCCAATTCCCTTGACCAAAAGGCTGAGTGGGCTAAGTGGGCTGGCCTGTGAGGGGATAAGGCCTTTGGAATTGCCTTGGCGCTTACCTTGGGCTTGGCTGAACTACAGGTGGTAGCATCTGTTAGCGAGAGACAGAAAGAAAAATTCAAGTTGGATTGGAGCAAGCAAAGGCTGAGTCTTGTGAACACAATTCCCTCTCCTCAAAGGCTTCAGAAACTAGGGAGTTCAGAAACCCAGAATCTCCCAGGTCCTGGGAGTGCGATGGGCCTCTGATGTCATTCCCTCTGGCATGGGATGGAGCAGAGAATGATGTCAGTCACCACTTCCTTTAGAGGCAGGAAGTGACATCAGGCTGTCTGCCACTGGACCCTCATTTGCCCAGGGTTAAGGGCAAGGGGGGCTTTTCCTTGGGCCCAGTTCTCCCCTCCCCTTCTATCCCTGTTACTCTGAAGCACTGGAGAGAAAATGCAAAAGTCAGAGGAAGTCCACGAAGCCACAACACAGCAAAGCACAGATGCTCTGGAGAAATGGAGACCACACAGTGCATAGAGAGGTGGGTGCCCTACATTCCCCCCTCCCCACTGCTTCCAGGACATGAGAAGGAAGAGGGGCCATGTGAACGATCACGTACAGGGGTACACATGAAGTGTGTGGGACACAGAAGGCGGAGCGGGCTGGCGATGAAGCCTTGAGAGGTTCCACCTTCAGACCTGAGGTCCACTTGCCCTGAGGGGGCAAGGCCCCTGTTTATAACCAGAGTTATGAGGGAGAATAAAATCATTACATCAACGGGACTCAGCTCCCACTCCCGGATGTCACTGGGTGGAAGAAGGAACCCGAAACAAGTCCTGGCAGTGTCTTCTCCAGGACTGGGGAGGGAGCAGGCTGACCCAGGGACCTCCTAGGTCCAACGCTGCAGTGGGCAGGTGTGGTTAATCCACACTCTCTGGCAAGCAAGTTAGATGCCTCGTCCCCAGCCCTCCCCTGCACACGGTGAGAAGAGCAGATGGGTTCACCACACAGTGACACACACGGGGCAGGGGAGCGGCAGCAGATGATTAGAAGAGACGGGGGGCTCCTGTTGGCCATCCCCACCCTCCCATATCCTCTGACTCCCTCCTGCACCCTGCCTCTTGCACCTAGGGGTGCTGTGGTATGCTTCCGTGAGAGACAGGAGAGGTCCAAATACCAAGGGTGGGTCACCCATGGGGTAGAAGTTAGTGCCTTGAGCCAAGAAGGGACTGGCCGTTCCTTCATCTCTGGGCTACTCTGCTCTGAGAGGGCCAGAGGCCTGGAAATAGGACTTAGGGGCTGAATGACCAGGGGCTCTGGCCCCCGAAGCTGGAAGAGCCGGCCCCAGGAGGCAACTTGAGGCAGGAGCTCTAGAGAGAGAGAGGCTTCTGGGGGTGGCATCACTGGTGTCCAGAGAGGCTGGGTCCTGCTACCAGCCAGGTCTCCCCCTGCCCAGATAACAGAAGTGGCAAGGTTCAGCATAAAGAGAAGGCCACTGAGTTTGGGGGACTGCGGGGGTGGGGGGTGCAGCCATGTGGTGCCCAGCCTTCCTGGCAGGGGGCAGCATCTGGCTCCAACACCGACCTCCTTCCCCCTGAGAAGGGGCTTTGGAGGGAAGGACTTTGGGGTGAGGGGAAGCTGTTAACGAGTGTGAGTAGATGGTGTTTGAGGGTGAGGCCCTCACAGGCCAAATGTTTCTGCCTCACCGGCCTTCTTATAATCACCTGCCACTGTTAGTGACCGAGGCCGCAATGCCGCACTGTACCCTTTAAATCTCCAACAGGTCCGCTGGAGGAGGGGAAGGGGAGGAGAGATGGGGCAGGATCCAGGGCAGGGAGGAGTGGGCGGAGGGGAGCAGGGAGAAAAGGAAGAAAAATTAAAAGAGGAACAAGCCCAGAAGGACACAGCCCATGACAAATAAAAAGCTCAGGAGAGAAACCAGTGAAGGAGGGCAAAGCTCCTGCCCAGCCCAAGGTGAGGGCAGCTGAGTGGTCAAGGGGGAGGGCACACTGGCAGCTGGACCTCCTTGGACAGGGAGAAGGCCCCGCCGCAGCCCACCTCAGTGTGGGGACAGGGAAGGCCCCACTGGAGCGGGGGCAGGGAAGCTGGGCATCTGGCCAGGCATCTGGGACACCCACGGGGTGCAGACCCCACCTTCACCCCTTCCCAGGCCCCTGCACTCACCTGGACCTGGGTCACCTGGGGGCACTGTCCTCCCAATGTTAGGCAGGAGGTACTCGATGTTGGGCACCGACTGAGGCTCCTTGTCATCCACAGGGGTCTGCAAACAGGAGGAGGGTGAGCCAGCATGCCCTCACGGCTGGACTGCGGACTCTGCAGAAAGGACCCCTGAGGCAGACCGGGGCTCGCCAGGGTGGGGACTGTATCCCTCATCAGTCAGGCACTGTGCACGGCAGGTCCTATCTGTCCCCCATTAGACTGTTCTGTGCCTCCCCAACACCTTGATTGAACCCAGAAGGCCTGAGCTGCTCCTACAGCTGCGGGCAGGGGCTCTGTCTCCCCCATCAGGCTGGACCTTCCTAAGACCTGTATCCTCCACATAAGACTGGAAGGCAGGGTCTGGACTCAGTTTCCTTAGGGCAAGGCCAGTACCTCTCTCTTGAGACTGGGGGCTCATGAAGGCCAAGATTGGGTCTCCCATCAGATCGGAGGCCCCTGAGGAGAGGGCCTGCACTTCCTGCATCAGCTCCAAGGACAGACACCTCCCATGCTTGAACCTTGTGGCCCCACTCCGACCCCAGGATGAGGGCCGCCTAAGACCAGACCCCACCCCAGTGGCCCCTGCCTCACTTACTTTCTCTCCCTTGTCCTCATTGTCACTGAAGAACCAGTCTGACTGCAGAGGAGACAAAAGGAAGTGATAAGATCAGTGTGGGTAGGGGCTGAGGGAAGACAGGGAGGTGGCTCCCACAGGCTCAGTCCAGAGGACCCACTCAGGCGGTGGATGGAGCAGGGCAGGATGGGCACCAGGAGGCAAGGTACCGCCTCTTCTCAACAAACCCAGGCCAGCCTGGTTGCTAGAGAGGTCTCAGAGGGGGGCTGATGGCTCCTGGAGCCTGATGCCACAGATTATGAGAAGCCCTTGGGGACAGAAAAGGTTGTAGATGGATGACTGGCTCAGGGAGAGATTCTCTGCCTGTTTTTCATGGAACACTGTCCAGTGCGCATCACTGTGGCTGGCTCCCCACTGCAAGCCAGAAGCCGGGGGAAGCATCGCCATCTAGTGTCGACTGAGTGCACTGCAGGGAAGAGGCCACCGCAGCTGCTAGAGCTGAGTGTATTGCACGCCAGCCGTGGGCTCCACACTGACACCCGGGGTGACATCCCCTGCCCAGAATATGGAAGTGTCTGGAGGGAGTGTTGGGAGGTTCCCTGAGGGGCAGGCAGGCAAGGGTTTTCTCATAAATGCCACACAGGAGAGGAGTAAAGTAAAAATCCCAAATATAATCCATGAAATTTGAGAATTTTGAAGATAAAACTCTTCAAGTTTTCTGAAAAAACAGATTGCTTACAAATGAACATGTATCATCTGTAACTAGAACTTTCAGCAGCAACAGACACAAAAAGACAAAAAAAGAAAAGTAATATTTTCAATGTGTGGCTGGACTACAAATGCAGAATTTTGAACCCCAAATTTTATACCCTGCTAAACTCTCAATAAATTTTAAATTTAATTTAATTTAAATTCTGAAATAAAGCTATATGGAGACATCAGAAAGGTCACTACACAAAGGCTCTCTTAACTGAGTACATGCACAAATACAGAAATTAATTCAGGAGGGAGCAATAAGCTCTGAGAGGTAAGAAGGGATTTTAGTGTAGAAAAGTCCATTATTATCAAACCAAAAAATGATACACATACATATACAAACACACAAAAAGTATATCCAATCTGGAGTTCAAACTCAGAGAGAGAAACCAGTGGCAGGTGAAAGTACACTAAGGTACTTGGCTTTTAGATGTAGTGGAAGGAAGACATGGATACCGACAAGATAACCACTGATAGAAATTGATAGTGAGAACTATAAGTATGGACTTTTATAATTGCATAATTAAACAACATGGGTTTTATAAGTTGTATAACTTTCCTATCAGGAAAATAAAATCAGACCTTCCAAAGCAAGATTGGACAGACCTAAACAAGGAAATAAAATGAAAATGGTAGACAGAAAGTGACATTTAAGCTGGCAGAAATAAGTCCCAACAGTATGGAAATTATAATAAAGTAAATGAGCTAAACTCACTGGCTGAAATTTAAAACACACAGAATATTATGTACACTTAAGGATATCCATATATTTAAAATAAGCGTAGAAAAGGTGGATTGGAAGGACACATATTAACCTATGAGAATGGTAATTGTGGGGGTCAGGAATGAAGGGGGAAAACAAAGAGATTGTAATGTTGATTACGACTATGTGCCATGAAATTCAGTTATTATTAATCATAATCAGGCATACTCTTAACTTAGATAAGCGGCACAAAAGAGAAACAAGAAAGAGAGAATAAAAAAGAAATGCAGGATGGAGTCAATTGTCTGGGGCTCAAGTTCACCTCAGGTGAATTACCTGATTCTATTTACTTATCTGTAAAGTGGGCATAATGTGAGTATCTACTAACAGAATTGTGATGAGGATAAAATGAAATACTATGTGGCCAATAACAAAAAGACAGGAAATAACAAGTGTTGGTGAAAATGTGGGGGAAAGAGAATCTTTTTGTTGGTGGGAATGTAAATTTGTGTAGCCACTATAGAAAACAGTGTGGAAGTTCCTCAAAAAAGTTTAAAATAGAAACACCATAGGATCCAGCTATTCCACTTCTGGGTATTTATCCAAAGAAAATGAAAACACTAACTTGAAAAAAACATCTGCACCCCCAGGTTCATTGCTGCATTATTTACAACAGCCAAGGTGTGGAAACAGCCTGAGTGTCCATCAACGGGTGAATAAAGAAAATGTGGTACATATGTACATTATCATTATTATTAAGCCATTAAAAAGAAGGAAATCTTGATTTGTGACCACATGGATGGATGGACCTTGAGGGTATTATGCTAAGTGAAATAAACCAGACAGAGAAAGGCAAATACCATATGATCTCACTTATGTGTGGATTCTCAAACAAACAAACAAAAACCATGCTCACAGATACAGGGAACACATCGGTGGTTAGCAAAGGCTGGGGGAGATGGGTGGGCAAAATGGATGAAGAGGGTCAAAAGGTACAAACGTCCAGTTGTAAAATAATTAAGTCATGGGGACGTAGTGTACAGCATGGTGATTATAGTTAATAATATTGTATTGTTTATTTGGAAGTAGCTAAGAGAGTAAATCTTAAAAGTTATTATCACGAGAAAAAAATTTTGTAACTATGTGTGGTGCTGGATCTTCACAGTCTGGTGATGGCTTCACAATATGTAGATATTGAATCATTATGCTGTATCCCTGAAAATAATGCAATGTTATATATCAACTATATCTCAGTTTTAAAAATAACAAAAAGAAATTTTTTGCTCCATAGAGGCATTTGGCAATGTCTGGAAGCATTTTCAATCGTTACAACTGGCAGGACACTCCTGGCATCTAGTCAGAGATGCTGCAGAACATCTTACAATATGCAGGACAGCCCCCCAAAGAAAACTGATCTGGCCCCAAAGATCACAAGTGCCAAGGTTGAGAAATCCCAGTGTACACATAGTAGGAATCAAGTTTGTTGGTGAATAAATGAACAAATGCCTTGACAGGGTCTATATTGGGGTTCCAACTGACTTAGTAAACATGGGTGTGAGCTGGCTGGTGACTTGAGGCTGGGAGGCTAAGCACCTGGTACTGCTCATCTCCACTCTGCCTTTATCTTGTTGTACAACCCTGGTCAAGTCACTGTTCCTCTTTACACCTCTGTACGATTCAAGGATAGATCTAGATACTGTAAGGTCCCTCCTAGCTCTGCTATCCAGGAGTTCCTCAGAAGACAGGAGCTGCCCAGGTGATGGCTGCGGCTAGAACTTCCAGCAGAAGGTGATGTCACCTATTAACTCCAGCCACCCACTCACTGGCTGGTCAGGGGCTCAGAAACAGAGCAGTCCCTGCCCCAGTCTGATCCTGCCTGGGCTCATGATTACACCGATCCCTGCCTACAGAGCCTCCGGGCTAGACAGACCCTGGCAAACTTGGGTGTGCAGAAGGTGGGTAGCTCTTTCCCTTGATAATCATTCAGGGCTGATTATGTTCACCAGACCTGTGTGTTTATGGAGTATATGAACTCATATAAGCATTTTCAGTGCTTTGCTTTAGTTTTTAAGCTACATTAACTTTAATTTTAAAATATATGTAGAGGGAAAGCAGTTTATATTATAGGCACTTATAAGTAAATAGTATTAGTTTTATAAATGATAAGTAATAGAATATTTTAAATTTAGATATGCTGTATTTTATTTAATTTTGTGTCTGGGAGATAGTTACTGCAAGATTCCTGGTCATATGTGTTTGTTTGAACATCTAAGTGTTTTACAGGTAGGCAGAAAGCTGTGCAACAGTGTTATGATTTATATACTTAGTAATACTTTGTGTTTTATATTGCACCCTTGTGTACACATTCTTGCTTTTGGGGTTTGACAAGATATTTAGTATACGTGGGGTTGAGTGGGGGTAAGGGGGGGTTGATTATATCAAAGTAACGGTGTACTTTTTTGATGTTTTAATACAATTGTTGTAAGTCTGATAGTTATTCATGGCTTATGTAAAATTTATATTTGTATAGATTTAATTTATTTTAAATGTTGTTATAAAGTGTTATGTCTATAACCACTGACTGAATTATACCTTAAGGTTAGTATGCACAACCAATAATATTCAATTAAAGTCCAGCTACAAGTTATTTGCCTGTATAGGGCCTCAGACAGCCTAGTTGAACCTTGCATCCTGAAAATTTAAAAATACCAAGGGCATGACAGCACAGTTATGTGTGCATGGGCTGATTAGTCATTAATCCATCTAGATGTCTTATTTAAGGGGAACAAATGAGCAGTTTAAGTTGCATGGCCCCGAAGTAAGAACCAGATGCCAGATATAGTTCACTTATAGCTACCCCCACTCTTAATGGGTCCAGAGCGAAAAGAGGGACACAATTGTGGGCGGGTTAATGATTTCACGTGGCATGGTGATTAAGTGGCCTTCAGAGGTGGTGATACGCATGTTGACTAGAAATTATTTGACTTAATGTGCTATGTACGATCAATAAAGGTATGTACTATGTACTGTTATAATATAATGTACTTGCTTATATGCATGGAGCATACCAGTAATGCATGATTAAATATAGCGTATCTTGTGTATTATGTATAGCATATCTTGTATAGTATGGTACGTGTACTTACACATGTGGAAATCTTTAAGTGCTGTCTTGATTGTTCACATATTAGGAACTAAAATTCTAGTTATATATTATGGATTTTTTCAGGAAATAGTTTATAAATATCAGCATTGGGTGTTGATGGTGGGGTTGTTGTCTCTTTCCTGAGTCTCACAGAGGTTTATAGCTTCCTTTACTGGTTTACAAGACCAGGGTATTAGATTATACTACAGAGACTCTTCATTTTATAAGATTATTTTCAATAATGCCTACAATTGGTATAATTACTAGGATTAGTGTGAAGTAGAGAATAGAAGCTACCTGTTCGATTAGAATAAGAGTATTCTATGAGTTGCCCTCCGATTCAGATCAGTGTTAGAAGATCAGCTACTAGGAGTCAAAATACAACTTGACTTAAAGGTAGGAATATTATGGTTTGTTGATTTCAGGTGTGTAGTATTGGAATTACTACTAGTACAAGAATTGATAGAATTGGTGCTAATACACCTCCTAGTTAGGAATTGATTGTAAAATTGCATATGCAAAGAGAAAATACCACTCTGGCTTAATGCGGGGTGTTGTGTTTAAGGGATTTGCTGGTGTGCAGTTATCTGGGTCTCCTAACAGATCAGGGGATAATAAGACTAGAATTAGCAATACCACAGCTATGAGAAGAAACCCTAGAATGTCTTTAATTGTATAATAGGGTGAAATGGGATTTATCTGAGTTGGATACAATTCCTGTTGGATTATTAGAACCAGTTTCATGTAAGAATAGGAGGTGTACTAATACTAGGCCAAGAATAATCAAGGGAAGAATAAAGTGGAAGGCAAAGAATCGAGTGAACGTTGCTTTATCTACTGAAAAGCCCCCTCAGATTCATTCTACTAGGCTTGAGCCAATGTAGGGAATAGCGGAAAGTTAAGTTTGTAATAACTGTTGCTCCTCAGAAAGATATCTGCCCTCATGGTAATACATAACCTATAAAGGCTGTTGCTATAATTGCAAATAAAAGAATAACTCCAATGTTTCATATTTCATTATAAGCGAAAGACCCATAGTACATGCTGCATCCGATATTATAAATAGGCAAATAAAAAATATTGATGTGCCATTAGCATGTATATATCGGATAATTCATCCATAGCTGACATCTCGGCAGATATGTGTAAGAGATGAGAATGCGGCGGCTGTATCGCTGTGTAATGCATAGCTAGAAAAAGGCCTGTCAGAATTTGTAGAATTAAGCAGATATCTAGTAATGAACCAAAATTTCATCATGCTGAGAATATTAGAAGGGTTAGGTAGATCAATAAAAGATTTATTAATAATTGAGTAGTGGGTGATATTTTTGGATATTTGTCATTAGGTTCCTATGGTTTAATTACAACAATGGTTTTTCATGTCATAGATCATGGTTTGAGTCCATGTGGGAATGATGATGACATATATTGTATTTATTTTAAGTATTATTTTTTATTAGTTTTGTGTGTTTTTCTTCAAAACCTTCTATTTATAGGGGGCTTGGTTTGATTGTGGGTGGTGGAGTTGGGTGTGGTATTGTGATTAATTTTGGAGGGAGAGGCAGAGAATGGAGGGTCGATGACTCAGTTAGTTCCCAGGAGCGAGTGAGAAAGCTCAGACTGGTATACTCTCAACCGCAGTCCCTTCACTCACCCCTTTGTGCACTCATGCAACAAACAACAAGTGCTCGTTTCATGCCAGGCACTGGGCCTGGTGTTAGGAATACACCTCTGAAAGAGGCAGATATACCCAGCTCCCCACTCCTTCCCAGAGGAGGGGCTGCCACTGGCTGGGGCCTCCCCTCAGAGCTCTGGGGGAGGGTAAATGACACACTTTGGGTCTCCCTTCTCCTTGAAGGCTACTATTCCTGACAGCCCAGCTGGCGACAGGCTCAACGTCTAGCCATGGTGCCAGTCCCCCTCTCTCCCCACAGGCCCCTTCCAAAGCACACCCTTAAGGGAGCTCCAGGGGCTCCCTGTTGGGCTGGGGAGCTGAACTTTTTCAAGGGAGATAAGTTTCCCCAGACCAGGGCTTCATCAGGATTCCTGACACTGCCTGGGAGCCCTGGCCTCCCTGACAGCTCTGGAGTGGGCCTCCGGGCTGGTGGTACCAGGGCTGGAATGAGAATGGGCCTTGCTTTTCCCTCCCGTGGCTCAGAGCCCGCACCACTCAGTGAAGGAAGTAAACAGGCAGGCAGGGCCAGTCAGCATGACCAAAGTCCACCCAACTGCCTCACTCTGCCCACCCTGGCCAGCCTCCCTTGCTTCAATTCCAGCTCTAGGATGGACCTAGGAGTCTGCCCTCCCAAGAAGTAAGGGGGAAAGCACAGGTTTTGGTCAGACAGATCTGCCTTAAAATCCTGGGGCTTCCCTCATTAGCTGTGTGACCTTCAGCAAGTCACTTTGCCTCTCTGAGCCCCTGTAAAAATGGAGTGACAATCTGGTTTCCCTTCCCTGACATGTCTTACAGGGCACGGGACGCTGAGGCTCCCCTTCCCCTGACCAGCTGCTAATCTTATTTCTCCTGGCAGGAAGGGATCTGGCTCCGTCCTTTGCAGGCTGGACCAAGAATTGGAAAGGGAAAAATCCGTTATTTATAAAAAGATCCCTGAGTGCCCCTGAAGGGGGCGCTGCCCTGGGTTTGGCTATGTAAAACCAAGGCCTTCTGCGCCCTCTGCTGGCTGCTCTGGGTTCTCATCCGTCAGGCACAAGAACAAGAACCTTTAAGAAACCCTGGGCTCTTGGTGCCTCAAGGCAGCCAGGAGAAGGGAAGTGACCAGCCCTCCACACATACAGGACAAGAGCAGGACCCTGCCTCAGCCCACACGCCATCAGCCTCACCCTACCCTGGACGTCACCATTTTCTCCCTGAAACCTCAGTGGGGCCCTTGGGGCAGAGCTTTGACCCCAACCCCAGCACCTCTGGCCAATTTCTGCCAAGACACCTGTCCTGTGGGCCTCCTTCTGAAGGCGCCCCTGCATTTGCCTCTGCTCCCCCGCCCAGCAGCACCTCCCTGACCGTCCTCCCTCTGATCCTCACACACATCTAGGGAGCTCTAGGGCCTCCTGATTTTCTGGCTAGGGTTGCAACAACCTAGAAAGACAGATTCTAGGATCCTTTTCTGTTTGGCCTCCAAATGTAGCCTCTCACTACTGAAGGGCATGCATTGTCCCAGCAGCGTCCTCCTAGGTTGCCTCACAATTCCCTGGGCAGCCACCTAGGTGAGCAGGGGTGACACCATATGGGCCTGGAGCAGCTGCTTACATGCTGGATCAGCGTCTCCACAATCTTATAGCGGTCGGGCATGTGGGTCACCATGTCCGCCATGTTGTCCTCAGATGTCCTCACCAGTGTTGGCCCGAAGACCAGGGCCAGGTTCCTGGGCTCCATCTGGGCAGGGGAGGGAAATGGGTCTGTGTCAATGCTCCTGCCGTCTCTGACCTCCAGTCCCCCAGGCCTCCCTCTCTCCAGTCCCTCTTCTAACCACATCCTGAGCTGTCCCTGGCTTAGGGACCAGACACCTCCTCGATGGGCCTAGAGGTGCCTGGCAGGCAGAGCACAGGCCAGATTTCTGTCCCACTCACCCCCACTCCAGGCCTGGCAGCCCTGGGCACAGCCCAACCTGCACACCCACACTGTGCCAAAAGTGGGAGGTTCCAAGGGCATTTTAGGACTGGGAGAAATCCTATAGCTCTGCTCATTTTCCCTGCTGCATAACCAGGAGATAGAGAGGTTTGATTGGGAAAATACAATGCAAGGGATTCCAGCCAGATCAGAGGATAGATTTCTACCAGACATAGTGGAACTGTCGCTCTCTGCCTCTAAAAGACCCTCAGAAATTCAGGAAATGGCTCTCTAGGGAAGAAGCACTGGCCAGCATGTGGGATAGAATGACCTTTAGAGGTGAGCACACACCTAGAGGGGCTTGAGATTATCTGACCTGGAGCACCTCAGAATATGCTGAGGAGACCCCAAACGCTTCCTTCCCCCACACTCTGTTCCAGAGTCCCCACCTACCTTGTTTTTCTCCGAGTGGTCAGCAATGGTCTTCAGATGACCCACAAGGAATTTGAGCGTTTCATAGTAGTGTCCTGGGAGATCCCGGATCTGGGCGGGAGCAAGAAGGGGCATGGAACCAGGCTCTGATGGCCTCCCCACCTCGCTTCAAAGGGGATCCCACTGTCATAGCTCAGGGGGTCTGAAATCCACCCTCTACCACCCACTTTGTGTATATGGAAAAACTGAGGCCCAGAGTGGAGAAAGGCCTCTCCAAGGTCACAGAGGAAACTGGTGGCACTGGACTCCAGGCCTCCTGGGACAGTAGCACTATCCCAGTCTGCTCTACCTTTTGCCTAACAGCATCTCTCTTTCCTTACCAGCTTCCGCAGTGTCTTCATCCGCTCCCTTGAGTCTTCAATGCGATTGGCCTCGATGAAGTCACTGTATTTGTCTAGAACACAGTGAAGACTCTTTAGAGAGATGGGAGGCAGTGCCCTCCCCCACCGGCAGGGCGGGCGGCTTCTGGGCTGGAGGTCCCCGCTGGCTGAGGAGGCCCATGCCGATGAGATTATCTGACTTGGAGCAGCTCAGAATATGCTGAGGAGACCCCAGGGCTGAGGTGGCCCTGGGTTCATGTGACCAAACCCACCAGAGCTGCACTCAGGTGTGCACCTGACCTTGGAGAGCCCAGGTGTGTGTCTTTAGGAAGAAATAAGACCTAAGCTGCATGTTGATACTGGGGAGAGGTCTTTGCCCCAATCTCCAGGACAAGGACATCACAAGGTCAGAAGAGAAGGTTACCTAGAAAGAGGGAGGGACCTTTCAGCCTCCAGATACCACACCCCACCTGTGTGAGGATTCCCCCAATCCATTCAGAAGAAGTCCACAGGGAACTTAAAAAAATGGAACGTGGTAAGTTTATTCTAAAATTCAGCTGGATGAGTAAATGCACAAGATAGCCATGGATATTGCTTAAAGGAAGAATGATGGTAGAAAGTTTGTCCCACCAGATACTGAAACATACTAAACAGCACAGCTCAGGTGGTACGGATGGGGAGTGAAAGTCGATCAAAGAGAAGAGCAGAAAGGAGGTATCGGGCTTCCTGGATCTTTACTATGTGATAATGGCAGCCTTCAAATCAGTGGGGAGGAATGGAGGGGCTCATAAATGCTTCTGGGACAATTATTTTTGGGGGAGGAAAAATCCATTTCTAGCTCAATACACAAATTTAATTGTGTCACAGAGCCAAATGTAAAAGTTATTAAAATATCGCAGAAAAAATAAGAAAATACTTTGATAATTATAAGGCCTTCCTAAAGATGAGGTGCCAAATTTGTTAAAGATTACAGCTCTGATTACACTTAAAATATTTGTTTTCAATTTCTATCCTGAAAAGTTAATAGGCAAATAGCAGACTAAGAGCAAATATTTGCAAATACTAGCAAAGAGTTAATATCCATAATATACAAGATTTTGTCTCCTACAAGTCAATACCAAAAAAAGACAAACAAGCCAATAGAAAAATGGGCACACAGACTGAACAGGCAATTACAGAGGAAATAGAAAAGGCTAATAAACTAATGAAAAGATAGTTAATTTCCCCAGTACTGGGGGAAATGAAACATAAACAATAATGAGATGCCATTTCCCCTGATTAGCAAAAATAAAATGTTAATAACATCCAACATTGACAGAGGTGTAGAGAAGCCAGCTCTCTCTTAATGCTAGTAAGCAGGAGTATGAACTAGGGCCTCTTTCTCAGAGTGCAACTTGACATTGGCCTTCAGAAATGTTTATCAGGACTCTGACCTAGCTATTCTATATCTAGAGTCCACCTCAAGGACTCTGACCCAGCACACAAGGACATATTCAAGGAAGGTCACTGTAACATGTTTTGTAATAGCAAAAATTTGAAAAACAATACAAATATCTATCAAGAGGGGAGTGATTAGATAAATTATAGTCTATTCAGACTATGAAATACCATGTGGTTAACCTAAAAGAAAAATGAGGTAGAGCTCTTTGCACTGACACGAGTGAATCTCAAAATTACAAGCCTCCTTTTGTTAAGAACAATTCAGCCAGTGGTGACTGAGACCCACTCACATGGGCTTCTGAGAGCCAACTGTATTCTTTTATTCCCAGCGCCATGTTGGTGACAGCATACTGGTAACTCAAAATAAGCCATGGCGGGAATATTTATACCATGGAAATTAGAAAATGCTACAAATCAAGGTTTTTTTTCTCTCGAGAGCCAGATGTTAAACATTTACCAGCACACTACTGAACTCACCCGACTCCAAACCTGATACACACGTGTCTTTGTCACCAGGAGCTGGGCTCTAGAGTCAGATGCTGGGGCCTAATCCTGGCTTTAACACTTTCAAGCTGTGTAACCAAGTCATTTAACCTCTTGGTATCCCAGTTTCCTCATCTGTAAAGTGGAGACACAAGCCCCTACCTCATGGAGTAGAGCTTGGCACATCGTAAATGCTCAGAAAGTGTCAGTATAATCTCTGGGGACAGGGAATGGGAGAATGACAGGAATCTTTGCATTCACTTTATTCACATCTGTACTAAGTTTTTACAAGCACATGTTTCTTTTGTATTAAAACAAAAACCCCAAAACAAACCCAATTTAAAAAGTGGTCAGAGGGCAGCACACAAGTATCCCCTGGCTCCCCCACTCCACTTCCACCCCTACTCACCGTCCGTGAAAAGGGGCTCAGGTAGCTTTCGGAAGAAGGACTTGAGCAGGCTGCTGATGACATTGAGGTCCTGCCAGCGCTGGGAAGAGGGCAAAGATGTCAGGCCACAGCCTGGCCCAGCCCAGGTGCCCAAACTCCATGCCCCCAGGTCCAGGGCCAGCTAGGCCCACCCAGCGGTCATGCCTCCATGCTGGCCGGACCCTAAGCCCAGCCCAGCCCAGCCCAGGCTCTCCCTGAGCTACGCTCACACCTCACACCAACCCAACCAACTGATCCCAATCTCTCCCTACTCCAGCCAACCTAGTGGGCTCCAACATTTGCCCATCCATAGACAGTACTGGATACCTTCTTTGGTGCAGGCACTGTGGGGGACAGAAATGAGAGAAACCCACCCCACACAAGCCTGCCCAGTGTGCCTCCCTGGGCCTGGTGCCTGTTCCTGCCTCCTTGTGCTCCCCCAGTCACTAGTGCCTGGCACCTTCCTGCCTCAGGCCCTTTGCACATACTGTTTCCCTCCACCAGAGCTCCCTTCCCCTGCCCTTCACACAACTGGCTTCCATCCTTTCTAAATGCCAGCTCTTCAGAGAGGCCTTCCCTGACCATCACAGTGAATGCAGCCACTACTGCCAGTGCTCTCTCATCTGTACCACAGCCTGACTTCGTTTCTTCTGTGGCACTTGCCACACTCTTGTCATCGCATGCATTTGTGTCCCTGTCCTGCCTGTCCCCCTGATGGAACCATTAGCTCCACCAGGGCAGGGCTCCTGTCTGTCTTACTCCCCACTGTGTTCCTCTTGCCCAGATGGCTTAGCTTGGTCAGCCTGGTACCTAAATGGTCTAAGTCAGTAGTTCTCAACCAGGGACGGAATCACTGCACCCCGCCCCAGGGCATTTGGCAATGTCTGGAACCACTTTGCTTTTCACAGCTGTGGGGTGCCACTGGCATCCAGAAGATAGAGGCCAGGGATGCTGCTAAACTTTCTCCAGGGCATAAGGCAGCTTCCCACAACGAATTATTCTGCCCAAAGTGTTGAGGTTGAGAAACCCTGGTCCAAGTAAGTGGTTGTTGAAGACCAGAATAAAGAACAGCCGGGTCATTGTCCCTTCTGGCCACCAGGGGGCACCATCCCCCAACACAAAGGCAAAGGTGGGACCTGCTCCAAATAACTCCTGCCTGGAATGCAACATAGTGCCCTCAACAAAGACACACAACTGCACAATGTACGTGCTTATTACAATTAATGCCAGACCACCCACAAACAATACACTCCCCAAAGGCTCACCAGGAGTTAGATTCATCCTGCACACAATGCTTAACCTCTAACACAAACTCTTTGTGACAAATCTCACGAACGGCGTGAGATAAAACCACATGCCCCACACTGTCAGCACACCTCCGCTCTGGGCCCTGGCCTAGGCAGCCGCCTCAGCTCTGACCCCTCTCTTCCTGGCCAAGGCCCAGCTGAGGCGCTTCAGTGCATACCCTGGCACAGCTCCTGCCCCCCCTCGGCCCTGATGCATGGGCTCCTCTCATCTCCCCGCTGCCAAACCCAGGGCTTTGCCCTGTCCTTGACCCCTCCGTGTGTGTGCATCTGCACCCCATCTCCTGCTTCCCCTGAGCCCCTCTGCCCTCTGTCCCACTCAGAGCCTGGCCCCTGCACTCCTGATGCCCGCCCTCCCCACGGTTAGCAGCTCCCTCTGTCATCTTACCTCCATGCCCGTGTGTGACCCCACGCCCACTCTCCAGTCTGCCCCTCATCTAGTGCTTGATTATGTCACCACCCCAGGGTGGGTGACTGGCCATCACCCCAAATCCAACGGGGCCCCTACCTGACACCCCCTCGCTCTTGCCTCCTCCCCAGTTTCTGCCAGGGGCAGGTACCTCCTCCTTTTTCCCTCTCATAGGGCCAACTCCTAAAGCTGCTCCCATCCTCCTGTTCCCCTGCCACCAGAATCTTCCCGTACTTCCAATATATCAGTAATTTCTTCCCTAGATGCCCTGCTCTCGTTCCCATCCATTAGACATAAGCTAAAGCACTATTCTTTCTCAAATCCCACTCTCATTTATGCCTCTCCAGCTGGAGAACCATTAAGGCTCCCTACTGTCCGTTGGATCAAGGTCAAAGGCTGCAATGAAGCCATCAAAAGCCTTCTGTGCCCTGCCCTGGGCCTCGCCCTTCCCACTGGGAAGCCCAGGAGTTGGGTCCATTCTGTTCCAACACTCAGACCCTTCTCTGTCTGACTTTGGAAAATGCCATCATTCCCTACCTGGACTACTTTGCTGGCCACCTGCCCCCCTACTTATCCTTCAAAGAGGCAGACACTCAAGCCTACCACCCTGAGTGCTACCTACCACTGGTCTTTTCACCCCCACTTCCTTCCTAAGGGCAGGAAGACTGTCTTACATGTCCCATAAGTCTTCACAGTATGTGACTCATAGGACGTCACTGCCCAGATTCATGGTTTGCCAAGACATCTTTTTCCATAGAGCCCATTTTGTCAAACAAAATTCACATGAAAACCCAGTATGAAAAAAAAAATTGACATAAAAAGCAAAGCAAAGCAGGTTACTCTGGTTTAAGTAAGGATGGGGGCCCCACCCTGGCCCTGGCCTCCCCAGGGAACCACAGGAGTTCTGGGAAACAGTTGGAGAACCTCTGGCCCAGCTGCAAAGTCCTTCTCTTTTTCACATTGAATATTTATTTGGATAGTTGTTTCCACTTTATTGAGATGTAACTGACATATAACCTGCTGCAAACTCTTAAGTGTGGCTGTTGGACCCCTCCAAAAGCTGGCTGCATCTCATCTGACCACCCTTTTTCTTCCCATTTGTGGCCACCCAAACTGCTGACCGCTCCAGGAAACACCGTGTCCTCCCCTCTGAGCCAGAGGTCTGCAGACTGTAACCTGCAGACCATCCATCCATGGCCTGTCTTTGTATGGCCCTTGAACTAAGAATGGTTCACACATCTTTAAAAGATTGTGAAAAAAAGGAAGGAGAAGGAAGGGGAGAGGAGAGAGGGGATGCAACAGAGACTGGATGGTAACCAAAGCCTAAAATGTTTGCAACCTGGCCCTTTACAGAGAAGGTGTGCTGACTGCTGGCAACCCTTCAGCACGGGCTTCTAGTGAGCTCTAGTCTTACTCTTAGCCCAAAACACTGCTGCTCGTGAGCCTCTGCCTCAGGGCTGCCCAGGCCACGATTGCCTCTATGGGTGAGGCTTCAGTTGGGGTGATGCCCATCTCCAGGGCTGGCCTCCAAGGGCAGGTCCTGTCTTGCCCATCTTGGTGCCCTGGCCCAGTGCTACGGACGTCACAGAGTACAAATAACACAGTAGACACGCACACCAACCTGGCCCCCCTGCCACAGGCCCCCCAGCAGTGCCCACCTCATCCTGCAGGTTGATGTCACCGGGTCCACGGTTCAGCTGCTCCTGAAGGCTGGACACCACTGCATTGTTGCCTGGCACTCGGTAAATGCCCGTGGATTCCAGTCCCCGTGCCTCCACAATACGACAGCAGGCAGCTACAATCAGGGGGACGCGCTGGGGACACACAGGACAGGGGTGTTAGGAAGGGTAAAGGCAGCCCTGTCCTCCAGTGGGCCAGAGGAGGTGGGGAGGCCAAGCTGGGGAGAGTGCAAGGCCGGAGATGCTGCCAGGAGCCCCACAGCAGGGATAAAAGGCCCTCACTGCCTCCTGTCTGGGGGCTAGAAACACCATAGCCTCGCAGTGCTCTGTGAAGGAACACCAGCTGGGGGCAGGGATTCTGGGCTCTGCCTCAGCTCTGCAGCACCCTGGGCTATGTCCCAGCTGTGCCCATGGGACGAGGGAGTTGGCTCCGAAGTCCCTTGCAGCTCTGACCCTCGTGCCTTGGGCTCCTCCCTTCCCTCCCTGCTTTGGAATACAGAGGGGACCCACCTGGTTCTCGGTGGCTGGCTGGCACTCCTCCAGCCGGACCCCGAATGCCCTGGGGGCTGCCTTCCTGTTCTTCCTGATGATGTTGATGCCCCAGGGAGTTTTGGGGGCAGCAGTGCTATCATCTGGGGTGGGAGAAGGCAGAGAAAGCCAGGGTGAGCTGGGTCCCGGGGAGGGGCAGCACCCATTCCTGGCACACATCCTCACCTGTCACACTCACACGTCTGGCCACATGGGGACCCCCTCAGAGAGGCAACTGGGATGCCAAGGGCTGATGGCAAATTATATCCAAGAGAGAAGGTCAAAGGGATGAGGGTGTTGACCCGGGAGGAGAGGCCGCAGAGTATTGTAAGAACTTCTGGATGGCCTCAAGGCCCAAAACAATAAGGTAGGGGCCACAGATTTGTGTACAACCAAAGGGAGAACTTTCTAACAGCCAAAAGTGGGTGAAACTGGAAAGGCTGCCTCCAGAGAGGATGAGCCCCTGCTCCTGAGGTGGCACAAGCTGAGACTGGAGGCTACTCAGCTGGATGTCACAGGGGGAAGCCAGCTGTGAGACCCTGAGAGCCCACAGATCCTAACAGGCAGGCACACGTGGGCAGACACACCAGGAAAACCCGGCACACACAGTCTGCTCTGTGCAGACCCACAGGGCTGACCTCTACCTTCCCGCATGCATGCACACCGCCCCTTGGTGGCCACCTTCCTACCCTTGCTCCCTGCAGGCTGGTCCGGAGTCCTGAGGCCACGTGTTGTACTCTGTTTAAGAAACTCAGACTTGAGGCCTCCCAGGCCACGAGAGCCTTTTGGGGAGGAATCAGCTTTGGGCCCAGAGCTATGGCTGCATAGGAAAAGGGGGAGAAGAGAAGTCTTCACTGGGGGTGAATCAGCAGGCCATCTCCCTGGCCTCCCGTCACTTAGGACCGCCCCTCCATCCCTGAGGCAAATCCTCCGTGGGTCTGGAGGCCTTAATGTCCCTGCTCTCCTCCTTGTCCCCAGCAGAGGGTAACCCGGGGCTGGCCCTCAGGCCTGGAGGTGGGCCAGGAGGATGACCTCCACCTGGAACGCCCCCCACACCCCAAGGTCAGGACTGCTGCACGAGGGCTGGGCCTCACCTCACTTTGCGGTAATCATTAAGCTTCTTGCTGATCAGAGCTTGGTTGGCACAGCCGGGGTCCTGGAAGAGGGAGAAGAGAAAGCAGACCCCATCAGTGCCCACAGCCAGCCCACCCAGGGCTCGTCCCCGGCCCCTTCCTTGGCCTCTTCCCCCTGCTCCTCTGTCTGCCAGCTGGAGAGCATAGACCCTGGAGCAAGAAAGGCCAGAGATGGACTCCCGAGCACCCCTTCACCAGCTGTGTGACCTAGGGTAATCCACTTAGCCTCTCTGAGCCTCCATATCCTCAGTAGTAACACAGGGTGATAACATGGCAACCTCAGGGTTGGGGTGCAGAATTATGCACTCGTCACAGTCCTGGCAAGGCACAGAGAGGTGCTCTCTGAAGGGAAGCTACTGTAATAACAAAGGGGACTTGGGACCCCCTCAGTATACGCTGCTGGGGACAGCCCAGCCTGGCCCCCCAGAGCAGGGGCTCCAGATTCCAGGTACTTTCCTCCCTGGGGTGAGGAAAGAACGTTCTGGGGAGGGCAGAGCTTGGTTCAGCGAGAGGATGTGACCTCAGCATGACGGCCTGTGGCTCAGAGGCTGTGCACTAGTGTCCCTCTTCCTGTGGCTGGGGCAGGTGCATGCCTGCATCAGGACTCAAGCCCACTGTCCTCTTAGCAGAACCAGTGCCCAAGCCGAGTCCCCCCATCATTCTGTGTAGGTACACCAAGGCACCTCTGTGCAGGCCCCTGGCCAAGGGGCTGAGTGGGGCAGAAACCACCCCCCAGGCCCCTGGTGTGCAGCGGCAGCTGTCCAGGAAGGGGCGCCATTTTGAAATTGTCCTGAAGTTCCAGCAAAGCCCTTGGCTTAAGCCCTGCTGCCTGCTGCCAAAGGTCAGTCCCCCTGGCCTGCTCCCAAGGTCAGTGCTCGTGCTCCTGTAGACAAGCCAGCCCTGTCTGAAGGGCCAGCCACAGTTCTGGCACGGGGGCACCTCATTCTATAATACAGCCAGTAGGAGACCCCCGCCTCCTGAAGCTCCAGCAAGATGCTGAGGTTGGCCTGGAGCTGACCTCTCTGTGCCAAAGCCTGCCCAAGGCAGTCATAACAATGATAATAATTACTACCATTCCTAGTTTTATCATACTTCCTGCCACGCAACACTAAGGATGCCAGGTGCCCTGTGAGCGACTGTCTGCATTTTCTCCTCACACCAAAGCCTAGGTGGGAACAGTTGCAAGGTGTCCTCCTGTTAGCCCATTTTATGAAAGAGGAAACCGAGGCTCAGAGCGGTGAAGGGAGGTCCCCAGCAGGTGCGAGGCGGCGCTGGGGCCTGCCCTGTCCATCCCGGCCCGGCGGGGGCGGGGCCAGGCCCTCACCTCGCCCTCGGCCCTGCTGTTCTCTCGGATCGCTCTGATCCAGCCCAGCATGTCATCCCGGTCCTCAGCCTGAAAGAGATATTCACAGAAGTCAGCGGTGGTCAGCCGGAACACGTGCCTCCTCTTGGTCTCGCTGTAGGAGATGTCCACCAGGCAGGAGCCGATGCAGACGGGCGCCGCCTCGTCCTCACCTGCGACGGCCGCCGCCGCCCCCGCCGCTGGCCCGGGCTCCCGCCGCTCCTTGCTCAGCGAGAGCGAGCGCGCCCGCAGGGCGGCGTACACGCGCTTCCACTGGCGCAGGCCGCCGCCCGCTTTCTGCAGGGAGACACGGGGAGGGGAGAGACGGGGGGCCACGTGAGGCCAAGCCTGCCCTCCCCGCCCCAGAGCCCAGGGGGCCCTAGAGGCCGCAGACAGTGGCAGCGGTGGGGACCCCACCCCACGGCCAGCCAGGAGCCCCCACTGGCGCTTGGGGCAGCCTCCTGCCCACCGTCCTCCAACTCAAACCCTCACCTGCCTGGACACCCCTACCCACCTTTCTCAGTACTCCCCAAGGGTCCCCACCTCCTCTTTAAATACTAACATGGACCCTTATCTGGCGTGGCAATGCTCCAGAGAACCAGCAAGGGCTCTGGGAGGGCAGTCGGGCTCGCCAGCATGCCACACCTCACACAGATCCCTGCAAAGCCATTCCTAGTCCACACACCACTCCCTTTCACAGCCAGACCAGTCACAAGCTGCCGGCCACACCTGCCCTCCCAGATTCCATGCCTCTTCCACAAGACTCCTCTCAGCATCCCCTTCCTGGGAAGCCGCTCACTGGGCCTTCCATGTTACCAAAGCCAGTGGAGGCTTCTGGGCCTTTCTGGCCCTTTCCTTAACCTTTCAGTGGCATTTGATGCAGCCAGCTGCTCCTTCCCTCTCCAACCTTCTCTGAGCATCCAGGGCCCCAGGGTCCCTGGTTTCCTGCCTAATTCCATTGCCTCCTTCTCCATCTGCTCCACTGGTTTCCCTCCTCACAGCGGTTCTCAGCAGGGGAGAACTGCTCCCAAGGGAGGTTGGTCTGGAGACATTTTCAGTTGTCACACCTGGGGAAGTGATATGGCATCTAGTGGGTAGGGCCCAGGATGCCACCAAATGTCCCCTGATGCCCAGGGCAGCCCCCACGAGTCATCTGGCCCCACTGTCACTAGAACAGAGGCTGAGACCCTGCCCTCTCAGGGGAGCTCCCAAGTGTTGGCTGTCCTGGGTTCCTCTCTCTTTGCAAGCCTCCCCCATGACATCGTCCATACCTGTGGCTTTAAATCCCTGCTGTCTGCTGACAGTGACTCCCAAGAGTACCCCTGGCCTGGCACGCCCCCCAGCCAGTCCTGGGCCTCCCTCTGTCTGCTCGCTGTCTCCCCTTGCATGCCCACAGGCACCTCACACTCTCTGTTATGAGGCGCTTGACTTTCACTATCAGACCTGTTCTCCACCTGCACCCCCATCTTCTCCAGTTCAGTAAATCCACCCAGTTGCCCAGAAGCCTAGGAGTTACCCTTGACTTCTCCCTCTTCCTCACTCTTGACACCCAACCCATCAGGAAGTCACAACTCATCTTCAAAAACATCACTGTCCCCATCTTTCCTGCTCCCACCTTGCCCACACCACCACCACCTCTTGCCCAGATAGCTGCACAAAGCCTCCTGTCTCTGCTCTTGCCTCCCACCGCCCATTCTCCATTCAGCGGCTGCAGCCACCAATCAAACACATAGATGTGATCCGGTCCCTCTGCTGTTATCACCCTCTTGGGTATTATCAGATCTAAGCACTTTTACGATCTGGTCCCTCTGTGTCCAAACCCGTCTTCTCGTTCCTTCTTTCCACCTGTGTCAGGACTCGGGGGCCTTCTCCGGTGACAAGCCATGCCTTCCTTCCCCAGGGTCTTTGCTCTTGCTGCAACTTCTGCCCGGAGCCCCTTCCCCCTTCCCTGGCTTCTTCTCTGCCTTTAGGTCTGAGCTCAAATGTCACCAACATCGCCTCGTCAGGGAGGCCTTCCTGACCATTTTTTAAAAGGCAGCTCCCACCTTCCTTCTGACTCCAAGGCAATCGGGTCGCCCTGTTCCTGGTCCCTGAGCACTCCCTGCAATCCCAGGTTACATGGGTTATGGATTTATCCAGGAATGGTAAGCTCCCAGGGGCAGGGAGCTCGGCCGTCCTTCCACATCCACATCCCAGAACTGAGAGCCTTGACAGGTGCAGGGCAAGTATTTACTAATAAATGAATTCATCATCCTGGGAGCGCCCTGAGGGCAGGGGCTTCATCTCCCCGGAGGACCGAGGGCTCCCTTCCTCGGGTTGGTGGCCCACCTACTCCACACCCAGCACGGGCCTCTGTCCTCCCAGCAAACCAGGTGAGGAAACTCCACGGCCAGCAGATGCACACAGCCATGTCTGGCTGAGCTCCACTCACCACGGACCTGCTGGGCCTGAGCAGGACCATTTGGAGCAGGGGACAGCGGGGACCTCTGGGAGAATCTTAGTGTTAGAAGGAGGTGGTGACAAAGGGTGCCCCTTTGAGACTGAACCAGCTGGACATCCTTGGGCAGGTCAAGCCCCTCCCCTGGCATCAGGGAACTAGCCACTCTCTGAGGTAGCACCCAGCTCAAAAGCTGGGTCTGTGGCTGCATGCCACAGGTACCCCGTCTCTGAGTCAACAGTCTCTGAAAGAGGCTGGGGACTGGGCGGGGGACACACAGGAGAGGAGGGACTGGCTGGAGCAGAAGCCATCTGGTCGGCCATCAGGACCTGGACAGACCAAGGACCTTGAGGACCTGCAGCTGGCTTGAGGAGCCTCTCCTAACCCAGGCCACGGCACCGAGGGGACCAGGGAAATCAGGTTTGGGCCAGGACAGGAGCGGAAGGGGCTGGCTCCTCTCCCTTTCCAGGAGACACTGCTGCTGGGCTGGAAGGGAGACCCAGAGCTGGGAGACAGGCTACCTGGCAGGCAGGAGTCAGCAGTTCTCAGCAGGCCCTCTGGGAGCTCCGGCGTTGGGCAGAAAGGGCTGGCCCACACCTGGCTCACCTGGCTCAGCTCACACAGCTGGCGCTGCTGCCCTCCTAGTCCCCCTCCTGGCCTGCTACCATCTTTGCTGGCTCTCCTCTCCGGTCTGCAGCCCCCGCACCTCTCAGGGCACAGGCGGTCTCCTGTCTTCTCCCTCCATGCCTCCGCACCTGCAGCTGCACCAGTGTGTACCCTGGTGAGTAAACGCCCTCCCCTGAGTGCCACACCCGCAGAGCTTCTGTCCCCACGACCCCCCTCCATGGGGGTCCAAGGGTCCCAAGGCCCTTGGACTCTGCAAGGCCCCAGTGGAACCCTTGGCTTCCTGTCCCCAAACCTTCTCCAGTGCCCTGTGGCCTAGGGAAGGGTCCCACCACCCACCACCCATGTAGTCCAAGCCAGAACCCGGGAACCGTCCTCCTGTCCTCCATCCTCCTCTGCCTCCCAGCTATCAGGGGGCCCAGGCCATCCTGCCCCTTGAATCTCTCTAAACCGTCCCCCTCCCTTGATGCTATGCCGTGACCTCGGGCAGTGCCCCAGCCCTCACTCACCTGGACACTAGCAGTGGCGGTGTCACCTCCTGTTGCAAACACAACCCTTGCCTCCTTGCCCCCCACCCCACCGCCCCCACTGAATCCTTGCAAAGGCTTGCCCTGAGGGATGAAGCCCCATGAGCACCCACCTCAGGCACCTGAGCACCCACCTCAGCTTCTACCTCTGGTCCCATCTCCCAGCTGCCCAGCATCCCTCCCCTCCAATCTCCCAGACCATCCAGGATGGCATCGCCCTGTCAGCCCACTCGCCCCATCCCCTGCTCCCCCTGCTCAATGGATTCCCACACACTCTGGGTGCCTCAGCCTTCAACATCCCCCCACATCCCCACTGAGGTCAGGGTCACCCTCTGTGCACTGCTGCCCCAAACTCCCCAAGACAACAGCTGTGCACTGGAAACCACTGGGCAGAGTGTCCTTTCTCTGGTCATCATGGGTGCCAGCAGCGCAGGACTGGCCAGGCTCCCTTGCCACTAAATATCCAAAACCTAATAGAGAATTGAGACTCAGGAGCAGAGCAGGCCCTTCGTCAGTGTCCATGGGCTGCATGAGGGCATGGATGGGGGCCAGACTATATCTCACTTCACCCTTACACTGGCCCTTGGAGTAGGATAGCATTGTCCTCATCTTAGAGATCAGAAAAGTGATGCTCAAAAGTTAAGGGGTTTTCCACAATGAGATATCACCTCACACCAGTAAGGATGGCCACCATCCAAAAGACAAACAACAGCAAATGTCTGCGAGGTTATGGAGAAAGGGGAACCCTCCTACACTGTTGGTGAGAATGTAAATTAGTTTAACCATTGTGGAAAGCAGTATGCAGGTTCCTCAAAACGCTCAAAATAGAAATACCATTTGACCCAGGAATTCCACTTCTAGGAATTTACCCTAAGAATGCAGCAGCCCAGTTTGAAAAAGACAGATGCACCCCTATGTTTATTGCAGCACTATTTACAATAGCCAAGAAATGGAAGCAACCTAAGTGTCCATCAGTAGATGAATGGATAAAGAAGAGGTGGTACATATACACAATGGAATATTATTCAGCCATAAGAAGAAAACAAATCCTACCATTTGCAACAACATGGATGGAGCTAGAGAGTGAAATAAGCCAGGTGGAGAAAGACAAGTACCAAATGACTTCACTCATTTGTGGAGTATAAGAACAAAGAAAAACTGAAGGAACAAAACAGCAGCACAATCACAGAACCCAAGAATGGACTAACAGTTACCAAAGAGAAAGGGACTGGGGAGGATGGGTGGGAAGGGACGGATAAGGGCAGGAAAAAGAAAGAGGGCATTACAATTAGCATGTATAATGTGGGGTGGGTACAGGGCGGGCTCTACAACACAGAGAAGACAAGTAGTGATTTTACAACATCTTACTACGCTGATGGACAGTGACTGTGAAGGGGTATGTGGGGGGGACTTGGTGAAGGGGGGAGCCTAGTAAACATAATGTTCTTCATGTAATTGTAGATTAATGATACCAAAAAAAAAAAAAGTTAAGGGGTTTTCCTAAAACTTTGTGCTTGACAAGTGGCTTGGCAGGAACTCCAAGTCTGACTGACTTCAAAGCTCATGTTCTTTCCAGCTACAAGACCCCTAGCAGGCAGGGTGGAAAACTCAGGGAATGGCAGAAAGCTGAGGAACAGCAGCTCCCTGGTGCCACGCAATGGATAAATGCTTTTGCTTAGATCATCTCAGCAACAGGTACAGGAGCTAGGAATTATTATAAGCCCCAGTTACAGACGAGGAAACTGAGCCACAGGCAGGTGAGTCATCCAGGCTCCCCAAGCAATCTGTGGTGCAGTCAGGAGCCACGCCCAGGTTTATGCTGACCACTGGGCTTGGCTCTGCCTGTGCTGCTCGGACCAAGTGCAGCAGCACGGCTGCCTGTCCTTCCCCTTCCTCAGCCCACGGTGTCAGCCTGGAGGGAGGTTCAGACACCATGGACCCAGGGGCCCCACCTTCTCACCTGGGGATTCTGCTTGTCTCCCCCCGCCAACAGCACAACCCCCCTTCACCTCTCACCTGGTTCTCTGTGGTGCCCCTTAGCTGGTCCTCTTGCCTCCAGGTGGCCTCCTGAATTCACTCCCAGGAAGCCAAACGAAAGAGGCCCTAGAGGCTTTCAGTTGCCCTCAGGATAAAGACTGAAACCTTTCTTGGCCCTGCAAGGACCTGAAAAGGCAGATCTCTGCTTTCTTTTCAGGCCTCAGCTCTCTTAAGAGAAGCATCCTGGCCTTTCTCCCTTCATTTTCTGAGCCCCAGTGGCCATTTTTGGGGTGATCTGTCAACCAAGGGTCACTCTGGGTGGTTTTGTCAGAATTCCAAGCACAATTTGATCAGACCCATCCCACAGCAAAGACCACCTCTCTGTTTATAACTTTCTCACGAGTTCTTAAGGTGCCCCAGGAAGTTTTTCCTAGCATCTAACCTCTACCCCTCATGCTATAACCTCAGCTGGTCCTCTGTGGCTCCAGAGGCTGGGAAGTGGGTGTAGGAGAAGCTGGAGAGTTCCACTGAAGCCAGCTTCCATCCACCTTCATCTCATTCCCCCAGCCATCTTACCTTCCCCTTCTTGGTGAGGACCTGCTTATAATACAACCAGCCTTCTCTCCTGATATCACTGAAGGTCGAGTCCGAGAGGTCAGAGGTTGAGTGTCGCTTAGAAGGAGCATCAGCATCTTCAGAAGTGCCCCAACTATCCAAGGACTGCAGCGAGACAACAGAGGGCAATTTAGGGTGGCTCCCACAGTGCCAGCATCTCAGGAGCCCCATGGACCACCTGCGGTCACCCAGGCCAGGCGTATGCCTCTGTTATGCTCTGCTGTACTGTGTGGCTTCGTGTCCCTTGCTTGACCTCTCTGAACCAGTGTTGAGGTCATGATACCTATGTTCCAGGGAAGGCAGAAAGGAGGAAAGGCTATGACCTGCAGACCACATGCCTCACCATGCTAGAAAAGCCAGTCTGGAACTTCCCTTCATTTTATGGACTTGAAGGAATTAAGAAAACAGAGGAAGTGACTGTGTCAACAGGGAGTTAAATAAACAGAGGAAGTGGGAAGACCAACAAAGACTGAGTGGAGCAGGTAGTCATGTCCACAAGGAGTTAAACAGAGGAAGTGATAGCGTCAACAGGACTCTAGAAACAGAGGTAACATGACAAGGGAGAGTTAAGTAAGCAGAGGAAGTGATAAGGAACAAGCCAGGTGACAATATCATCAAGGTTTTAAAAGAACCAAAGATATCAAGGGTTTGAAATCAAGATTGCTTTTCCAGTCTGTCTGCAATCAAAAAGAGTTAAGGCCAGTTCGTAACTGACCCTATGCCTTCCTAAGTCCCAAGGCTGGAAACCCAGCCCCTCCATCACTCTCAGCCCTGTGCCCACCCCTTTCCAGTGTGACCCCCATCCCCGGAGACACCACATAAGCGCTAACCGCGTGCCTCCCTGGTGTGAGCCCTGAGTTGGCAGCCCCAGAATTGAGCAAATCAAACACAATCCCCGCCCTTGTGAAGCTTCCATTCAGGTTGGGGAGCTGGGCGAGGAAGGAAGTAGATGCACAGAATGAATAATGTGAGAGGTGCTAAAGAGGAAGACCTAACGTGGCAGAGGGAGCAGGAAACACCAGGGCTGAAGGCTGGAACTTCAGGGAAGGCCTAAGAGAACCTAGGAAAGCAAAAAAGTGAGTCATGTGGTTACTGGGGGTGGGGGCTGCATGGAAAGGGCATTCTAGACGGGGAAGGACAAGCACAGAGGCCTTTGGTGGGAGGGCCGGACACATGGTTGACAGGAGGGTGAAGGGTGGAGGGAGGAAGGCGAAGACAGAGGCAGAGCAGCCCATTCAGATCACAGAAGTCACAGGCCTGGAACTCTATGCCAAGGTGGGGTTCCACAGCTGAGGTGCCACCCCCGCCCTGCCCTCTGACCCCCTCATTGGCAAACACTTGCCACTCACCCCGTCAGTGAAGAAGCTTCGAAGCATCCTCAGGCTGGGTACTCGGTTGGGCAGACGCCTAGGGAGCAAGGTCTGAGGTTAGGGGTGTGGGAGGAGCAGCCAGGACTCCCCCCCAACAATCCCAAGGCTCAGAAGCCTTCCAGGGAGGGAGCTCATTGCCCTGGTGCTCAGAGGACCCACCAGGGTGGCTGCGATGGCCCCACCCCACCCCTCCTCCTCACCGCAGAGCCCTGCCCTCCTCCCGGAAGGTGTTGAGCCCATCGTCGCAGGACTTGGAGCGCTCTGTGGTGATGGCCAGCAGGTAGGAGGAGCGGCGGCGGCCGGCCTTGATGCTGCCTGCAAAGCCGCCCACAGCGGGCTGCAGGTAAGCGGGGCAGCAGGTCGGGGCTTCCCCAGAACCCTCCCATCCGAGCAGGGCCAGGAGGTGACTCTCCCCATGGGGACCCAGGAGGAGCAGAGTCAGTTGGAAGAAGCTAGACATCAGGCAGCAGGCGTAACAGAGACCCCGAGCCTAACAGTGACCCCTGGGGACCAGGCAGCAAGGGCGAGGGAAGGGCTGGGGGTGCAAGGAGCACTCACTGCAGTCCTGGGAGTAATGGCGGCCCAGGGCGAAGGTGAAGGTTGGGGAGGATGGGCTGGTCCCCAGGACAGGGGCTGAGTTCATGGCACTGGAGACCACAGCGGAGGCAGGGACATGCTTAGCCTGGAGGTCGATGCTGGGGCTGGTCGGCTCATCTGCAGAAGGGGTGGGCGGAGGGTCGAAGGTGGCAGAAAGCTGAACCTGCCTGCTGCCCACCCCCAGCTTGCATCCAGAGCCAGACCACATCCCCAAGGATCCTCAAGTCCTCCAGATCCCTGCTGGCAACATGCCCATGGCCAAGGGTACCCCACCCACCAGCCTGGGGTCATGGAGGCTCAGCCCCTGCCTTCCCCATCACACTGAGGGCACCCAGGCATGCAATTTAGCCAACCTACTAAGACTGGGCTCCTGAGGGCAGGGACTGTGTCTCTCCTACTGGACTGGGAGCTTACAGAGGCTGTGCTGCCCACTCAGTCTGAAGGCTGCCTGGGGGAGGCTAGGACTGGGGCTCCCCCTGAGCCTGGCCTCCTCTCCCTCCCTCCATGGCGACCTTAGGGTGAGTCCACCCCTCTCAGCTCCTGGTTCCTGGCTGCTAGTCCCATGATCTTGCATCTGGTCTTTCTCCCAAGCCCTTAGACTCAGCCCAGCCCATCCTGCTCCCTCATGGGTGCCTCATATTCAGCAAACACTAAGCCCTTCCCTGCCCTACTTCCTCTCGTTCCCATATAGAGGTGAGGTGCCACCCTCCAGCTAGGCCAGAAACCTGGGGAGCACCAGCCTCTCCATCTATTCTAAAGGCAGCAAGCCTTCTGTATTCCCTCTGCTCTCAGGACAAAGTCCCAGCTCCCAGTGACCAACAAGCCCCCCTGGACCCACTCTGATGACCTGGAAGGCATGTGGCCTCTTTCATTTCAGGGTCTTTGCGTATACGGCTGTCTCTGCCCTAGCATTCTTCCCCAGCTCCTCATCCTTCTGGCCGTAGCCTAAATCTCCTTTCTGCAAGATTCTCTTCCTGGCCACCACACTGGGTCTAGGCTGTGCAGCCCTTCTCTGCCTCTAGGGCTCCCTGCTCTCCCTCCACACCCACCCCATGGACTGTGCTTGTCGGATCATCTGTCCCCGCTGTTGGACGATATACTCCAGGTAAGCATGGAGCCTCATCCAGTGCCTGACACAAATATGTGTTGGATGGAAGGATGGTGGATGGAAGGGACAAAGAGTGAAAAGAACAAAGAAAAGATAGAAGAAAGAAAGGTGGAGGGAAGAAATGAGTGGGTGGATGGACAAATAGAAGAAAGGAAGAAGGGAGGGAAGGGGTATCTATGGCTGGAAGGGTAAAGGAATGGGAGGAAGGATGACAGAAGGATGGATGGATGGATGGACAAACAGGGTGATCCCATCAGCACCCGACCCAGAGTTCTGCCGATGACAGGCGGGTGGGGCACAACAGGGCACAGAAAGGTGGGGGACAGGTGGGGGGGTTCAACAGGGTACAGACAACCAAGTCTCCCAAGACAGCCACCTGCACATCACTCACCGATGAAGGGGATGGAAGCCAGAGAATCTTCAGTAGCAGCCAAAGGGGCCACCTTCCTGCCTAGGCGTCCTTGCACACCGGCCTCTGGCTCTGGGGACTCGCCTCCAAGCCCGAGGTCCATCTGTCTGGCAGGGGGCAGCTGGAACTTGCGGCCCGTCGGAGGCTTCTGCCTCAGGACCACCTCGTCGCGGCGGTCCTCGGCTGGGGGCTCCAGTGCCCGGGTGCTGGGTTCTGGCCGGCCAACCCTGAGTGGTTCGGAGGCCTCTCCTGGGAACGGTGCAGAGGCCTGGGCCAAGTTGAAGGTGGGTAGTCCCCCAAAGGGTGAGTCCCGGAAGGAGAGTGCGTGGAGGAGTCCAGTCCGGCGCTGGAATGATGGGCTGTAGCTTCGGTACCCAATGTACCCAATGTCGTCCAGGCCCTGCAGGCCAGGTGGGGGTGGGGCCTGGGGCCCTGGCAGGTCCCTGGGTGGGCAGGCTGGGGTGCGGGCAGACAGGCGCTGGGAAGCCCAGCCACAGCGCTCAAAGCGGGGCGACACCAGTGCCCCTGGCCCCAGTGCCTCAGCTGAGCGGGCGGGTCGGCTCAGGTAGTCGTCTGAGCGGGCTCGGTGCCAGCCCTCCTGGCCCAGCTGGCTCAAGGCACCCTGGGAGGTGGAGCAGGGCCATGGGCGGTGGGCAGTCACATCCTCCAACCGGTCCTGGGAGGCACTGCGGGCCCGAGGGGCCATGGCAGGGCACCGTCTCTCCCCTGCCCTGTGGGGTACCTGGTTTGACAGCCAGTGAGACAAAGCCTGCTGGCACTCCAATCTGCTGGGGGGCACCCGGCTGCCAGGCTCTGGGAAGGCACGGGGCATCCGGGGCTCCAAGGGGTGGTGGGGAAAGGCACCAGGGCTGGGGCGGGGCTGGCTCATCCCCAAGGAATGGTTGTCCAGATGGGCACGGGCTGTGGATGGGACACAGGGCCCCGGGTCACTCCAGGTAGCCGGACTCCGGGGGTCACTGGGTAGTGCTGAAAGGGGCTCAGGCACCATAGCGGCCCAGGTGGAGACACGGGCTGATGGGGCATAGGTCTTGCGAGGGTAGCAGATTGGGGGCGGCTCTGGGATGCTCCGGGCCTCTCCAGAATACGGCTCGTTCCCCTTCAGGTAGGCATCCTGGGAGTAGGCCTGGCCAGGGACACAGACACAGGTGAGCAGAGCTGGACAGGTCCTACAGGGCAGGGCTACAGCAGCCCTCCCTGGAAGGTCATGACCCCAGAGAAGGGGAATAAAGGGAGAGGACAAAGCAGGAGGAGTCCTGAGGAGGTGGGAGGGCACACTCCAAAGAGAATCCGGGTAGGAGACAGGACAAAGAAATAAGAGGCCTTTGAGAGTGTCTTACACACACACACACACACACACACACTCTCTCTCTCTCTCTCTCTCTCTCTCTCTCTCTCTCTCTCTCTCTCGAAAGAGCAAGGATTTCTCTAAGACTTATGACAAGGACCGCCTTTAGCCACAAACATTCCAACATCTGTTTTCTGGGGTCCCTCCCCCTATGCTGGCCTCAGCTGCTTCCCAGCTTCCTTATGTCCACCAGTGCCTACAGCCCCTCAGGTGGAGCCAGGAAACCCCACTAGAGACCACTCAAGGTGGCCGAAGACCCAGAAGGGAGCCAGCTAAAAGGTGTGTCCAGGGTGGGTTGGGCAGGGGGCAGGCCGGGGCCGGGAGAGCCTGCTGTCCTCCATCCCCTGATGGGGTTGCTGGGGGCCTGGCTCCTGAGCTACCAGGGTGAGGAGGAACTTGCCAACCTCCTGTTCCCTTTGGGCCAGGCTTGGGGGAGGGGCCAGACTGGCTGAGGAGCCTTTGGCCACCTTCTGCCACCCCAGGCCTGGAATTTGGCGCTGGGAACTGTGGCTGACGCTGCATTGCTGAGGAGTGACAGGGCCAGGGCGCAAACCAGGCCAAAAAAGGAGGCGGCCCCCAGGGACAGTGGCCTTGTGGCCCTGCCCTAGCATGGCCCTTGATGGGTGCCCAGGGGCCCATCAAAGGGAGGGAGGGTGACGCCAAACACACACACAGGCCACACCACAAGGAGACACTGGAAAATACACACACGGAGACACACACACATAGTGAAACACAATGAGCCATACACAGACAAATAACTACACCTCCAGTCCCAGGCACACATATCATGTGATGAAGTCCAGCTAAACCACACGCCCCACACTCAACCCCCTTTGGACCCACACACCATGGCCAGAGACACTCACATACCTCTCCCTCCTGACATCCTGCCGGCTCCCGGGGCTCCCGCCTCACCGTGGCGGTGGCATCCCAGCCCGCCTCCGCCCTCGTCCCGCCCCACCCCGGGCTAGCCCCCACCACGCCGGTCCTGCCTCTGTCCCCCGAGGCCTGCCCTCCGTGCAGCTGCCCCCAGCCCCCAGCGGCTCTCTGCTGGCTGGTGGGAGGAGGAGGGAGGGGAGGATGGGTGTGGAGGGGCCTCGCTGCGTCGGCGGTGGCGTCAGCAGCTGCCGCAGCCCCATTGGCCTCCAGCCTTGGCTCCCAACCACAGGAATGCCTGTGCCCCACCCTCTGGCCCGCCGGAGATGTTAGGGCCAGCAGAGGCCCCCACATGCTGACATCTGTGGCTGTCTGCCCACTCAAGCCGTAGCAGAGCTAAGGCTGCTGCCCTCCTGACCCACTGCCCCCTCCAGCTGGAGAGATCTTACACCCAGGTTCCACCCTGCATTCCCCCCTCCCCTGCACTCTTCTTCCCCATAGCTTGCCTCACTTCAGCCTGTGGGGAGATGGGGCAGGGCCTTCCAGACTTGAAGAGAGAAGTCTACATCTCCAGACTCCATCCTTGCCTCCCCGTCCCCAGAACGGGCAATGGGACAATTGAGGTCAAGAGGTGGAGGTTCCCAGAGGGGCATGGTGCCAAGCATGGCACTGTGATTACAGTAATTATAGCACATCCAGACCAGAAGCCAGTGCAGCAGCCCCCAGGGCCTCCCGAGCTTGGCCCTCAGCCATCTCCTGGGGGGCAGTGACCTTGGGGGCAAGCAAGCTGGCATTTGTCTTGGACCCATGAGACCAAGGCACTGTGCACTGTGTGGAGAGGACAGCCCTGGAATCTGGGTCAGGGCTGGGGGTGGGAGGGCACAGAGAGAGACAGACAGACAGCATGTGTGTGTGTGTGTGTGTGTGTGGTAAACGGGTACACGTGTAAGTGTGTGGTATGTTGCATGAATGTCTATGGTAGCTGCTGTGTGTGTGGTGGGCCGAGTGCTGAGTTCTGGGTGTGAAGAGCCTGTCAGGGGGGATTTAGTTTAGACTGCGCATTACAATTGTGTAAGTTTCGGTTACTGTGATACTAGTGAGCGCATGCACCTGTGTTGGGCCATGGCGGGCTGTGGTGTTTGTGGGCATATGTGTCATGACAAGGGCGAGCATTTGTGATGTTAGCAAGTACTCATGTTGTGGCGAGAAGTCCCAGTACATGTGTTGTGAAACACTGGTGTTGTGCTGTGGGGAATGGAGATGCCGAGGCATGTGCCGTGCTGTTCTGATGTCTGTGGTGCACTGAGATGTGGGAGGAGGTATGTGTGGGTAGTGGGGGTCAGCGTACAGCTCTGAGGGAATGTGCACATCATGGCATGTGCCTGGCGTGGTGTGTCTGGTGCACAGTGTGTGTTAACATGCACTGCAATGTAGGACGTGCCAGGTAAGGGATGGTGCTGCAGGTCACGCCACTTGGCTGTGTACCTGGCAGACTACTTGTGTATCGAGTGATGTGTGGTGTGCTGTGTCAATGGAAGCACTCAACAGTGGGGTGCAGTGGGGTGTGCTGTACATGTGGATACATCTATAGGAGACACGCTCACTCGGGGCCTGGCAGGGAGCGGGTTCTGGGAACAGGCATCTCATGGGAGGCCACAAGAACGTGCCAGTCTGGCAGGGCCCGCACCTTCCTTCCAGATACCCTGGCAGTAATCCTGCCTGCAGAGGCCAGCGTCTCCCCACCCAGCACAGAGCCGCTCTGAATGAGCAACAACCAGCCCCAGCCCAGGGATGGGCCTGGCATTGTCCCCAGTTGGGCAGTGCTGGGCTGGCGCAGCCTCTACACTCTGTTCTTTGCCTCCCAGAGGCATGGATGCAGGACGGAGGCCCAAGGACAAGGGCTGTATCCTGACCCCCAGGCCCTGGGGGTCCTTCAGCTCAGACAGCAGGGCAGGACTCACCAGCTGGAGGATGTCCTCGTCCTTAGGCATGATGGAGAGCTCCAGAATATCATCACTACAGAGACAGGGCGGCACGTCAGGCAGGCTGAGGTACCAGGGTCTGGGAGAGCAGGAATCTGGTCTTCAGGGCACTCCCAGGGCCAAGGCGGTGGGGTGTGCAGGATGTGGTGAGAGGCCAGGAGCTACTACCCGAGAAGGGCGGCAGGGGGCGCTCACCTATTCTGGATCAGAGCTATGACCTGGGAGTAGGTCTTCCCAACGACGCTCTCCCCATTCACCTTGACCAGGCGGTCTCCTGGGTACAGGGGCAAGGCCATGAATGAGCAGGCCAAAGGGTGTCAATGACCCCACCTGAGAACCCCTGATCCAGATATGGATGACAGCAGGGTGGGGAGACAAGAACCTTCCCAACATTTGGATCCAAGAGTCCCATCCTAATCAAAGGGTAGGGAGAAGAGAACCAGAGGGCTGGAATGAGCCAGGTAACCAAGATAGCTCACCTGTGCAAAGCCCCGCCCTGTGGGCGGGACCATCATCCTTCACATTCTTGACAAAAATGGTATCCATGGGCTCCAAGCGGTGCCGGGAGGAGGGTCCTGGTGAGCATCAGCCAGGTTAGCTGGGGGTGGCTGCTGAAGGTCACACCCATGCACAGCTACACACACAGGGGACATGCACTCAGAGAATTGTCACACTCACCCAGATATAAATACAGACCAGCACATCCACAGGGACACAGATGTATAGGATCAGACAAGAGGACACACTCCTGGGAGAATGGAAACCTACGTGGACAAAAACCTACACAGACAGTCCCTCCTTAATGCCCCCTATGTCCCAGCACTGCCCTAGAAAGCAGACTAAAAAAGACAGGTAGATATGGTCCTGGCCTTTCCGGAGCTCACCGTCTAGTGGGACAGACAGACACACACACACACAAAGTGTGCACGCACACGAGCACAAGTCATAAGCCACAAGACAAAGGAGAGGCCCATATCAAGTCCTAAAGATACACAGCAGGGAGAGACACCTCCCGACACAGAGAATGTCCACACCCACTGACCCAGCGAGAGCCACAGAGAGGCCCTGAAGCTCACAGACACCCAACACCCACACCTTCCGCCCGACTCCCTTCCCCAGGGCTGGAAGGCTCCAAGCAGAGGCCTGAGGATCCCAGGGTGAGCCCCCCCACCTCATGACATCACATAATATCCCAGAAATACACCTCTGCCTCTAACTTCAGAGAAATGGGCCTGTTCTAGGTCAGTTGGCTTCTCCCCACCATGGGCCCCTGCAATGGGGACTTGGGGAGGCAGTGTATCCATGGCAGCCCCGCAGAAGCCCCCAGCAGCAGAGAAGGAAGGCTGCTTGTGCAGGAGGTTCTGCCTTGAATACCTGAGGAGCCTGGGTGCCAATGAAGGGGGCCCTTTGGGAGAGCAAGGGTGACAGGAGGGGAACTGGGCTGACATCTGGAAAGATAAAACCTCCGGGTCCCTCCTTAGGCCCAGCAGAACCCATGTCTTGAGGTGGGCCTTTGATCAGCTGCACCTTATTGCCAGCACACCCCCAACACCGCCCCACCCCCACCTACTCCCCTGGCCCTGAGGCCCCTGCCATGCGCCAGGTCTTAGAAAGCCATCTGCTCCCTAGAGCGCCACCCCCAGAGTGGAAAGGGCAGGCCCAGAGGGAGACAAGTGTGAGAAACGATAGAGATGTGCAGAGAAAGGCAGCAACGGGAGCAGCAGTTGAGAGTGAGTGGCACAGCAAAGTCCAGGCCCCCTTGGGGGACAGAGAGAGACACAGAAGCTGCAGGATGAGTAACAGCTGGGCCCCAGCCCTGGCACACAGCCCCCGCTGCTCTTACCTCCTCCTCGGCCTCCATTCTCTTCCTCCTGCAGGGGACAGAGAGGTGGGTGTGGGCCCTCCGTCCAGCCCCACCTGGGCGGGCCCTTTCAAGCTCCCCCACCCAGCAGCCTCCCTGCTTATCTTCCTTCAACTAGCCCCCATGCCTGGAGAGGGCGGGAGGGGGGGTCAATGGAAACGGTCAAGTCCCAGCCAGCATTCCCCAGTGACACAAAGCCTGCTGATCCCACCACATCAGCATCTCAACCACTTGAAGGCCCCCAATCCAATGGGAGACCCATGACCCCTTCCCCTGGGGAGCTCTAAGCCCAGTGGGGGAGGCATCAAACACACTAACACACAGAGAGGCATAGATAAGCAGACACAACAAATGCAAACAGTGGCTACCAGCTTTTAGAGAATGGAGGGAAGGCCTGATTAGTGTTGCTCTGGGGGAGGGGATTTTAAAGCCAGTTGGAGGGTGGCTGGGAAGGCATTCTGGGTGAGGGGAGCAGGTACGCAAGTACTCGGCGGCAGAAATAAGCAAGCGGGTGTAGGACTGGACTGGCTGAGCTGAAGGAGAGAGAAAGTCAATCCCAGCAAGGGACAGAAATCAGACTAAAGAATTCAGATTTGAAAGGAGAGAAAGAGGGAGCCAGCGAATATTCTTGAGCAGGAGACAGTGGATGTGAAAATGCCAGTTAAGGAAGAAGATTCTCGCATCTAGGTGGGTGGCTAAGAAACAGAGTCAGGAGATGCACTAGGGAAGTCTCCAGGATCATGCTGGTAAATGAGGGGGTTGGGGACGGAAATAGAAACAAGGGAAAGGAGGCCAGAGAGCCAGAAGAATGCGGCATTTTAGAGCTGGATGGGTCTAAGCCCCTCCACAGGGTTCATCCATTTTACAGATGACAGGGCATGACTTGCCCAGGGCCACTCAGAGACTCAGTAGGAGAGCCAGAGCTGGAACCCAGGACTCTTGGGCACCCCAGCCAGGAGAGGAAGGCCGTTGGGCCCTGCTGAAGAGCAGTCCCCACCCTTCCATGTGGGGCGTGTGCCCACTGATGTGAGCTGACAGCACAGCTAGCGGGTGGTGGAGGCAGACAGATGCATTTAGACGGCTGAGGTCCCTGCAGGCTCTCAGCGCTGAGCAGGTTCTGGGAAGGGGATGAGGTCCCTGGCTTGCCCTGCTCCAGGGTCTTCCAGTGCTCCATGTAAGTGAGGTCTCTCTGAGACAGATTCCACACCCAGCCAGATCACTCAGGCTGGTTCTGCCCCTGTCATTCCTCTCAGCAGTGTCCCCTGAGAAAAGGTGGCAGGGCCCAGGAAGGAGGGGCTCTGGGGAAGGAGGGAGCAGAGGTTCCAGGGAACTAGAGGGCTGGTGTCCTTGGGCATCAAGGGGTGGGGCAGTGGCCCTCCCACATACCATCAGCCCTCACTTAAGCACAGCTGCAGCCACTGAGAATAGTTTGTACAGGTGCCCCCAGATTCAGATGGGGATATGAGAGTTGCACAGTGACATGTATTTATAGACACCTATATGCACACATCTGGATATATACACATGCATGCACATGACCAGCATACCATGAATAAACATGTGCACACAAAGAGAGACATGCAAGCATGCAGGAACTGGCAGTGAGATCCAGTGCCTTGGTTCTCTGGCAGGTGCAACTAAGCTCCCCAAGGGAGAGTCCCCCAACAGCTGTTCAGGCTGGTCCCAGCCCCAAGGGAAGGGGAGAAACAGGTTCATTGACTCTAAAATAAATCTGTTTCCTTCTCTGCTGGGAGACAGGTGGGGGAAGGGAGCAGGGCCATCCCAGAGAGCCCTGCTCCTGCTGAGGGCCCCCTCTAGTCCTCCAGCACACCTGCTTCACTGTCAGGGGCCTCCCCCTAACGCCTGCAACCAAGGGCGGCCTTGACTCCTCTACCGGAGAACTTGACATTTATATTATTAGCCTGGAAGCACCCTTTCAGGTCAAGTAGATAAATGCTCTCAAGTTACAACATGAGAAATGGAGCCCAGAGAGCAGTGAGACCACCCCAAGATCCATACTGAGCTGGGAGTTATACCAAGACTAGAACCCAGGTCTCCTTCATCCCAGCCCAAGGCTCTTTACAGTGCACAGAGCTGAGGCCAGCATGGACCTGGGGCATTCTGGGAGGGGTCCCCAAGGTGTGTCAGGACAGACTGGCCAAGGGCTCAGGCTGGGGACAGAGCAACTAACACAGCTCGGCAGCAGCCAGTGGACAATAGGCCGCAGGAGCTCCATCTCCCTGGGACAGTTGTTCACCTTCCAAAGGCCCAGAGTCAGGGGGTGTGGGTGAGCATCCTCACCCCCTCACCTCTAAATTCTTTGCCCTGAACTGGCCACCCTACCCCATTTCCCAAGAAGCCCGAACCCAGAGCAGTTAGGGGTCTTGTCCACGATCACACACCACAAAATGACCCATCCAGGGCTGCCCCTGCCTCTCTGTGACCCTCCTCTCCAGGCAACAGAAGAAGGACTGTGGAAGGGACAGTGCAAAGGAATCTCTCCTCCCCACACCTACGTTTCCTCAGGCCAGGGCACTGGGCAAGCTGGGTGTACCTTCAGGCTGCAGTGCACGGCTGACTCGGGAGGGTACACAATGAAGTGGCGCAGGGTGAAGCCAAAGCCATCCTGGAGGCTTTTGTGCAGCAGCAGCGTCCGTGGCCCCTGCCAGGGGAGGGGGCGCCCAGGAGAGCACCCATCTCTAGGGCCCAGTGGCAGCTGTGGGAGCACAGGGAGACAGGGTTGAGGGACCATGTGGCACACTGCCTCCTGCAGCCCAGCGGCGCTGAGGGGGACTGGAATGGGTCCATGGGTCTTGGGTTCCAGGCACCCTCTCCTGCCCCCAACCTCCTCCTCACTCTTCCTCTCCCACCCTCGCTAGCATGACGGCTCCTGCCTTCTTCCTTTCCCTTCAATCCACTCATGACACATTATAGGGAAATAACTCACTGCAGTGAGCCATGTGTTCATTCAGTTCAGTTCGGCAAATGTTGCTGAACACTGGACACACAGCCTTTTTGCCTGGGAAGTGCTTGCTGCTGTTTGAGCTCATTCCTGCCTGCTGCTGCACAATCACACACACACCAACACCCCACACACACACTATGCAAA